CAAAGCAGGCAATTTATGTTTCTCTTTTCTATTTTATATTTTTTCTTAAATAAACATCTATCTTCTAAAACTATTTATGATCAATTTTTAAAATTATCCAGTACAATATTACCTTGTGCTCATCCATTTCGGGCCCATCCTTGGTAACTAACAAATCAAAACTCAGAATAACAAATCACTTCACCAGTGCAGTAAGAACGACACTTTAAAAACCTCTTGTTAAACTCAATTTGCGCTTTTGTTTTCATATTTTGTAATCTGGCAATCTTTCTGCGAAAACATTTTTAAATCATTCTTGAAAAATATCCGTCCATGTAAGTTGTTATGACTTTGCTACTCGCTTTACAGTCCCCCTTTTTAATGTTTTTTCTTTTTATTTTATTTTATTATCTGTTTTTACATGCTATTTTTAACTTTTATGATCTATTTTATTTGTGTTATTTTTTAAAAAAATTTTTTGAGTGCTCCTCACACTATTGTATTAATATATTTAGCTTTGGCTTTATTGATACAATATCAGAAAGCACTCTGTTTTGCGGATATAATCGTGTGGGCTGAAGAAAANTTGAAAATCAAAGAAAATGACTTTTCAAATGTTGATAGAAGATTTCTTTTTTTTTAATAAAATGTTTGTTATTATTTTTTTTTTTTACTTATTAATTCCCAAACCCCTTTTTTTATATATATATAAATTCATTTATTTCAGAATGCTATTCTTATGGGTGATATGAATGCCGGTTGTGCCAATGTCAGAATATCAGACTGGAACTTGATTGATCTTTGGAGAAGAGAGGAATTCACTTGGCTAATTACTCATGATATCGATACCACACAATCCCTTAACTGCTGTCCATATGATCGGTATAAATACATCTTCTATTTTATTCTCAAAATTCCGCTTGAAACTATTAAGAAGAAAGTAAATTAAATAACATAAATGCATAATATATTCAAATTCAGCGCTTCAAAGACTTATGTTAGGACACTCAAAGGATTATGATATTAAGATTGAATGATATATTTATTATAGTCATTTCCTTGTAAGCTGCATAATTGATCATGAACTCCAATTGGATAGAAAAAAGCGGTTCCTTAAGTGTGGACATGGCTAATTTCACAGGCTTAATTTTGATTTCACTTTCATTCTAAGACATTTATTTTATATATTTTATTTTACAACCATCGTTGAACAGGCAACCCAATTCTCGGGTTAATGATTACTAATGTTCAACTCCGCAACTTTGCAATTTTGAGCACTACCCAAAAGACAAGGGAACTCCTATATCAAGTATTGGGAGAAATTTGCCTTCGTGGATGACTTTTTGATGGAACTAACCTGCATTTGCGTTACATGGAAAGGAAAACCGAAAAAAACTCCCACAGTTAGCCCATCAGCTCTAACCCATGATCCGTCTACCACTGAGGGTATTTTGCGACAGCACAGTGGTAGGTGAAAGCCGGGTGCAGAATTCGTATCGACCAGGGATTCGAACCCATTCACCTCATTGGAAGGTGAAAGCTCTATCTTCTGAGCCACCCACGGCTATTCTAAAACTTTCAATCAATAATAGTTCACAGTGTTACATAATTCTTTTTTATTTCGAACTAAATAGCGTTGAATTAAATAAACTATTACTACCTCACCAGAAATAAATAGCTAAAAGAAATAGTTTCATCTTTTTGACGCTGATTGAGAACGTTTCGTATGCTTAACAGCCAACGCGAAAAGGGTTAACACTGCTTCTGAATACTAATCTGAATGTTTCTTACGAGCTTGTATGCTCTTTTTCATTTCATTGTTGCATTTTAACAGAATCATAACCGCAGGAGATGATATGTTGGACGCTGTTGTTGACTTCTCAGCCCAAGCCTACAAATTCCGCGATGAACTAGGAATATCTTCTGAATTGGTAAGCAATCGAGTTTTGAATGATCTGAAAATAGCACGAAAATTGGGAATTTGAGTCCAAATAAGTTTCTTTCAATTAGCACGCCCTCGTCATTGTTTCTCATGATTTATCATGTCAAAAATTATCATGCATTACTCGTTTTAATTCATAAAAATACTGGAATACATCAGTTCTTTGAAATTTTTAGTACTTGTGCTCGGAAAGATATTGTAATTAATAAAGTTCATAGAGTAGGAACAGTTACATTAAATAATGTGGTAACAGTTTAAATTTTTTTAAACTAAATTAGCAATTTAAATAAAGAATAAATTCTGTATTTCCGGCATTATGACTGTTTTTCGAAAGTTTCGTAATATGAAATTATGCATTTTTCGCGAATAATACGCTATTTTTATAACTGCTGTAAGTTTGGAACTGTTACTCATGACACTGTTAGGTCAAGTTTAGTCTATCTAAAGTCAGTGCTGTCTACGCTCAGTTTGAAAATGGCGCAAAACGTCAATATGGAGAAAAGCCACAGTTTTGTGAAAAGGAAAAGCATCTGTGGTCTAATTTTTTAATATTTAAGAACTTACTCCTGTATTACTAGGGCTGTATTACTTGGGCTCATAAAAATTTGCAAAAACTCAGAGTAAGGCAGTGAGTTTGATAATTTTCATGTAGGAGGAAAAATGTCGCCAAATTAGCGATTTTTGAAAAAGCTTAATAACTTTTGATATATTTAAGTTATTTGTCAGTTCTAAATCCCAGATAATTCTTCACAACAAAATTATATAGTTTAAAATCATCGAATTGCTTCAAGTGTAAGGCACTTAAACTTTGGCTTTTTTTTTATTTTTATTTTCCTTGGTGACAGAACTTCAAAAAATTGCGATGCAGAAAAAAGAATGGTACTCCTGCAGAACAGCCTATTGAGAAATTCTGACTCTCCACTTTATTTAAAGTAGTAGGGGAAAAATGCTCAAGTTTGCAATTCTTTTAAAATTTTAAAAGCACTTATAAAAATCATCGCAACATATTGACGCTAGAGGAATCAGCATCACTGCTTGTAACACTTTTTGATACTTATGATATGTAGTTGTTTTTAATATTTCAAGCCACTGGTCATGGAAATTTAAAAACAGTGATAATGAAACAATCATCGATACTTCAGAATATTTGCAGCCTTCGATACGTATTCCATTACCAAGAAAATATATCTGCATTCGAATTTCTTATTGCCGAAGTAATTAAAGAGTCATTATTAGAAAATAAAAATCAAAAGGAAATAGTTTGACTACTTTTTTTTTTTTTTTTTTTTNTTTTTGTCTCATGTTTTCAAAAACATATTTTTAGGTAACTTGCATAATGTGCTCAAATTTTCTGTACTTGATTCAAATTTTTTGCACGAAGTTCCGTTAAAATTTTCTGTACTAAAATCCGTACTTGACATGCCCCTAAAGTTTGATAAAAAAAATGTATTTGTGCACCTTGCAATTTTTTTATTAAAATTTTTTTTAATTAGTGTTAAAATTGTTTATTTTAAAGTTAACAAATTATTTTGCGTACTGATTTTTCACTAAGCTATTGAAATCAGTTATAATCAAATATTAATGCAATAAATTTTTCAGTAAAAATTAAATTTATTTTTAAATAAATTAAATTTATAAAAAAAAATTTTTTTTCACTAGGAAGAACGTGATGTAGATGAAAATTAAAAAATTATCGATTCCAAAATACTCATTTAACTTTGAGAAAAAAAATTGGAAATGAACTGCGACTATAATATTTAGTTGACGGTCACAGAGAAATATATAGAGTCTCCACTCTAATGTTAAAGCATAGAAAAAAAGCGAAGCGCTTTTTTTTTTTTCAATGCGTGGCCAAATGGCAACGCTGCCCTAAACGATTTTAGCAACACACTACGGCAAAAATCTTAACAACTAGTTAAACTGACAAGTTTATGGTTTTCTTCTATTAGTTTAAATTGGGTATTTACAACTCGAGAGGAAGGCGATCACTGATACACAGACACGTGATCTATGACCAGCTTATCGATTATGAACAAGATGGAATGTTAAAGTCGAGCTAAGTCTCTCCACATAAATTGGAATGTTAATTAACATGAAGTTAATTAAATACAACGCCGTATCGCACATCGAATTTATTAAAACATAATTCTTTCTCCTCTATGTCTTTTACTTACTTAACTTGGATATATTATTTCTTTGTGTATTTTATTGTTACCGTGATATGTTTTTGTTTTGTGTACCTAGAAACTTCGATGCATAATTAGTTTGTTTATTTTCTACATAGTTTCGTGCCTGTCTTTGTGTTAAGTAAGAAGTATTTATAGTGAAAGAGTTGAAATCTTTGTGAAAGAAAATAGAATGTGCCACTTAAGAGAATTGATGCTTGAAGGGCTTGACTTATTTAAAATGGAATAGAAAGAACAGTTGATAACGCAAACAATAGTTACATAGTTAGAACTGTACAATTCAAGTAACCCTGAAAAATGAATCGCTTACTAATTTTTAAAGAAACAGAAAAAAAAACAATCTTTTAGAAACGAATTCTAACAGCTGAATATCGTTTATATACTTCATATATAAGTAAATAAATTCAATAAATTATAAATAAATGAGTATTTCATTCCCTCATGATAAAGATAATCATCGTTTTTGGTATAATCACTCAGAAGAAGGCAAAAATATGACAGAGACATTAAATTATTACCCTAGAGTGTCCACTAATCAATTTTACTGTGTCAACTAACCGTTTCTTTTAGATGTTGCGAGAGGGCGCAGCAGCCCTATTGGTCCAGGAGAAACTCTTAGAAAAACGTCGAGATGACGTCAGAGTAGATCGTCCTTAAATATTATAATTCAATCTGATAATTATGATTATTCAATATATATGAATGAAATCTTTCAGGGTTTAGCTGTTTCTGACCACTGGCCTGTAGAAGTGTTGCTAAAGGGAGGCAGTAAGAATTGAAACATTTTTAACTATGGTGGTGGAAAAGTTATTTAGATCGTCTAATTAATTATAGCAACTTGTAGGTTGAAAAACAGTTTTTTTTATAGATATATTATTTCATTTTTATTACTATTATCATAGCTTTACTCATCTTTCCTTTAAATTGTTCACTAAACAGAAAAATATTTGTTTCACACAATTTTATTACCATTGTTTAAAATTTTGAATTATCAGCATACTATGATGCTGTTATAGGCATTATATATTTCCTAGCTTTTTAATCTCATTTTTTCTGAAGTCTTTAATCATCTTTAATTATTTTTTCTTTTCACAATAAATGCAACAGCTAACTTTGATCCACCTAGACTTTTTATTTCAATATAACTATAAAACTAGCTATCATTAAATGCCATAATAACTTAACATCAAAATATTATTTTTAATTTTTTTCTCCTCAACCGTTTAAACATTAGCATATTACGTGATTAAGTTTAATTAATTTTTGGTGCTTCTTTATGACCAAATTTTTAATTAGTTAGTCATTGTGTTATTTAGTTAGTTTAGTTCAGTTAGTTTAGTCATTAGTTAGTCTCATTGTCTATTAATAGACTATTAATAGACTATTAATAGTCTATTAACGACATGACCTTTTGCAAAATTTATTCTATATAAAGCACCAATAATGAATCTCTACCTCCGAAACATCTCAATAATCACTTTTTATTTAGCTTTTAATCAAACTTAGCGTTGACTTTTTTTATTTTAAATATTTATTGAAATCAAGTTTTTAATTGTGACTTCAGGGAAATCATTTAAATGATTTTTGCTTCATAATTATTTAATAATTTTTAATAATTATGAAATAATAATAATTAGATAATTTTTAAATAATTTTTTAATAATTTTTGTTTCATAATTATTTTGAATAAAACAAATACGATAAACAGCGTGATGCCAAAGTTTTCATGATCCATGATATAAAAAAACGAATTAACAACAATAATTGAACTGGTAATAGACAATGTATAGCATTGCCCCTTGTATATACCCTTGTATATACCCTTGTAGACAATGTATATACCCTTATTTGGTTACCCAACTCTAGGCTTCAAAGCGCTGTTTTTAAATGCTAAAAAAATGCGTTATTTAATATATGCTATTTTGCAGTTAAAATATCATAATTTTAAAGCTTGCGCAATATACAAAATAATAATAATAATAATAATTGCAAAGAAGTTAACCCTAATATGATTGTTTTTTTTTTCAAATACTATTATTCTGCAGAAATAGTAATTACTATTTTATTAAAAAATTTGTAAGAATATCTTTCATTTCGAAATTATTTTCTCCTTATTAAATGCAAACATTATTTTTTTTTCTTAAGAAACTATCTATTTGGACCTATTTACCTCTTACCTATTTTGAGATCTAAGTAAAAATTTCAAATGCTGTCAAAACACAGCATGCCTCAGAAATTTGTTCTTGCACAAAATTACATTTCCTTTTTTTTTCCTTTCTTCTTCGAAATGTTTATTAGTTTTCGCACATCCAAGAGAAATAAGTAAAATATATTTATTGCAATATTTAAGCACATATACAGACCTCTAAACTACTAACAATTTTATTTTAACAGCTTCTCAGCAGGCAAAGGTTAATTTGAAACCCAGTCTGTGCCTGACTTTGGAGGATATTCGCCAAAGAACTTTTCCAGCACAGTTGAGGTCACAGAAAACGTCTTTTGGCTTCACGATAGAAACGACGGAAACTTCATCAGAGTTATACGCTTCTTCCGAAGAGGGCGACTCGTTACTGCAAAATCTCCAAAAATTACAAGCCAAATATCCTCAACTAATATCGTCGGAAATATTGGATACTCTTTTTTACAAAGTGGAACATGGAGCTTTAAGCGATCCTTCTGCCAACGACGATTTAGAGAAAGATACATACACCATTTTGATAGAATTCAGTTTTTCCGACGAAACAACTACCCTTCACTATTGTACTGCCACAACCATCAATTAAAAGTAATTTAAAAATAAAAGATAAATAAAGTTTGTGATTTCTGAAACTATTTTTGTCTAACGAATTAATTATGACACGTTTCCTCATTATCGTTGCTTTTAACTATCAATTAAAAATAAAATACTTGGAATCCAATGGCAGTTAACATCCTCCGACGAAGTAAACTTTATTGTCTCTATCGTGAATTTACACAGTAAGAGGGACAAAGGGACGCAAAATTTATAGTTTGTCCAGGGTAAGAACTCCTCCAGCTGCAAAGTCTAAGGCCGTCAGCTGCTATGGAAACAAGAATAGCGCATTTTAGGGCGGTAGGTTCTGTTCACTCGAGGACTAACACAATAGACTGAATAAAGAGATTCTCTCTCCGACCTAAGCCAAAACCTGTCCTAAACAGTGACCCCACACCCCTACTTAAAATAGTATTGCCTCGTAACTATAGTTACAGCCTAGGGGAAATAGAAGAAATAATTATTTTAGACAGAAAAAAGTTTTATAGTTTAAGGACTACATTTCTAAAATACAATAATTTTTTTCAAATTTAGTCATTTATTTTTAGATTTAAATCATTACCTAAATTACAACTTAACCTCAATATTTCGCTTCATTTTAATATTTATGTAGTTTCAGCAGTTAGTTTTGCTAATAATTTTATAATCAATTTCCTATTTTCTAATATAAAATTAACGAAATTGCTGAATCTAGAAAATAAATAATTTGATAATAAATAATGAAGAGGTTTTTTATTGAATTTGATTAATCTTTTTGACAACAGTTTTTTATTTTTAATGCCGTGATTCTTAAATTTCTAATATTTATTCATTAGACAGTGTATATTTGGAAATTATGATTTCACAATTTTTTTTTCTGAGCAAATTTTTAACGTATAAGAGACAATTTTTCAACATATAGAGGTGAACAGTTTGCCAATATTTTATATTTTTTGGCANCTTCTCTTCACACAATAGACTGAAGAAAAAGATTCTCTCTCCGACCCAAGCCAAAACCTGTCCTAAACAGTGACCCCACACCCCTACTTAAAATAGTAATGCCTCGTAACTATAGTTACAGCCACGGATCCAGACAAATGGCTGAGGGAAATAGAAGAAATAATTATTTTAGACAGAAAAAAACTTTATAGTTTAAGGACCACATTTCTAAAATATAATTTTTTCAAATTTAGTCACTTATTTTAGGTTTCAATCATTACCTAAATTACTACTTAGCCTCAATATTTCGTTTCATTTTAATATTTATGTAGTTTCAACAGTTAGTTTTGTTAATAATTTTATAATTAATTTCCGATTTTCCAATATAAAATTAACAAAATTGCTGAATCTAGAAAATAAATAATTTGATAATAATTAATGAAGAGGTTTTTTTATTGAATTTGATTAATCTTTTTGACAACAGTTTTTTATTTTTAATGCCGTGATTCTTAAATTTCTAATATTTATTCATTAGACAGTGTATATTTGGAAATTATGATTTCACAATTTTTTTTTCTGAGCAAATTTTTAACGTATAAGAGACAATTTTTCAACATATAGAGGTGAACAGTTTGCCAATATTTTATATTTTTTGGCAAAGTGGAAATCATTCGGAGCTTATTTTTTATTAATAAGTCAGTGTCAAACTAAAAAAAATGCTAAGATATATCAAGAAATTTAATTAGAAAGTGTTTAAAAGATATTTATTTGGTTACGAACAAGGTATCAAACACAATTAACACAGAGGCGAACAGTTGGCGAATTTTTTATAATTTTTTGCAATGAGGAATTAGCTTGGAGCTTACTTTTTATTAATAAGTGAGCGTCAAACTAAGAGAAAATACAAAGAAATATCCAGAAATATAATTAGAAAATGTTAAAAAGGGATTTGTTTAGTCCCGGGGCTTCTCTTTTTTTTTTTTTTTTTTTTTTTTTTTTTTTTTTTTTTTTTTTTTTTTTTTTTTTNTAATAGGTGAGTGTGACGCTACAATTGGCACTACATATATAAAATGTATTTAATTACTAACATTTACTTTTTTTTAATCATTCCTAATCGAATTATATTTAAATTAAATCAATGAGTTAATTTTTATAAAACCGAACATAAAATATTTATATTCTTTTCTTATCGATCAATGTAACAGCTAACTTTTTTGTTTCAATACTAATGTAGACTCATTAATTCACTGTCGCGCCTAATCGTTAACAAAAATCTATTTATAACTCTTATTATTAATTTCTTACCACCAATATGTTTCAGTCATATGGTTATACTAATTCTTACCATCTTGTTGGCGATTTGCAATCATTTTCAAACCTAATATTGATTATGGGGGGTTGGCTTTATTTTCGCTATGTTATATGTCGATAATTCGCCAATCTTGGATCTCTTCTCCGTGCTTTGTGTCAAACAACAAACAAATTCATTCACATCGATTCAGGACATATTCATTCTCTTTGAATTTCAAATTTGTGGGGACTAGGGGGGCCCTTTAATGCCTCTCTGTCCCAACCGCTAAAAAAATATTCTTCTCATACTAACAAAACTGATCTATGTAGAGATTGTTATCTTTATCCCTTTAAGGGATTTCTTTTTTTTTTTTAATGATTTGCATATTTTAAATATGGCCATTTTGAATAGATTAATTCTTAATAAATAAATTTTTTACTTAAGCGACTTTATTCATTTTCTTTGAGACAATACTTCAACCATCACTATAATATTAATAATAGTGATCACCGCCTTCATAAGATTGGTGCCTAGGACCACACAGAGCGAAATTGGATATTGAGCATCTGATGATGAAAGAACTAAAAAATTTAAAAGCTGAGAGAAAATGTGAGCCTGTATGCCGATGAATCTCAACCATAGATCTCAACTAAGAAATGACATTGCGTCATCCAGCTGCCGCTGCAGACTTTTTCAAAAGATAAAACTGTTCAGTTTCTGCTTCTCATTAGATAAATTTAACGAATCGTTATGGTTCCAAGAATATTTTAAAGTGAGCCTTTACATTGATCGATAAGAAAAGAATAAAATATTTTATGTTCGCTTTTATAAAGATTAACTCTTTGATTTAATTTAAATATAATTCGATTAGGAATGGTTAAAAAAAAGTAAGTTTAAGTATTTAGAGATATTTTAAAGGCTAGAAAATATGTAATGCCAATTATGGCTTCAGTGTGGTTGTTGTTTTGCGTGAAGGCATCCGTGAAGAATAATTTAAAGTGATTTTCTTTACTTAGGTGCCAGGTAATTAAAATTCATTCAGTGGCATAGAGATAAATTGTTTTCTTACAGTATAAATAAATAAACAAACGTAAGTAATAATTAATTTACAGTAATAGTTTTTTTTATTTAATTTTACAATAGCTGTAAAGATTAAATACAGCTTTACTTTTTATCATGTAACAATAATAAATTGACGTGAACAATATTAGACATTTTATTTTGCCCTAATATTTTTAGAGTAAATTGAAATAAGAAAATATATTTACTTCCTTGTGCATAAGAATAGGGTTATTAAATACAAGAAATCCAGACACCAAAATATTGCATTTTGATTTAGAAATATGTATTTACTATGAAAAGATAATGCAACTTTTTTAAATGTTTTGAACTGAACCATTTTATACAATTCAATAATTGTTCACAATAAATATAAGATTTTTTGCAGAGTATAAATTTTCAAATGAACATAATAAAATTTTCAAAATTTTTTTCGTGCTTAAATATATATATATATTTGAAAAATAAAATAATGCAAGCAAACAAAACTTAAGTGAATTCTTTTTCTCAAGAAAGGACTTGTGCACAAATTAAGAAACAATGTATGTTTGCTGTTCTCGCAAATTCGTGAGAAATTAAAATATCCTGGCCAGGTGATGATAATGCTCAGCTAATGGAGAATTTTATATACTCAGCTTATTTTACATCAAAAGTTCAGAACATTTATATATGAGATTTAATAACAAGAATGTTGAAAATATATGTTAGAGCTATAACTGTATGTTATAAAAATTTTTTTGAATAATAATGATACTTTGATATTTAACTACACATGAGTTTATATGCATATATTATATTTTGTATTACATAGATATTTCATGTCTTAATACATAACATTTTCTTGAAACATGGGAGAGAACCATCAATTTAGTAAAAAAAATTATTACATTTTTTTCTGTATCCAGCGGGGATGCTGGATGTCACAATTGGCATTACATATTTCCTTGCCTTTAAAATATCCTTAATTACTTAAACTCACCTCTTTTAACCAATCTTAATGGAATTATATTTAAATTAAATCAATGAATTAATGGTTATAAGCGCGAACATAAAATATTTATATTCTTTTCTTATCGATCAATGTAACAACTAACTTTTTTATTTCAATACTAATGTCGACTCATTAATTCACTGTCGTGCCTAATCAAAAACAAAAATATATTTATAACTCTTTATTGTTAATTTCTGACCACCAATATGTTTTAGTTACACGGTTATATTAATTCTCTCAGTCTTGTTGGCGATTCGCGATCACCAAAGTATTTTCAAACCTAATATTGATTATGGGGGATTGACTTTATTTTGGCTATGTTATATGTCGATAATTCGCCAATCTTGGATCTCTTCTCCATGCTCTTGTGTCCGTTAGAAACAAATTCATTCACTTTGAATTTCAAATTTGTGGCGACTGGGGGGTGCCCTTTTATGCCTCCCAGTCCCAAACGTTAAAAAAATATCAATGCTAACAAAACTTCTCGATGTAGAGAGTTTGTTATCTCTTGATCCCCGTAAGGGATTTCTCTTTTTTTATGATTTGTATATTTTAAATATGGTCTTTTTTATTATACTAATTCTTACTTAATAAATCAATTTTTTACTTGAACTATTTTATTCATTTTCCTTGGAACACTACTTCAACCACCACTATAATATTAATAATGGCAATCACCGCCTTCATAATAAGCATCAAACTAAAAGGAAATACAAAGATATATCAAGAAATTTAATTAGAAAATGTTGAAAAGAGGTTTTTTTAGTCTGGAACTGGCAACCCTTTCAGCATAAATATTTGGAATCATGGCATTGCTAGAAAGATGGCAAAAGGTATTGGACCAGAATGGATAATATATGATTCTATAAATATGCCTTCCCTATGAAAAAATCGTGTTTCAATTTCCTAAAGAAAAAACAAAACAAAAAGAAAAACCCAATAGCAGACTTTCTTTGTTTAAATGCACATTTACATCATTTTACTTAATGGGTGACGCCAATCATTCAGGGCTCTATTGCCAATGATAAATTGGAAACCGTTTACTAAACCACATAAAATCTTAAGACTTTTTTAAAGCAGTAGGAAAGCTGAAATATTTTTTTATGGAAATATTTTCATTCCTTCTAATATGTGATATGATTTGATTTAAAAAGCACATGCAAATGAGATTTCTAATTTTAAAAGATAACATAAATAGTGATAAAATAATAGAGAGATAAAAATAAAGCATTGGTGTGTTTGGTTTCTGTCCGATTTATAATTGTATCAAATGTTTGAAAAAGAAAGGGGGAAACCACCTGTGATTTAGATAAATTTATCTTCCTTCACATTAAATTCCATATCGCTTTCAGTAGGTGTTATGTGTCAAAAACAGATGTAGTGATATTTTACTGAATATCCTAACACGGTAAGTATGCATTTCCCCCTTTTTTTTATTTAAACTTTTTTCTTACATTATTTCAGCCAATTTATGTTGAAATCTAGCAAACGTATTTTTTTTTTATTTCCTTTAGAATTATCAGGAAAGATGGTTCAGAACAAAATACGGAGTATTTATAAAACTCCACTCTTTATATACGCTTTTCGAAAAAAACACTTCTCAAAAATAAAGAAGAAAAGCATATGCAAGGGTTGATCAAAATAATGGAAACACTTCTATGCCAACACCTTCTTTTGATCTTTCGAATAAAATACTTGCAGAGTCATTTTATTAATTTATAAGTGTTTTGATTATGCATTGCCTTATACTTATCAATGAAGTTTAAAGTTTTTGTAAGCTTGATGGGTCGACACTAAATTGCAAACGAAAAAAAAAAGTTTTTGAACACCCTTTGTCAAATAATGTAGAAATATGTTTGTAACTTGCAAAAACTAGTTCTGTTATTAAATGCAATAATTTCACAAAATTTCGCAAACCTAGCTTACATATATATGGAGATATTTTTGGAGCAATTTAAGATTAATTGGGTATAATATAGCCTACGTCACAGGTTGTGTTGTTCCTACTAAATTTAACCCATGAACGTCATTTTCTGCGAGCCTAACTTCAAGCCACAAATAAACAAACGAAGTGTTCGATCGTTTAAATAGCTGCTCGCCAGATTTTATTGCATTATAAAGAAAAGTTATTGAAACTAAAAAAAACTAAATAAACAACAGCAACTAAAGCAAATAACAACAACTACTAATAACAATAACTAAATAAACAACAACTAAATTCCATTCGTTTAGCATTGCGTCATGTGTTGTTCCTACTAAATCGAAGTAGTTGTGTTTTTTTCATATTATACCCAATTACAATTTATTAGCAACTTATAAAAAAAATTCAAAGTCAATTCCTACTTAGGTCAGCAAAGAAAAATTTTATTTTAGATACTTTTTATTAAATAATTACAATTTTTTCTCCCATATAAAACTAAAATTAATTAATTAAATTTAATGAATAAATTAATATTTGAAAAATCTGTATTATTGTCAAGTGTCATCCACTACAAGTTCAGAAAAATACATTTGAACTTGAATGCGCAATAAACTATTTTTTTCTTCAAAAAGAGCTATAAGTTAGAAATTGTCCCTGATGTTATTTTTAAAATATGTGAGAAAGTGAATCGCTTATAGCGAAATTTACAACAATGACGAACGCTTAACCATTCAGATAATTCCATTTCGCTTTTCTCTCATTCACTTTTAATTAATGAACTAATATTTGAAGAATAAACTCAACTTAAACTGATCTGAACAGTTGAACTGGTCATCAACTTGAACTTCTGTACTTATAAATAACAGATTTTGTAAATTATTGCTTACAAATACAAATTAACTCGATGAGAAATGAGCGCATAACACCCGAGAAATAGCTATCCGTATTTCTCTCTTCTTGACCCCACACAAACCTTTACTGTTACCCGCAACAAAGAAACGAAGTCCTATACATTGTTGTGTTTTTCTATTTTATTCAGTTCTTTACAGATTGTCTCACAAATCGAAGAAGAGATAGCTTTGCATAGTTATTAAAATGAATTTGGTGAAATTTAATGAATTTGGTGAGACATACGCTAACAACTTCCTTGTAAATTGTTAATAATGTAATGGAATATATTAAAATTTTCTTTTTGTTTAGTTTTAGAATCGTTTCGGTCACTTGAAAAATTCATTTTTAAAAATTCTTAACAGTGATTGGTGCAAAATGGAAGGGAATTCCTTCTATTCTTTGCTGTTTGTTGTGTTAGGGATTCTATCAATTCTGAAAGATGTAGATGCATTCAGAATTGACGATGACAGAATTCTAACAAACAGAGTGGAAACACAATTTGCAGAAGATAAGTTTCAAGAAGACATTAAAATTAAAGTTGTTGAACGGCCTCTGTTTATTGGATCATATAACGTTCAAACTCTTGGAAAGAAAAAATTAGGCAATGACGACATAATGATTAATTTAGAAAGGGTAAGTACAACGCAATTTATTTCCTTTTTTAGAACTATTTCTGAGTTTCATTTAACTCCAATCTTATTGATTTAAAAAAAGTGCATATTTTAATTCATTTAATATTTTATATGCGAAAGGTTAGGATAAATACAAAGATAAGCCACATTTTCAAATCTTTCAGAAGAGCTTTTTTAGTGAAAAGCTCAACGATTTTCTGGTAAACAATAAAATGTTTTTATGTGTAATGTGCTTTTATCTAGTGGCCTCTAGTGAAAATCTGGAAATAATACTAAGAAACAATCAATAGCCAGTAAGTGATTTTGGATAAATCTCGAAATACGGATTTAAGAAAATAGACATAATTCGAAATACGTGTTTAAGAAAATACTGACATAGCTCGAAATACCTGTTTAAGAAAATACAAACGTAGCTCAAAATACGTGTTTCAGAAAAGAGACATAACGTGTGTTTAAGGAAATGGACATAGCAAACTTCTCAGTGAAATTTGACATTTTTTTAAAGAATAAACTAATGGATCAAAAATCGAAATAGATCCGTAAAGTGACATCTCCCATTTGCTTTAGTCACCTGGTACAAATTTTAAAATTAATCTTTTTTGAAAAATCAACCGTGCGTTTTTCAAGGTTGTCACGTGTCCTATATATTTCTAATAGTGGTATCAAATTGACTTCCTACGAATTTCGATTTTTTTTAAAACCACTTTACCGTTTAGTGTTCTGAATACTAAGAAATGCCTGGAAAATTTGTGAATCTGTGATATCTCAGCCTCCCCCCCCTCCGACTCTGAAGTCCGGTACTTGGTCCTCTAATTACTATGCTTAGTATTTAAATAAGTAAAGAAAAGTAAATACGAAATTCCTTTAAAAAATTAAACGAAACAATAAATAATTTGTTAATTAAAAAATTTAATAATTTAATGCAATAAATTTCAAAATTGAATTAATTAATCATTAATGATAATTAATTTAATGCAATTAATTAACTAATTTAATACAATTAATTGATTAATTTAATACAATTTATTAATTATTCATTACTAAAATAATATAATGCAATTAATTAATTAAATAAATTATTTTTGAGTTATTGTTAATATTTATGAATTGTTGTTAAATTTGGGTTGAACACTGAAAAATTGTGCTGAGTCCATTTTCTTGCGTCAATTTTCTTAAACATGCATTTCGAGCTGCGTTCACATTGAAAAGCCTATAATTTAAATCTTACTCTTTTTTGTTTTTTTAAAAAAGGGGAAGAGCTTTAGCAATTTCATTTGAACTAAAAAAATTTTAAACAAGAATGCATGTTGAACATTGGGAATGTATTACGAATGTATATTTCATATGATTTCAGGTAGTTCATCGTTATGATTTGATTCTTATAACGGAATTAATGACAAATGATAAGCGATTGATTGGAAGATTTCTTAGCAATGTCAACAGGTAAGATAACAAAAGAACGAAGCTTTATTCGCAGCTTACCTGCATAGTTAATAACATTTTGCTTTAAAAATCATTTTCTCACTTCAATTTATCAAAAGGCAAACATATAGGAAATATTGTAAAATTTATGTTGCTGATGATGAAGCTTCAAAGCAGTCTAGGGTTGCGTTTTAAAGCTTTTATTATGACAAAAAACACTTAAATGGCGATACAAAATAATAAGAGCTGGAACATCTTAATGAGCTCGCTCTCCGTAGCCGTTCAGTGAGTGAATGTAGAGGGAGTCTGCTTAACTACAGGTGGCGCTGCATGGCGTATGCAACATTTATGTTTAATTATGATTTTTGTCCTAATTTAATGTTTTGCGTAAACAATGTTGTTTGCCTTGCATTTACCTAAAAAATCCTTAGTATTAATGTTAACAAATATTATACGGAAACGCAAGAAAAGCATTTTAAAGAAATAAACAAAAATATAAGAATAAAATTTAAAGCCAACTAGATTTCAATAAATGTGTCATTATTAAAAGAACAATGGTGACGCTATTTTAGTTTCAGTAAAAAAAATAATAAATAAATAAAAATTAATAATTTTAAAAAAAACTAATATTTTACTTAACTAATATGAGAAATATAATCTTTAAAAATTTAAGAATTGATTTATGATAGATTTACATTTTGTGTGCTAATTACGGAGAAACGAAATCGGGAAGGAGTTACAAAAAGACGTAACAAAAGAAATTCAAAATCTGTCTTCACTTCAGTACTTGTGAAGATTATTAACATATTATCGGTATATTCCACATTCTTAAGAGGACGCTATACTGCGGAAGAAAATTTTTCCCTCAAATTCTCTTTCTCCCTCATTACTAATTTAAAACTAATTAATACTAAAAAATTAATTCATACTAATATTAATTAGTTATATATAATTAATAATTACTAATTTGAAACTAAAAAATTTATTAATAGCTAAATAACAATAAATAATTAATAATAATAGCTATTAAATAAATAATTAATAATAAATAATTATTATTTAATAAATAATTAATTACTTAATTAATTAAGGAAAGAAATAGTAAGTTCAGGCAAGCCTAAAATTTGCCATGAAGTTTCAATTGCTCAAAAAAATACTTCAAAATATTAAAATACAAGCTTCAAATATTAAAATACTTCTCTATTGCAAGCTATCATCTCATCATTTTGAAATTTTATGGTTTGTCAGAACTCACTCTTTCTGCACCCTCAGTCTCACCATCTTTGAATATCTATCCTTTTTAGAGAAACTTTGGTTTACCTTAGAACATTCTTAATCCTAGAGGCCCTTAGCCTTGAAAGGGGGACACTTGAACTTTCAGTCGATTATTTTAATTATTCTATTAATCTTATTTTAGTCTTATATGTACTTAATGTGATTTTCGCATTTTTACCATTTGATGTTTTACCTGACCTTACTTTTATATGTTTTTACCTGTATTTTTGACACTTTTATTGTGGTTTAATTTTACTCACTTAGGTGTTTTAAGCGCTTTTAACTTTTTTGAGGATTCTGTTTTATTTTTATCAACTTTTCGATTTTGTGATTTTTCCTACGTGTATCAATCTTTTTGGTTTTGATTTTACTTTACTGTAATTTTATAGTGTTTAGTTCACGTGACAACGGGTGAAACCATTATCCGAAAACTGCTTCGGGGGTTGGTCGGTTACTGTTAGTCTTTTTCTGCACTTTAAATTTTAAATTAATAGTAAAGGAGAAGGAGAATTAGCGACTGAAATTTTCTGCCGCCGTACGTCGTCCTCTTAAAAAAACATACTCGCGCGGAAAAAAAGTAAGATATGCCGTAACCATGGTGACAGAGAACATGGGAGAACATAGAGAAAGCGAACATGTGGAGAACATAGAGAAAGCGAACATGTGGAGAACATAGAGAAAGCGAGTAACCTTGAGAAGCCTATTCTATTTTCAAAAAGTATACAAAGCTTGTGAGCTAAGATTTCCTTTCTATAAAATTCAAGAAATAACAAATTTAATTGGATTGAAATAAAACCAACCAAAGGATTATGATATTTGAAAATAAATTCTATTATTTAGTTTTTATTTGAATTTTTTTAGGATGAATTTATTGAAAAGCAGAAAAGTAATGCTTTAAGTATGTATTTATTTCCAGATTTGCCCCTGAAGGAGTCACGTATAATTTGACAATGAATAATGATATAATAACAAACGAGTTCAGCGCATTCTTATACAGGTAAAGTATGCTCTTTATGGAGGAATAAAATAAATATTTTTAATATGATTTCATGCGATTGTCCTGTAGACATATGATGATTTTATTAATACAAGTCTCCTCATTGATAAATAGAAACTAGAATAAATACTTTTAGTATGATTTCATACGAGTGTTCAGTAGACAAATGCTAATTTTAATAATATAAAACTTTATAATGATGAATAAAGTAATGGAATAAATACTTTTGATATGATTTTATGCGAGTGTCCTGTAGACGCGCGTACTGATTTTAATAACACAGAGCTCCTTATTGATGAATAAAATAAATTAATAGAAAAAAAATTTATATGATTTCATACGAGCTTCCTGTGGACACAAGCAGATTTTAAGAATACAATAATTTAATGTCCTAAATTTTATTTACAGTTACATTGAACACCAATCTATTATGTGAAAACAATTCAAACAAATAATTGTGATCTGTTTCTTTCGTTGAAATTCTCGCATTTCCTACTTTGCCAGAAGCGTATTTGTCCTGTCGGACAATTGCTAGGCAATGTGTACTCCTCTAATGTTAATTTAAAAAAATTCCATATTTCAGTCTTTTAAAAAGCTTAGCATTTCGCACTTTATCGTTAACATGCATGTATATAGATTTAAACTATGCCTTATGGAGAGAAAAAAGTAACAATGTTCATAATACGCCTCGCGGATATTAGCAAATTTCAGGGGAAAATCCTGATGCCAATCGGGATCATACATTCAAAAAGATAGAAGAGAAGAAATGATAATATTCATATATGGAGGTGATATGCCTTCCCCACTTTTAAATTTATTTTGTGACTTGTCATTGTTTCACACTTAAATTTGTAATAAAACTCTCCGTATGGATTTGCTGTTAAAATTGTTTTTCCTTTTCAATTTTAGAGTAGATAAATTGAAAGTGATAAAAGTGGATTCCTACTCAGATCCAAGAAAATTCTACCGGTCACCTTACTTTGTTCTCTTTCAATCACCAACATTGAGTAAGCTTTTTTTTTAAATTTACTATACACATTTTTTCCCGTATCACGTATGTTAGGAAACAAATAAAAGTTGGATATAAAAAGAGTTGAAAATAATCATGAACTTTGTGGGAGAGTCATACCGATAATCCCAACTTTCAGCTATGAAAAGGGACATGGAATCGAGTTAGCATGTCTTAGATACTAGTGAATTAGAATTGTATTTTTGTAGTGGTAGATACACTACAGTACTCCCTCGTCAGAATTTTATCTGTGATAGAATTCGATTAACGGGATACCACAAGTTGATTTATTGCTGTTTTTGTGAGAAGCCGGGAGAGCTGTATTAAGATCACAGTAGTTTTGAGTGCTGATCGTGAGAGCTGTATTAAGTTTACGGTCGTGGTCGCTTCTGTGTTGCCATTTGCAGTCGATTGTATACAGGCCGACGATGTGTGTGATAGAGACTGAGTAGCAACAGTGCGAGGAGGTGGATAATGTCGCAGTCACAAGTAGCAAGTCAACTGTTCAATGTGGACCATTCATCGAAGTAGGCGTGTTCAAATCGAAATGGGAGTTTCAGTCAAGGTAGGCGTCTTCTATCACGTCCGAGTCACTAATGTGGGATAGTAGTTATCGACAATGTCAACCTTCGTCTATGAAAAGGTACCCCTGCATAGAAACGAGTTAAAAAGTCTTATATACCAGTGAATTGGAATTGTATTTTTGGAGTATATACATACACTGCAAACTTTGATTTCAGAATGACAAAATAAATTCATCAGTGGGAATGTAAGCAACAGAGCTTAGATGAAAGATGTCACTTGTTTACGTTAGCATCTGTTCCTTCCATTCTATTTCGAGTAAGCCAAGTCCGTCAAGCATCAATTACCTTAAGTGACACAAGATTCTTTCACAAAGTCTTCAATTCTTTCAGTTTATATTTCTAATTTAACACAAAGACAGGCACGAAGCCATGTAGAAAATGACTGTGCATCGAAATTTCCAGGTACACAAAACAAAAGTATATCACGTTTACAATAAAATACATAAGCAAATAATAAATCTAAGTTTAGTAAGTAAAAGACGTAGACGAGAAAGAATTATATTTCAACAATATAGATGTGAGATAGGGCACTGTATTTAATTAACTTCATTTTACTTAACATTTTAACTTACGTGAAGAAACTTAGCTCAACTTTAACACGCCATTCTGCCTACAAACGATCAGCTGATGTCATAGGTCACATGTTTGGTTATATGTGATCTTTTTGAAGTACAAGCACCCAATTATCGCTCTATTATTAACTCTATAATGTGAATAAGCTGTTTCATTCAACTTTTCCAATCAATCTAATATTTATTCCAATTCTACAATTGCAGGAGATATGAAGCGATTCGGTGTCATTGGATTTCATGTAAAGCCATCTCAAGCAGTGCAGGAGATAAGTGCCTTAGCAGACGTCTATGACTTCATGAAAATGAAGCATAAAGTGGAGGTTTGGTAAATTTTCAATCTGCATTTACTGGAGTTAAACAAAAATATAGAAACATTTCTGTTCTAACTCTCTGTAAACAATCATTCTTTTAGCTACAAATGGTTTGGAAGATTTCACATAAACTGTTGGCACAGTTTGAAAGATCATGCTTGAAGCTTTCAGAAATGATGTCCTATTTACCCATGCGAAATTCGGATCGACCCAATCAAGGAGTGAAAGTTATAAGTTTTTTTTCTGGTTTTCATACCAGCAATATTGTAGTTTTACTCAAAAAGTCCAACAAAAAGAACCTAAGACATCCTAAAAAAGAGTCATTAATAGTTGAAATATATTTTTAAAGGTGTTTCTTAGATAAACGATGCTAAAGAAATATTTTTCTGCCTTTTTTAAAGTTTTGAAAGTTTTTCTATGGATGAAGAACATCTTTGAAAACGCGTTTATACGAGAGCCATTTCTTTTTTTCAAGGTCCGATTGGTTGCTAAGAGAAAATCACAGTCAGAATCAAGGAAATTTTGTATGGAACAATGTGATACAACATTAAGCTACTTTTCGGCTTAATCGCCGTTCCGATTTATACATTTGTCGTAGCGTGGTATCAATTTTCCAATACCTTCATCATAGAATGCAGCCGCCTGTGTTTTCAGCCAATTCTGTACGCGGGTTTGCAGCTCGTTGTCTGTGGCGAAAGTTTGTCCTCCTAGCCAGTGTTTCTTCAGTTTCGTAATTTACCCATGCCTCATCTCCTGTGACAAATTTGTTCAAAAACTCATCTCCGTCATGATGGTAGCTCTGGAAGAAGATTAATGCGGCTCTCATTCGTTGAGTTTTGTGACGGTCGGACAGCATCTTGGGAACCCATCTCGCGCAGAGTTTGCGGTACTCGAGTCAAGGAGCTGACCGTGAAATTTTCGGAATCAAGTCACTCAACCTAGAAATTGTGAACTGACGATTTCTGCGAATCACCTGATCCACGCTCTGAACAAGATCATCGGTTGGCACTGACTTCCTTCCCTGGCCGCCTGCATCACGAACATCTGCGCGTCCAGCATCAAAGCTCCTGCACCATTTCCGCACATTGCTATCACTCATGAACGATTCTCGGTACGCTTTATTCATTCGTCTATGAATTTCAACTGCATAGCTTCCTTCAGCATGCAGAAATCGAATGACTGAACGCAATTCACATTTGGTGGGAGACTCTATTTTTCGAAGTATGTTTATGTGCTCCATACGTACTCAAAAATGACAATCGCTAATCCACGCTTTACCCTGGCCAATAAAGACACAGCGCACAGACCTAGCGGATTTTCCTCGAAGTTTTCCGTTAGCGACCAATCAGACCTTGAAAAAAAATAACGCTCGTATTAGGTAGATTTCGCAAATTTACGTTAACCTCCGTACGCTCACTTACGTAAGGTTTTAAGTACTGACGCAGACATTACCCTAAAACAAGAATACTACGCAGTTAAAGATAAATCAAAAACCAGTGCTCGACTACCAAAGCTCAATAAACTGTTAACTCAATCATTTGCACTGCAAAACAGACATTTTGATGTGAATAATATTTTACAACAGAAAAATGTACTCTGGAAAGATCTACTCGATTGATCCCTTTCCTATACAGCTAAAATAAAAGTGCAAAACTGCGCCATATAATAGAGCTAAATGAAATAAGGGTGATAGAACAAATTTAGACTATTGACCAACCTAAAGAACTTACCTATTTTATTTCAGTTATTACGTCCCTTTCTGTTTTAAATGCATATTTTCCTATTTTTCTTCAAGTGTTTTCCATGTCATTGTAATTAATGCTTTTTTAAAACTTGCAATTTCTATGGAGGCAATTTGTAAGAGGCTCTTAGAGTTCAGGGAAGAGGTTGTTGCAACATTTTTACGTAAGCTTACTTTTGCTAACAATGAGGGAGGTGGGAGTCCATAATTGCCAAAGATAAGCTCTTTTTTTTTTGGCAATTATGGCAACATTTGAACAACCCCACACAACAAATTTTACTTTCCTTTTAACGTTTTGTTTCAGGATATTTTGTTGATGGGTGATTTCAACGCGGATTGTTCTTACGTGAAAGAGGACGATTGGGAAAAAATTTCTCTCTGGACAAGACCTGAGTTTACTTGGCCAATCGGTCACGGTACAGACACAACAACCAATTACAGAAGTTGTACACTTGACAGGTGCTTATTTCTTTTTCAATAATATTAAGAGTAATAAAATCTTTAATGACGTAATTGACTAAATACCATTTAATTTCCAAGACTTATCTAGGAAATATTTGTGAATTAGATGTCCATTAACTAACATATTTCAATGTAACCACTACCCGTCGTATTTTACTTCGAGGTGAAAAACTCAGAATGTCCTCTTAGCGGAATTGTGATGATATTATATGCATTATATGTCTCCATCTTTTGAAATTTCTATAATTTCATAAATTTTTAGCCTTTCTTAATCCTATTATAATTAAGCTTATTTAATTACTTAATTTGTATAAAAAAGCGACTGTAAATACTTTTATTCTTTTCTTAACAATCAATGTAACGACTAACTTTTTAAATCAATACAAATATGTAACTCATTCATTCAGTATTGCGACAAATCAATTATCAAATTCTATATTTAGCTTTATTGAAGTTATACTTCTTATGTGACTTCCAACAAGGTTGCGTTAAACGTTTAACGCTACATTTTTATTGGCCGGGAAATCCAGTTTTCCCTCATTCATTTCCATATTGTTTTGGTTCTCACTAGCATGAAAATAATAAAAGTCATAAAAGTATTGTCTTTCTATAAATATTTTTTTACTTTGTTTTGATACACATATAATTTAATAGGGTAGTATTTTTTATTTTCAAATTTAGTGGATAACAATTGGGAAAAATGAGTGAAAACAATCCCACGGACAATGCGACGGATTTAAGGTTATGTCAAGGTACGTCTCTTGTGAATATCAATTGATTGTTAGGTTTTCTCTTCTGAAATTACATTATGACGCATTCACATACATTATTAATACAAATACATTTTCCAGGGCGAGACGATGAGGCAACCACAAGCACTTCCACTGGTTCAAGAGGTCCACGAGGGAAAAATGCACAATATTACCGTGATTACAGAGCACGGAAGCGAGTGGAGCAGGAAAAAGAGTCGTTGAATAGAACTAGTGATCCTTCTACGACTGCTGATTCTTCTACAGTTAACGTCGCAGGTTGCGAAGTTTAACTTCTTCTGCGCAGTGGGACTCCACGTATTAATAGCACGGAGTTGGCTTTATTTTTGGCTCTATTATCTATCGGTAACTTGTCAAATTTTGAGTCTCTTACCAAGCTTTAATGTGCCCGTTAGCAACTATGCATTTAATGGTAATTTGAATTTCGAGACGTTATGACTAGGGGGGGGGAATGTCTATGACCACTAAGTCCGAACGTTAAAAAGTTTTAAAAACAATTAAAAAAAGAAATGCTGAAAAAATTGTTACCTCGCTTAAATTTTTGTCCATCCTTATACGAGATCTTGAAGAGCACTATAGAGTGGCGCCATTATGTGGAACTCATTCTACTGTTAAATAAAGGAAGATGTTTGATTTTGCACTTTATTATGTTATTAATTATTATGTCGATCTTAAATGCAACAAGACATGTTCAGATAGGAGGGTATCTAATCAATCTATTAACATAAGATATTGATTGCTGGCTCTATCTATTTTGGTTATAAACCACTAAATAAAAGTAGCCAGGAAAATGACAGATTTTCTTGGGACAAACAAATTATTGACAGAAAAAATTATATTATACGAAGTTTTTGTAAATAATACCCTCTCCGTATATTCTAGAAATGCTTAGGTTGAGATAAAAAGAAAATTAATGCGAAGTTTTGAAGCAAGTTATTATTGAAAATATTGTTTGTGACATACCAGAAACATGACATTTTGAAATTCAATTAAATTTTATAAATATACAAAGCAGTCGATCCTAGTACAAGGTCATTTTAAAGTGCTAACAGCAATGCTATTTATTAAAATTTAAGAAAAAAAGTTATTTTAGTAGTATAGTATTAGATCTTGGAGCAATACTTTAAATTGTCATATTTCGTGAGAACCACCCATACCACTCTATTGATACGAAACAAACTCATAATTTAACAATCATTTCATTTCACTTCATTTCATGAGCGAATTTTACGCATACAATGAGAATGGCCCCTTTGTTTTATAGATCACAGTGTTTTATAGGTCGCAGTGGTGACTGAGTGCAAAGAATGAAAATAATTTGTTTCAGATAAGTATTTTAAGAAACCTTTTATGTGAAATGTTGAATTTATTTTTATTTTATTTTTAAATATTGATAATTATTTTTAAAAACCTAGGTTTGTATATGCGGGTGAAAATATGAACAGCGGTGTCATCCTAGCTTCAGCCAGATCTTTAGATTTGCAGCAAGAATTCGGACTTTCATTACAAGAGGTAAAATATCGTAATTTTACAAATAAATCATTCGATATTGGTAAACATTTTTGCTTGAAGTGAGCAGGATAAAATATTTTCTATCGTGAAACCATCAATAAAAATGTAGAAAGTAAGTTATAAGGTATTTGTTCAAAACATTCCGCTTTGGTAGTTATAAAAGTATAGTCATAAAACGTCAAAATCACCTCAACTTTTTTTAATAATAAATTCTAAAATTCTAAAGACTAAGAAGAAGAAGAAAGTCTTTAAGAAAATTCTAAAGGCTAAAATATTCTGTAGCTCAATATATTATAACTTATTATAACGCTTATAAACTTAAAACGCTTATAAACTTAAAACGCTTATAAACTTATAACGCTTCTGAACTTAATAACTTATTATATTATATTCGCGAAAGCAACGACCTATAGGGGGCGTTGTTATTTGAGACAAATGATTATTTATAAACCAAAAAACGTAAAATAAGGAATGCTAACGATAAAAAAGTGTTAGCGGTTGTGCGGTTGTTATTCTGGTTTTTAGATCATTCATCTTCCTGGAAAATAGTCATTCCAAGAACTACGAACGATGATACCCCAATGAGGTGGTGTACCATCTTGTTGCAAAAAGACATGTGGCTGAAGCTTTTCCAGTTGTGGAAATACGAAGTTTTCCAACATGTCCAAGTANTTTCAAGTAATTCGGATGATTCTTTATTGCAGTTTATTGTATTATATAGATACAGAAATACAGGGTGTTTATAAAGTCCCGGATCCATTGTGATGTTTAATATCTCATAAAATAATAAAGACAGATTGAAATTAATAACATAAATGGTTAGATAGACTCAAAAAGTTTCATGACCCTTGTCAATGAACTTACACTTGTGCCCCCTTCATCGCATGGAGAATATCTAGTCGATAGTCAATTTCACGCCAAGTAGCGGCAAGCATGTCGGCATCCACAGAGGCTATTGTGGTTGTTATTCTGGTTTTTAGGTCATTCATCTTCCTGGAAAATAGTCATTCCAAGAACTACGAACGATGATACCCCAATGAGGTGGTGCACCATCTTGTTGCAAAAAGACATGTGGCTGAAGCTTTTCCAGTTGTGGAAATACGAAGTTTTCCAACATGTCCAAGTATACGACTGATGAGACATGAATATGCATTGGGCGAGGAGATCCAATTCCTTGGCCACCCAGATCACCTGATATAACGCCGTTGGACTTTTTTCTTTGGGGATTTATAAAGGACAATGTTTACAGGAGGATCGTGTCGAACACTGATGACTTAAAAGCCAGAATTACAACCCTAATAGCCTCTGTGGATGCCGACATGCTTGCCGCTACCTGGCGTGAAATTGACTATCGACTAGATATTCTCCGTGCGATGAAGGGGGCACAAGTGTAAGTTCATTGACAAGGGTCATGAAACTTTTTGAGTCTATCTAACCATTTATGTTATTAATTTTAATATATCTTTATTATTTTATGAGATATTAAACATCACAATGGATCCGGGACTTTATAAACACCCTGTATATACTATTCTATGAAGAAGAATAGTCTGAAATCACATTTATTTATTGGAATCAACTAAGCAATGTTGACTTCACTTTAATTTATAATGAATTGAAAACAGAAAAAAAATGTATTTTACTGTCATACAGACATCTGTAACAGTATGCGATCATAATATCGGAAGTTATCGTTTGCAAGTCTGTTGCTAATAGAAGGGAAAACATTATTGAGCAATTGTTCTTCAAATATTAGGTGCGTTCTGTTTTAGAATGATTTAACAATGTTCTGCGTCCTTTTTTTTTTTTTTTTTTTTTTTTTTTTTTTTTTTTTTTTTTTTTNTTTTTTTTTTTTTTTTTTTTTTTAAAGTTCTTTTTCTGCCATTTCCTTCGGAAAATTTTGTGTCTTATTTTCTGCTAAAAATAAGGCCAATGGTTCTCTAAGGTTCTCTACCAATGAATCTGATAGAACTAAATGTAAACTTAATAAATAGTTGCCTGAAAATATCATCCCCGCTAGAGGGCGTATTCAAGTGCTGCGATCGCGAATAACTTAAGCAAGGGAAAATTAAACAGTTTTAATACTACTTATAAAATATTTCTGACAACCCATAAAGCTTATTTTTAAAAAAATTTCCCCAAAAATGAGAATTTTCGTTCTACAAATTTAATACGTTAAAGTGCCAATTGGTTGCTTACACTTCAAGAAGAAGATTACTGATACCCATGCATGTGACCTATGACGTCAGCGTCAGCTGATAGGCAAAATGACGAGTTAAAGTTGAGCTAAATTTTTACACATAAGTTAAAATGTTACTTGACGTGATGTTAATTAAATACAGTGCCATATCACACAGCGATATGCTGAAATATAATTCTTCCTCGTCCACATATTTTAATTAACTTATTTATTATTTTTATGCACTTTAATGTAATCATAATATATTTTTGTTTTGTGTACTTGGTAATTTCAATGCATAATTTGTTTATGTTCTACATGTTTTCATGCCTGTCTTTGTATTAAGTAAGAAATATATAGTAAGAGTATTGAAATCTTTGTGAAAGAATCTTTGAGTAAGAATATAGAATGTGTCACCTAAGAGAATTGGTACTAGCAACTTCTATGCAGACGGGCTCGACTAACTCATATGGAAAGAACAGTTGCTAACGTAAACAAATGACACATTTCAACAACCAATCAGGATCGAGATACCCACACTGCGTCACTTGCATGCATCCCATTAAATTGTTAAAGTATAGCTTATTATTGTAAATATAATACATGACTCTTAATTTCCCTCTTAGGTAAGGTCTCTGTCAGATCACAAGCCTATTGAAATAAAAATACGAGGAAAAAGTAAGGACTTTTCATCAACTTCACTTTTTTTGTTTTGCTTATAAAATTTATTATATTTATTAATCAATTCATTAATTAATTTTATAAACAGCTAAGGTAGAAATGAAAATTAACCTAGCAATTTCAAGACGTTCGAAGCCAAGACAGTCAGATTTATTTGATACATTGTCCCTGATTTTACATCTAAAAATATTTTAAGAATCGGATATGCTTTAAAATTCAATTTTCGATCAAAATTCAAATTTATTTTTTCAATTTTATTTAAATGTTTACGCGTAAGTAAATAACGATATATTCTTCATGATTGAGTAGTAGAAGCTTATTTACGTAGCACTAGCTATTGCAACTAGCGTCGCAATGAGCTATTGGCAACGGCCTGGGAAACATCCCTGAGGATGTGCCCCGATTTTCAAATCTTATATTTTTGTTTAAAATGGTTATGCATAGTGCAGCTTTTGCCAAGCGTATGAAGCTGCCGTACCATTTATAAGTCCTATCCTAAGCTACCTACAAAATGAAAAACCAATCTTTTAGCCAATTAAGCACAGGATTTCATTTTAGAAATCCCCCACTGATTGCAGAATTGAAATCGAACTCAGGGCAAATGGTGCTAGAATAAATATTTTACGAAAAACTTACAACCAAGATATTTTTTAACACTTTTTATGACATTCTAGGGTATCAAGTCCGGTGTTTGCAGCCACTTACCAACACCAATAATTGTTTATTTTTATTTTATAAACGTCGTTGAACAGCTGACCGAATCTTGGTTTGCGATTACTTATGATCGACTCCATAACCTTGTAATTTTGCATCTAATCCAGAAGAACTCTTGGATCAAGTATTGGAGGAAATTTGTCTTCGTGGAGGACTTTTTGATGAAACCAACCCGAATTTGCGTATCGTGGAGAGGAAGGCCATGAAAACCTCCCACGATTAGCTTGACGACAAAAAGACTCAAACCCATGATCTGTCTACCACTGAGGATATTTTACGTCAGCACTGTGATCGGTGCGAGCCGAGTGCGGAATTCGTATCGACCAGCCATCACTTGGATTCAAACCCAACAAATTAGCCACCACGGCTCAAGTGTTGTTTCTTGGAATAAATAGTTCCCCCCCCCTACAAAAGTTGAAATCATTCTCTTAAAATATACGTACCAAAAAGAAATCCGTTTGCTAAATGTTGTGCACCTACCTCCCACGTCCAACATTTCTTTTATGATTCAATTAAGATTTATCACTGAACCTAAATAATTTTTGTTTGTTATTCTTTCTTTAAATAACACTTAAAATTAAAGGTATCTTTTAGATGCGATATGAATCGTATTTAGTATACAGGCTGATATAAACTACATAAGATTTGTGCACAAAGCTGCTGGTAAAGCTCTTAATCATTTAACGAATCTCTTTAACTGTAATTTATAAATATTTATTGACGTCATTTGCACCAAAAATAATAATTGTAAAACAGTTCATAAGTTTTGAGAGCGATTTAAATAAGTTTGTCTTAAGATGCAGCAGAATAAGACAATTTCATAGAATCTTATATATATAATTCTCTTATGTGGTTCCCAAATTTTGGCTGTATTTCTTTTCCGCCGGTGGCAACGTTTGCTTTGTTTTGTTTCGACTAATGATTGCCGCTAAAAATGTCACATGCCAAATCTAGCTGAGGTGGCTCAACATATAGCGCTTTTAAAAACGGAAACTGAAATAACCAGAGAGCATCAGCTGCGGCAATCTCATACTATTAAGCCAGGCAGAAGTGAGTAGTAGTCTTTGTCGATAGATCTCTATTTAGTATTTTGTCGAAAGCACTTTTTTTCACGAATTTATATATTACGAATTTATTTGACGATTTTAGATTTTTATCACGAATTATACTATAGCACATTTCTAATGGGTTTAACGAATTACATGTCATTTATTTGAATTCAAATTTATTTTAATGACTTAGTATTTACTAAAAAGATGTAATTTTTTTTGAAAAAAAGTTTTTATATGGATTTGAATGATTGTTTTGAATTCTTAGAATTTTGTGCATTTGCAATGTACCTAAGTTAGTAGCCAGCGAAGTGAGCTTGGTTTGTGAGGCAAACTATATAAGATTGCGCAGCAATTTTCGGGGATTGGCGAGCGTTAGCGAGCAGGGGGCGCAGCCCACTAGTTACATCATAATAAAGAAATAACTCTTTTAATTTTAAACTCTTAAATTAGGAAACAAGCTAATCGCAAACATAATAACAACTGAATAGAATTCATATATTACTGGTGCAAATAGGTTATAGGAAAACAGTACCTTTATGACTTTCATTAATGGATTGTTTTCCTAATGCATGACTACCACACATACATTTCCTAGTACATGTTTTCCTTATGCATTTAATGCTTGACTACCAAACTTGAAGATGGCCGGTATTATGATGAAATCTTAAAACGAGTACTATATACATTATTTTTAACAAGCGAAAATATGAATAATTTGTCATTTAGAAGTTAAATGAAGTTTTCTTTTAAGTCTAAGACTACGTGTTCATGGATATTTGTCTAAGTTCAGAAATCTTTTGCCTTCTGACCATCTGTGCTGGGGTAATTACTAATTTCTCCATAGGAAGATAAAAACTAATTTGGTTTAGATCAGTGTTTCCCAACGTGGGGCCCACGCCCCACCGGGGGGCAATTCATAAATGGACTCGACATGAGTTTAAACCTTTTGCTCTGGGCCATTTAAATGCAATGCGAAATTTCGGTGACAAAATCGAAAGAAAAAAGCAAATTCTTAAATAATTGAGGTCAATAAATATTATGTGACTTAGGGATTTTTTAAGCGACAAACCTGAAATGAAGTATCTGTTTACAGTCGATGGTAAAGCATTTGTGAGTTATTTAGCCAATATCTTTGAAAAACTGAATATATTAAATAAGAAACTTCAAGGAACAAATAAAACCTTGTTGATGCAAAAGCGAAGATATATGGCTTCANGTATAAATATTTCTTGTAATTAATCTCACTATCAATTTCACTGTTTTCTTTGCTGGTTTGTTGTAGTATTGTTGACGTGAAGTGTTTACATAGTTATCGATCGAACTAATCATAATGGTATTATCGATATCAAGAACTCGCAGAAATGCAAAATGATGAGTCAGTTAAAACTTTATTTAATATAAAAGGAGTGATGGTATGGCTTCGTGAGGAAACAGAAAACAAATACTCAAATTCAATAAAATGTGCACGAAAACTATTGTTACTGATTCCATCTTCATATTTAGCTGAATGTGGATTTATTGCTGTAAATGATTTTATTGGTAAAAAAAAAGATATCGTCTGGATATAACATAACGGGGAGACTTGAGACTGAAGCTAACCAAATTGGAACCTAAGATAAAATCTACGTGCAGCAAGCATCAAGGGCAAGAATTTCACTAAATTAAAATATTAAATTATTATAGAAAAATCTTTATTAAAATTATTTCGAGTTTTAGTTTTTCATCATATGTTCGGAAAATTTACTTACTTTGTTTCGCTAACAATTTTCTAAGTTTCTTAAGTGAACAATTCGATTTTGTAATATTAAAAATTATGTATATGTTACATAGGGAGGCATAAGAATTTTAGAAAGGCTTAGGTGGGTCATGGTGCAAAAAAGGTTGGGAAACACTGGTTTAGATTTTAAAAACTTTTCTGATGTCTGCAGTTTTATTATTGTTTATGTCAACTTTTCCAAAATTGGGTTATTGGTTATGGCCCCATTTTTAGGTTACTTTCTCTGAATAGAGTAAATATTAACATCGCATAAACCACTCATGAAATGAGATACTTCATCAGTTAGGATGCTTTTATAAATAAAATTGCTATCACGTGAAACTTGTATTCCATTCCTGCTTTTTCATGGGAGGATTTTGATAGCACATTTTTCTATAATGCTCAGCCACCAGTTTTTGAAACCAAGTGTCCCGCAGTGGACTGATCGTAAGGACACGATTTCCAGCAGAACACTGAAATCAAGCATCACTATCTGCGGTCAGTAAGCGGATGGGTGACCACTTTGGTAAGCCTTCGTAGGGACAGAGGGAGCGTGGTATCGGTCCTCGTTAAACTGTTCTACAGTGAAGTGCTCGACTTCTGGCGTGCAGGTCGTCCGGCAACCAACAATTGCGATGCCATGTGTTTGAATCATCCTCAGGGATGCTTCCCAGACCGTCGCCTATAGCCCATCGTGTAGCTCTAGTGCGACGTAAATAAAGTACCTACCGTACCCTTGAAACCAAGCATCATATCATTATTTGTAGTCACCTCCTTCACAGTGCATAGTTACTCCTTTATTTTCTGGCATATACCATCTAAAGAACTGTCCTCTGAATCACTCATTGTGTGATAAAACGCAAAAACAAAATAACAAGCGACACTTAAATAATTCATTGTTAGGTTATACGAACCATCTCATAAGCAACAACAGCCGCAATCTAGCGGTATATCTCCAAGCTTATAGCGAAAACAGGTCACCTCCAGAATATGGTATGTTTTGGCACCAAATTGTGACTTCACTCCACGAAATATACTATACCAAATAGGAGGACATGAATCTTTTATATCCTAAAAATGTGTATCTATGTCAGCTAAACTTAAAAATGCAATGACTGGTTTTCGAACTCATCGATTCAATTAAAAACAATGAGAGCTTATTGTATTCTTCACAAAAGACAGTTATTGCGATGCGTATGACAAGTATGTTCGCCCAAAAAAAAAAAATAATAATATTTATTTTGCCGGGTGCAGGGGGCTTCCGATCCGAAACCATACATAAGCTGTGACTTAAACGGCAAGTATCAATTTGTATAAACAATAGCGTTGAAATTGCGTAAAAAATGAGCAGGGTCGATACTAGCCCTCTGCTCTACGAAGCAGTTTGCTAGATATTGTTTAATTTAATAGAAAAATTCGAAGCATTAGATTAAAAAAAGCTCTCTCTGCGTCACTTTTGAAGCAGGGCTCAAAATGAGACGGGAAAAAAAGAAAGATAGATAGCAAAACAATTTTATTTGTAACTGTTTCTTGTGAGGAGTAAAAAAAAAAAAAAAACTCTTTTCGACTTTTAATTCTGACTATTTACTTCATCTTAGGTTTTATTTTATTTTAGAACCAGCTTTGAAAAGCTGACCTAATTCTGAATTTACGACTATTATAATTAACTCCATATCCTTGTAATTTTGAACCTAACCCAGAAGACAAGGAAACTCATGGATCAAGCATTAAAACAATCTACCCTTTGCGGAGGACTTTTTTTAATTGAAATTAAACTAACCCGCATTTGCATTACATGGAAAGGAAAACTCTCGATTCCCCTACCACTGAGGATATTTTTACGTCAGCACTGTGGTCGGTGCAAGCCGGGAGCAGAATTCCTATCAACGAGCTCGAGCCTGGTCACCTCATTAAGAGGCAAACGCTTAATCCCCTGACCAACCGATGCTTTTCATATTAAGTTAAAAGAAACACACACACACACACACATATATATATATATATATTTATATATCAAATTTACGAACGAATTTCGCGTACATTGTAACTGCATTAAAAATGAATCTATGACAATAGCATTGTAAAGGATATTTTTTTCAAATTTCTTTTGAATGAAACAAATGAAAGATATAGTTGTCTTCCTTTATGCTATCCTATAAAGATCTTTTGCAGTGGTAAGCAAATAATTATAAAAGTAACAACTTCATACAGACATTTTAATTTCACTAATACTTCAAATAGAAACAGAAATACTGTTCGGATTTCTTCTTATTTATTTTTATTAAAGGAACTATCAGTGGTCATTTTCGGTTCGCCAACACGTAAGAACAATGTCAGATTCTTGTTCAAACAGGTAACCGGCTTCCAAGAATACACATAGGTATATCAAATATGACAGTATCGAGATCATTTGCGATAATAACACACATCGTAATTAAATTAGATAATGCCATAATCATTATTGATGTCTATAATTATCGATTAAGATAATACAACGATCATTATAGATAGCAAAAGCCACCGTATACTGAGAATATCATGTGTAACGATAATTATTAAATACGATATTATTGAGAGTGTTAGTCAAGTTTATTTGAATAAGGGAAATATTGACCAATGTAAAAATAATATAAATTAGTTGAGTTGGGAAAATATCGCAATATGTGGTTGGATATCAATATTTTTGATGATTCTTTACGATTCTAAAATTCGTACTTTACCGTTTTAGGGGTCAATTTTCTTGTTGGCGACAACTCTGAGAAGCAATCGCCTCCACATAAACGAAAAGTACCCTAAAACCAAACAATAATCTAGTATAATAGTGACCTGGCGGTGGTTCTCTATATAAATAGCAGACGGCAACACAATAAGAGGCATTTATAACTTCCTATGGATAATAGGAATGCATTGATTTACACTAATCTGAGCAGCTATGACGTAAGAGGAGGACTGCAAAATTTCCGGTTTAGCTTGTTTGTTTAAGATATTGGGTGAACAATAAGTTTTGTTATCACTTTATATAAAGAAAAAATTACATAAAAATTCCAGAAAGTGGTAAATTCCTAAGTCGTCATCACATAAATAAATAATTACATTATTATATTGTATCGGAATTTAACATTTTACTGTGAATGACCGAAATTGGTGGGTGTTGGCAATCTCATAGTCACTTTGGTAAACGTTCGAAAAATATACGAGATCTAGTTAAGTGCCACTGCCTCGTATACATTTGCCCGGTATGCCCTACATCAATGTTATTTTAAGGTCAAGTGCCCAGTATGCATTTAACCAGTACTCCGAACATTGATTTTTTTCTCCTAATCTATCCTCAGTAGATATTAAAATATCGAACAAATATCAAATCGGATAAAACAAATATTTCAGACATTCACCGGTGAAAGTCGACATTCTCTTGATTTCGGTCGTTCACGATAACATATGTGTTAGTTTTTTTAAACTTATTCATTCTTTTTTTTTTCTTTTTAGTGTCAGACACGGGTGAACAACATCTCACTTCAGAAAGTTGCTTTACAGTCAAAGATTCGAGAATGCCAAATGTCACCCAGTCAGAAGCCGTAGAAGCTGGCAAAGCTGCTCACTACACAACCCAGGTATCCCAATCAGGCACTATATTCATGAAAAATTCCACTAAAGACTTCGAGGACATGATGGGTGCTTTGAAAAGTCTTAAAAGAGCCATGCCACTCACTTTTACGAACGAGCAGTATGAAGCCATATTGTACAAGTTGGAAGAAGGAGCATTGGAAGACAGAAGCTCTTACGCCGATGAACAAAATGTTTTCTTCGGAATAGACTATTCAATTTTAAAAAATCATTGTGCTATTATGGTTTGTAAAACCAGTACAATAAATTAGAGCTTTTATACGTTTAAAACTTTTTCAATTGGGTGGCGACAAAAACAAGTTTTTAGTTACGGTATACTCTCGATATCTAAAAGTTGAAGGGACGCTAAAATACTTCGAGATGCAAGTTCAGATCTTCTAAAAAGTAAAAAAAATATATTTTAAAATATGACTTTAAAAGGTAGAGTCATGAAACATAATAATAATATGTATGTAATCATAGTTGACTGTAAGTCTAAATACAACAATGATAATTTTATTTTTAAAAATAATTAGGCATTGAATAGAAAAGGATTGGTGTATAATGATTTTACATTGTGATTTTTCCAAAAAAAAATTCAATTTCTCCTTCGAAAAAAATTCGACGTAACAAGGTTTTGAGAAGAAACTCTTCGACATAGAAATTCAAATTAACATTAGGTTAATATTTAAAGGGAAAATATTTTTTTGACAAAACAAGGTTTCGAGATATCGAAGTTCGATATATCGAGAGTATACTGTATTCGCATTTTTATTACGTGCATAGAGCTGCGGTTTATAGAGATAAATTAGAAAATTTAGCTACTTACTTATTATAGCATTTTTAACAGCGACCATTTTAAACACTTAAAAAACTGTTGAAATATCATGCCTTCATTTAATAATAATTAAATGAAGGCATTTCGTTTGTAATTTCTTAAAATGTACTAAGCACAACAAAGTTCTAAAATGAAGACTTATTTTAACAAAAAATAAAGTAATTTTCAGAATATTATAAATTTTTTATAGGTTCTTAACCTTATCCTCTTTGCGAACCCCTTTTTAAATTTCGAGACAAACTGGCGAACCTCTCATATGTTAAGTAATAATAGATAAATAATTGATAAACCCAATTCAACAAATCAACCGATTCTCTGTTAGTCATACATTATATTTTTTAGAATCACACTGAATTGCGTTACATGGAGAGGAAAACCATGAAAATCTCCCAACTCCAAGGGATTCTAATCCATGATCCATTTACCACTGGGCTGTTTTACGTTAGCCCCGGTGCGAGCTGAAAGCATAATTCGAATCGACCAGAAACTCTTGGATTTGAACCTGGGCCCACCTTACTAGAAGGCGAGCACTCTGTCTTCTGAGCCACTGTGGCTCTATACCTTTTATTTGATTCCAGTCTTAGATAGATAATAAGTAGTACAAAAATAATAACATTTATAATGTTTTTTTATTATTATTATTAAACAGCTTATTTATTTGCAAATTAAGTGAATAAAAGAAAGATCTTTACAAATAGTTTCTAAGAGCTGTGTGTAATCAGTTTTTATTTCTTCCTGTCAAGTTAAAGATATCTCTATACATGCAGATCTGGGATTTACGTATTCCCAGTTGTTTTACAGAAATATATTGCATGTAATAGGAAATTAGTTAATTCAATTTTCTGATAAAAAGCTACGGAAAAAGCAAAAGATTCTTATTCGTTAATCAGCATATATAAATTTTTCAGAATCATTTTAAATTCATCCTACTCATTGAAAATGACAATTAGTGCTTTATAATATAGGACTAATTATGAAATTCTTATACTCGCTAGTGATGAGTTATGGCATTTTTGACTTTGGCTCATTCTCGCGTCCAAAATGAGGGAGTGAAGTATCGACATCTATTTCCCGTTCCCGTGATATTTCCGGGCCACAGCATTAAAAAGTAATACACCAAAAAAGGTTTAAATATATCAGTCTCTTGAGCCCAGAATTTTTTATTTCTTATTTTACACACTAGTTTACACTAGTTACTATTTTTGATATATCAGTGTGATGTTGGCCTTTGCATCTCATGCTTTGAAATTACATACAAGAAACATTACATGCATGCATACAAGAAAAAATTACGAATATATACTATTGTTATGCTTAAGTTTTAAAAAATTCTGTTTTTACGTTTAAAACAGGTATTTTTTTAATTTTCCTTGCTTACAGGAAAATCAACATTCAAGCTCAATAACACTGAATGTTGGCTTCACCTAAAGAATTAAATTTTCTAAATATCAAGCTAAAAAAAATTCTGAGAATCAATAATAAATACATACATTGTATATACACTTTTTTCATATTATTTTCTTGAATAAAAAAAACATACAATTTTATGACAATTTTCTTGAAAATAATAAGATTATTAAGATGTTAAAAACATGTGATCACTTTTTCAAAAATAGAAAACTTTAAACGATTAAAAAAACTTTTGGCATTAATAATGTAAGGCATTTATTTTAAAGCATTTCTCAAAATGAGGTAAATATTACAAGTTTGTTTTCTAAAATGAAAAAAAATTAAAAATAAAATTAAAAAAACATAAAGTAAAGTAATTTTCGGAATATTACAAAATATTATAAATAATTCCATATTTATTGAAGAAAAAAAATAATAGTCGACAAAAAAAGGTGGAGACCGCCTTTTGTCAATACTTTATTTTACAAAAGAAAGAAGGTTTTTTTTGTCGTAAAAAAGTTTTTTTTAACCATAAACATATCAAAAATGTAAGAAAACGAAAATACACGATCAAGAAACTACTATTTTAACATTCTTCAATTAATAAAAGTGCAATAATTATGCATGTAATTTAACTATTTTAGCATTTTTTTACGTTAGACATTTAAAATTCCGTTTTTGCAATTATATTTTTGTGAAACCAAATCCCAAACGATTCTTTACAGTAGAGTAAGGGGTTCACACACTTTTCCAAGTTCTGGACCCTTTACGAGATTTAAAATTATCTCATGACACACCAATCCTATAAACTTTATCTGCGAATTATTCATTACATACTTGTAATATACTTTTCATAATTTACAAAAAAAAGATACTGTGGAAGTAATGTCATACTTACAATACCCACTATACTTTACTTGTAATAAATAAGAAAGTATTAAAAACAATAAATAAACACTGTCTTCTTTATTGGCACTACAGCCCGGAGTGGGCCTTAGCCTGCCACACAATATTTCTCCATACAGCTCTTGGAGACCTTTAAATTTTTTAAATCATTCATCCACATCTTTAGTCTGCCTCTTGGCTCATTGCACACGGGCTTTCAAAGCAAGATCTTTATCACTTGGTTGAAATAAACACATTAAAACCCTTGTAAATTGACCACTTGCAAAGCATTGCTCTAGTGGTCAACTACAAGAGTGGCCAACTGAAAAGATTCCCCTACATTAATATGTATTTATTTTTGAGCACTAATTACTTTTTAAAACGGAACTAGCTGTAAAGATATCTTTGCAAAAGAATGAGAATCTTTATAAAAGAAAAATTCAAAAAACATAATTTAGACTTAAATGAATAAACATAATTGATGAACATGACTTGGACAAATAAAAATAAACAGAGACTGAAAGTCATGGACAACATGCAATGGTCTCTCACCCCAGTGCTGAAGCATAGACGTAAGGAGAGCAAATCTGAAAACCTGATTCGTTGGCTTGAAGTGAAAAGTAGAAAGACATGTAGAAGGACGTTTTTTATTGGCCGAATGAACATATGACTAAATTACAAAAGAAAAATATTTGAAACAATAAATGAGCATTAGACATAGAATCTAATTTAAAGTTGTACACAATTTGCATAAAATAGAATTCCTTTCTCTCACTCTTTACTTTATAAACACAGAATTCATTTTCAGATTCTATATACATCAACATTTTACTATTAAACACAGTAAATATATTTTTTAAAAAAACATTGTAAATGGCTTGAGTATAACCACTTATAAATATTCAAAATACTACAATACACACGAATAGTTACATTGTTCTAACAGTTATACAATAAACATTTATACTTCAATGGCAACAAAAGAGAAAAATACAGCCAATGTTTCATTACATACAAATATCTTACAATATAAAAGCTTGACAGTTTTGATAAATTCAAATAAAGTTATTGGTATCTCTATTATAAGACTTAGAAAGAAGTATCTACAAATAGTAAAACCTGTCGTGAATATATTAGATTAAACAGTAATTAGATATCATTATTTCAGTAGTTTGAACATAAGTTTAAAGAAGTATAATAAGCATTAATTGAATGTTCCTATTTTCAGATCTTGTAACAAAAATGAATTTTTACCTTTAATCAGTCACTAACCCTCTTAACGCTAGTCCCTGCTTTTTTCCAAACTTTAAGCGGTAACCTTTTCTGCATTAAAGAACTGGTTTTCACCATGAAATTTAATAGAAAAGTAGTGCAAAGTGGAAAAATTTCGATTAAATTTTTCCCATGAGCAGAACGTTTGGAGGGATAATGTAAATGAGACTTATAATCCTATTATTTATGAAAAAGATAAATAATTAACTTTAGATTTGACAATTAATATCACAGCCAAGGGCAATAAAAAATATTATTTTTGCAAATTTATTACGAGGCCAAACTTTCCTTTAAAATCAAAAGTTAACATAAATACAGTTAGAAAATAAAATTTGCTAATGTTTATAATCACCAATAAATAAAATTATGTCGATATCAGTGCAAATGAAAGACTAGAGTCGATAAAATAATACAGAAATAAATCTCAAATAAAAGGATATGAAAATAAAAATGAGGCAAATATAAAATTATTCATAGATAAACTTTACACTTTAAAATACATACTTTTACCATAATATAAAAAGAAAAAGTGATAAATGTCATAAAACTCACTTTATAATGTACAAAATAAACATTTTAATCTAAAGACAATGACTATTTGAAAGAATTTATGTACAAAAAAAAAACTCAACTTACTAGGATATATACAACTAGGTACTTCCTACGATACTTATGATATACTCCTTAACAAAAACATGAATTGAAATAGCACAACTACATTTAATATTTTACCTCTTTTCTAATAATTGAGCTGGAATATCAATAACAATTCAATGTATGCAATCAAACATTTAATTATAAAACTCAAAACTACAATAGAACCTCAATTATCATTTTAAAAAACTCCCGTTTTCCTTTTGTATAATTACAATATTTCATTGTAAAGTTAACATCCCGATTTTCATCAATAAACTCTAAAAATTGAGATTTTTGTTACAATAATACTTAGCCATACTTAGAATTATAGGGGGCAGCAGTAAAACTCGGACAAAGTTACTGCACTGTAGAAAGAAAGTTAACTCTTTTCCTTTTAATTTGTATTCATTTTTTTTGTTGTCTACCATTTTAATAATAAATTATTTTGCAGTTTATATAATGTTTTTCAGTTTTTTTACAAAGTCAAGCAACAGATCTATTAGTTTAGAGTTGTTAAAGCAAAAGAAAACAACAGTGTGAAATCTTTTGTTTACTTTGTGCGCAAAAGTTTGGACTCACACAAACAATCGCTTCAGTGTGAATCGGAGAGATTAGAGGTAGAAGGCTAGCAAACCATTTTTGAAAATTTCAATAAGCGTTTATGCTTTGGCCACTATGAAACCAATTAAATTTATTCATTAGTAAAACTCTACTCTTATTTGTTAATTTTTTCACTTTTAATAAGGTTATATTAAAAATTGTTTGCCAGACCCTGCAATATGAATATATAATAAATGTCTTTTTGTCAAATAAGTATTAAGATATTTTATTTTAGAATTCACTTGCCTAATTATTCCATAGTAGTGAGGAGATTTAATTATCGACTATGTCATACTTCATCTATCAAAAGGTACCTTGTGATAGAATCAAGTTAACATGTCTTACATACTAGTGAATTGGTATTTATTATTTATAGTGATAGTTATGCCACAGTAGTACTCATCTTCTCCTTTTTTAGTAAACAGTACAAAGCAGCACCGAATAATTAGCTTATTTAATTATTTTGGAATTTGATTTATTTTCATTTACAACCTTTGTACGACTCTTCTTGGATATATACATGCTAACATTATGTAATACACTACCTTTTAGCTGTAATAGAGGGTCAAAAGTAGAAGCATGTGGTCAAACTAAACAATACTTTTAATAATATGGATGAAACAACCGAAATTACAGCCTTCATATTTCTTTAGCAAAACTGAAAGCAATTCAGTAACAAAACGCTTATTTGTTACTTACATGAAATCAGAAATTCTATGCAGTTGTGCAGTAAAAAACGTGTTTTAATTCAGAACCTCATGCTTAGCATTAAGACTTCATGCATAGTTGATTTATGTTAGCATAGTGCTGAAATTGAGGAAATAAAAAAACAAAATATGTAAGAAAAACAACCCTTCAAAATGGATTTTGGTAAATACAAGTATTCTTATAAAATAGGCTGACATAATTACAATTATAAATAAATAATTTTTAAAAAATAAATAAATAAATGATGGCATAAAAATTCAAATAAATATTGGTAATACAGAATAATACAGTAATTCTTTTTTTAACTGCATTACAGTGACACAAAAATATAATATATAAGCACCAGTCTGCATAGGAAATCTCAATTATTAGAGTTTTAATCACTTTAAGGAAAATATAAAATAATAATTTTAAAAAAATTATTAGTATTTGTTACGTTGGTAACATCATATATAACAAATGCAAAAATAAATTGATAGTTTTCAAACATACAAATTAAAAAAAAAAAAACTGGTTGACAAATAAAACAAATATTTTTGAGATCTCGTTTCAGTAATAACCATACCAAAAATCAATTATATTTCTCCGTATCCCATTATTATATAAGTTTATATTTCCATCTTTCCAATCTTGATACGTAGCATTGTGACACACAAACCAGAGCTGTTGTAGTAACAAATAAGAGCAGAAAACAGCAATCATCAAAGTATAAACTGCACTCACAAAGCAAATTGCAATGCTATAAAGATAAAAATACTGATAATTAAATTAATATTCTTAAAAAAATAATTAAAATTTATTTTTGTGTTACTTCTTTAATCATTTGTGTATTTTTGTGTTACTTCTTTAATCATTTGCACAATTCAAGAAGTGTTATAAAAGCAAATCAAATGATTAAATTAATTTTACTATTTTTTGACAAAAGTTATTACACATTTGTTTCATATTTGCATAAAGGATAGCTTTGATAAGGAGTTCTGTTAACAACAGCGATTCTGCTTGCATGCCATAGAGCATTAAATACGCTAAAATAAATTTTAAGGGGATGAGAAAATAAAAAGCTATGGCGGAAGCATTATTCTGTGAGACTGCTCGGACTGATGTCTCTAAAGAATATAAATGGGAGACTAATATTATTTTAAATATAGACCTGCCATCAGTAAAAAAGACTCGGAAACATGAATATCTTGAGTCCTTAGGACCCACAGTATTCTAAGTCAAGTTGAATCTCTGTGACAAAATGCCAAAATATAAAAAAGGCAAATTTATTAACTAAATTTCTTTAACAATTGTGAAACCGAAAAATTTCAGTCAAAGAAAGCTATAATAATAACGTTCATTGTAGTAGGGGGAGATTAATTTCTGTTATATGTTTCATGCAAAAAAATAAAAGGCCTGGTAGAAAACAATACAATTTAAGAGATAGTGCTGACATATAATTTTAACACAAATAAATAAAAGTTTTTTTTTAGTCCATAGAACCAAACTTTTAAATAGTCAGAATCAATCTAATACTCATGATTATGACTCATGCTGAATTGTCTTAAATTTGCGATTCTACAGTCTTAGAAGTAATAGAATGTGAGGGATCTTATATTTATATGCAGGGTCTGTTGATTTAAATCAATTGAAATTTTTAAAAGAATCATCAATTTAAAAATGTATAAAACATTTTATTACATTGTTTAAATTTTTTAACTATAGTCATAAATTTAAAATTAGTTCTTCGAATTAGCAAAATTACATTAGTAAATGAGTCACGATGGCTCAGTGGTTAAAGCAATGGGCTGTCATTGTGAAGAACAGGGGTTTGATCCCCAGTGGGGGTTTCAGATCGATGGGTATCAGCTTGTATGGGAAGTAAAGGCGGCCTGTGAGTATAGCTGACCACATTGCAATAATCATGCCGTTGGTCATGAAATCGTGGAGCCTTATCCTCCATAAACTCCCTGGCCCACAATGGGCTGTTGAGGGAATGATTTTTAATTAGTTCATAATGAGTTATAGTACTGTTGCAATGACATTTTAAAAATATAAGAGTGATTTTCTCAAAAAAGTAACTTTTGTTTAAGACAATTAGGAAAATTTCATCTCATAATTCCTACTTACCGTTGACAATTTTTACATTAAGATTATATATTAAAATATACAAATCAATGACCAGCACTGAAAAAACTTTAAAAATAAAAATTTAGTGACAATTTTAAATTTTAATTGCACCGATAAGTATAATTACTGTCCCCCTTTTAAAGACTTTAAAACACATTAAGAAAATATTTAATTTTTTTCCATAAATTAATACTTAATAAGTAAATATAGGAAAACATTTTGTATAACATTTAATTGAAAATTCAATTAATATTTTTTTTGAAAAAAATAGGCAATGGCAAAATTGTAAAAAATTTTTAAATAAAAATTCCAAACATTCTTACGAAAAGCATGATAAATTCACACTTGGATCTTAGCTTCGAGTTCAAAACATAGTTAACATTATACAAAATCTATATACAAAGTTTCAGAGAATTCTATATTAATGCATTGAATTCTATATTAATCTATTGTATGTTAATCTATCAAAGAATTCTATATTAATCTATTGTAATGTGTGCTAGCTTAAAGAGATTTTCTCAAAATCAATGTTTTTCTAAAAATTTATTTCATGTATATAATTTTTATTCTGTTTCAACTGTCAGAAAACAAAAAAGGAACTAAAACTTCGATTCTGAAGGTAAGAGAATAAAAAATTTAAATGATTTTGAAAGCTAACGAACAATGGTTAAAATACAGATACAAAAATTTTTTTAATTTTAGTCGAAATTTCCAATTTCTTCCAGTCGGATACTTTCAGCTTATTGACCCTGAAAGAAACGGTACTGCAATTAAACCTTACTGATCTGAAGAGAAAAGTGCTACATGTAACCTGGAAATTATGTTAAATTCAACCAGGGTGTAAGTGTTTTATTGGCACTTTTTGAACTAGTGACTGTAATTACAAAAAATTGGGAGACAGACCCTTATAATATACACAAACACGCAAATGCTGCTCATGGAAAATTTGTCACCATAGCAGAAAATTTTCTACAACTGCTAACAAAGAAAAGAAAAACTGCCTCTTCAAAAAATTTTGTCTTTTTTGAATTCCTGAGAAATAAAAAATATTTACTTTTCCACTTTTTCTTAACAATGCAAAAGCAATTTATAATTATATTCACATGATTCAAAATCACACATTGTGATTCCTTATTATGCGATTTAAAATCTTGCATCGAGTTTTGAATTTTTACAACTTTATATTAAATATCGCATTTCATATTCACTTGATTTAAAATCCACTATAATTATTATTTGTGTTCGAGTGTAAACCATAATTCGGAATTTGTATTCATGCGATTTTAAACTCAAACATCAAAACTTGTATTAGCGCGATTTTAAAATTAAGCGCTGATATTCGTATTTGCGTGATTTAAAAATCCCATATTGGATTCATATTTGAATCATTTAAATAAATAAATAAAATCTAGAATTAATATTTTAATTAAAACGTTGATAGCACACTGTGGATAAATGCTTTCTACATACATTTTTTTCTTGCTCAATTTCCAGGTACTTTTTCAATTATAATGTCGATAAAAATATAGATTTTTTTTTAATTTCGATTTTCAGCTCTACCAAACTCATCCCTGTGGTATGAATCAATATAAAGCTCTATAAAATTAAAACATTTTTAAAAAAATCCATGATTTTCAAACAAATTTTGCCACAATGAGGTGGCAACAAAAGGATTGTAACAAGAGGAAGATAATTACAAGGGTTAATCAAACTAAGCCAAAAGTCTTTTAATTGATATTTTGTGTTCTTTTAATTGATACTGTGTTCGAAGAAAGTTTTCAATTTTATTTAAGTCAGTTGGGAAACACATACAAAGTTATGAGTATTTAAGTAAAAGTCATACTATATCAGAATATGTATAAATTTATCTCTGTAACACTTTAATGAAATAGTAGATTATTCAAAACTTTCAGAAATGTGTGCTGGAAACACAGAACAGTAATAACATTTCACCCACATTTTTTTTATAAATATAATTTAAATTCAAAATGTGTCTGCTGAATATTTTTCTACTCCTTTTGAGTATCTTAAGCAAAGCATACCATTTAGTAATGAAAATAAATATTTCAATGGGAAACTTTGCTTAGAGATGCAAAAGCTAACAAATTAAGTAAATAACCCATAAAACTTTGGACTTACCAGAATGCAAACTAAGACAAAAATAAAAAATAAATATGTATACAAATACTGAATATAGATTTGATACTTGAAAGAAAAAAAAAGAAAAAGATCTATTATTATTATTAAAAGATTGATTTAACTTGTTTTTCAATAGTTAATAATTATACATATCTATTCCCTTTTCAGTACAAATTTATCATAAATAATATAAATTGCAAATGATACAAAGAATACTTTAAAATTGTAAAATTTTACTGACTGAAAATCGTCAAAAACATCAGTACAGTCATCTGGCATGAGAAGTATTCCTGCAACCAGTGTAGGGTGGCAGATAGTGGTGAGAGTCAAGTTACTGCTATAGACACAACTTATCAAGAGAAACACCAAACCACCAATAAAATACTTTTGATTCCTTGAGCCAATACAAACATCCAACCTAGAACAACAAAATTATATTTCTTAATGAGATATTTTTGTTTATTCAATTAATGATTTATTAAAAGATATATTAATTTTAATCAGAGTTTTGCGACACTATTAATGAATAAAATATTACATTTATGCTTTCTTGAAAATATTCATCATTTGGTTAGTATCATATTTCTGGTACACAAGATGAGTTTTTGAAATAGTGTGAAAATAAAGAAGTTGACTTTTATGCCTAATATTATACATATGTCCTTTATATCCAGACTTAATAATTTAAAAAATCATATTGCGAAATTGTCATAAAACTATGTTTTTAAACAGATATAAGGTTCATTGAGGAAAAATGCAATAAAAACAATGAAAAACTTACATGTATTTTATGTAACTATGAAAAACTGATTTTATATAATTTAGTGTCTATTAAAGCAAATTTTGAAACAAAAGACAAAACTAAAAATATTTTTTAAGTTGTCACTGCCCAAGAGATAATAAATAAACAGGACACTGTTTTTTTTCTTTTTTTTTCTATTTGCCACTTTTAAAAATATTTAAAAAGTTATGAAATACTAAGTCATTTTTAATAGCACTAAAATAAGGAAAATACAGTTTAAATAAGTATGTTATTATCATTATTTTAAATGGTAAAAACATAAGATTTTGGTATAAAATGAAATTTAAAAAATAGGAAACTTGCTTTAGTTTTTTGAGAAATCTTTCTAATTTAAAATCTGATTGTTACTAGCTTCAAAAAATTAAGTAGTAATAAATGGAAAAAAATAAGCAACAATAAGTTACAGTAAATAAATATTGTAAAAAAGAAAAAAAAAGCCTGATTCATGATATCATCATTAGTGAAGAACTTTTTAATTTTTGCTTTCTTTTCTAGAAATTTGAAACTTTAATTTGATCTCAGCTTTAATATTTTAAATTTAAACAATTCCCAAATAAGTATTTGAAAGCATTAGATTAACATTAACAAGAATTAAAATGTGACAGCACTATATATTGCATTGTCACAAAAACTTTTCTATAGTAACATTTCAGTTATTTTTTTAAGTCATCATTTCATTTGTCTCTGTAATTATAAAATTAGAAAAACATAGAAAAAGAGTACACTTTTATGAGCTTTATCTAAACATAATACAAAATACCACCAACATATCTTATTCTTCCAAACAAGTTAGTAATTATAATTAATTATGAAATTTTATTAGATACTTTCAAAGTAAATTGTATTTCTTATAAAGGTGCCTATTATAAATATAAATTACTTTAAAAGTTTCACATTTCTAGAAGAGAAAGCAAAAATTAAAAAGTTCTTCACTGAGAATGACATCATGAGTCAAGCTTTCTTATATTTTCTGAAACTTAATAATCATATTTAGTTTCATGCTTCCTTATATAAATAATAAATGTAATTAATATTAGGAAGCATAAAACTTTTAAAATAATGAACTTTAAAAAAATAATAGTAAATAAAATATATGTTGTATGTAGTTAACACTACAATGATTGTGCATTATACAATTTTTTATTTTAAAAAAATTCTTAACTGATAAGATTAACTTTTTTAATCTCAAATAAATTTTATATCTGCCTTTCAGTAGATATTAAAGAGGTTCTATTGAATTTAAATAATTTTTATTTATTAATATAAATTGTATTGACATAGGTTGTAAGACCCTTTCCTTAAAATTTGAAAGAAAAAAAATCTAGGTTTGAAATATTTGAAAAGCCTTATTTAAAATTGTGGCTGACCCTAATAGTTTGATTTTCTAAACATAAAACACAATAGGATAAACAATAAACCAATCAAACAAATAAAATATTTAAAATTTTCGCAGCCAGAAATAAAATTACAAAGATTTATTATAAAACTTAAATTTAAGGCTCACTTTGAAAAATAGTTTTAACAGTATCAAAATATAACAAAACATAAGATCAGATTCATTATTGAGATTGTCTATGAACAAATTAAAAATAAATGATGCATAAATTTCATAACATATTTTTTTAAGAACACATGCAATTGGATATCAAACTAAATGGATTTCAAAGAAAATTATTATTATATAAAATATAAAAAAAAAACATTTAAAATGCATAGCATTCACATAATTCAGCATTCACAAATTAATAAATAAAATCATGCAGGTAATTAAGCATACTTGCCAAGCATTATGATGGTCTTTTTTAAGAACACAGAAACCACATAAATCACAATGCAAAGTACGAGCTGGTTGTAGAATTGTGCATGTTTCACATTTTANATTCAGCATTCACAAATTGATAAATAAAATCATGCAGGCAATTAAGCATACTTGCCAAGCATTATGATGGTCTTTTTTAAGAACACAGAAACCACATAAATCACAATGCAAAGTACGAACTGGTTGTAGAATTGTGCATGTTTCACATTTTATTCGAGCAGATTTTTCATTCTGAAGAACAGTTTGTGAAGCGGGTTGAGAATTCGATTTGACAATGAAAAAACAGAAGCACATAGCTGCGACACAACACATAAGACACAAATTTTCAGAAAAGAGAATTTCCAAATACGGTACCACTTCCAATTCAAATACAGCAAAAAGGAAGAAGAATGTAACCACACTCCACCCCAAGAAGAATTTTGTCTTGGATTGGGACATGAATTTATTGTAATAATATAAAATTAATAATAAAGGTACCGAACTGAGAATTGCAAATGCCCAAGTCCATCCTTGCGCAGCAACTACCATTGCAAATGGCATTAAACAAAACGCAGAAATTACTTCTAAATCCATTGCGTTTCTGACAGTAATAATTATGATTTCAATAAAGATGTCAACACAATAAACTCAATGCATTCAGTCTTAAACAAAGATAACAATTATATATATATAAAAAAAAGAATTAATATTTATTTGTTCATGACTATTCAAGACCTATTACAGATATCTTGTCTTTTTAGCTATCCTTTACTTATGTAAAATTGCTGTTTCATTATCGGAATTATGAGCAAGGAAAAAAAATTATTATTTTCCTCATTATCGCTGTTCTCTTTCCCCCAAATAATAACCAAAGATAACTAATCATTAATCAATTACTTCCAATCAACTTACGATTGATTCATTGAAATGTAATTGATATGTACCGTGTTTGTCACAATTGATCCGAAAAAAAGTTCTAATACAGCTCATGCAGTGTGAAAGCTGCACCAATCAGATTAGAGCCAGTCTTAACGCATGCGAAAAAATTCCATATTCGCATGTGTAAGCGAACACTGAAACGCATTTAGAGAGTTTTTCGCGGATAAGTATATTCAATTAAAATTTTAGATGGCAGTGTAAACGGTTCTAACATGATGGAATAAAATCTCTTTCATGAAAAGAATTCCCAGAAGCGATTTCAGAAATGCGAATGAGAACCTGATTCGTGAAATCTTAGGACTATTTTAGGAGCGGTTCATGCGCTTTAAATTTCCTTTAGAGAAAAATGTTGTTATTGTTAATTTACGTCGCACTAGAGCTGCACAATGGGCTATTGTCGACGGTCTGGGAAACATCCCGGAGGATGATCCGAAGACATGCCATCACAATTTTGATCCTCTGCAGAGGGGTGGCGCCTCCGCTTCGGTAGCCCGACGACCTGCACGCGAAGTCGAGCACTTTACGGTAGCTTGTTATTATTGTTGTTGTTAATTTACGTCACACTAGAGCTGCACAATGGGGTATTGGCGACGGTCTGGGAAACATCCCAGAGGATGATCCGAAGACATGCCATCACAATTTTGATCCTCTGCGGAGGGGATGGCACCCCCGCTTCGGTAGCCCGACGACCTGCGCGCGAAGTCGAGCCCTCTTTACAGTAGCAGAGTTTAACGAGGATCAATGCCGCACACCCTCGGTCCCTACGCAGACTGATCCAAGTGGTCACCCACCCGCACACTGGATAAGCTGATTTGTGAGTCTTTTGCGGGAAAATATTTTGTGACTATCGGAAGAGCGTGAACCGCATGCAGTTAGATAGAAAACTCATTGAAATTATTTATCAGTAAATTTAAGATTGTATTTCTCTTATGCCTTATAATTCGTTTTCAGTATAACCAGCGATCCCTCAAATTATTAGCGATCGCAGCACTCGAATACGCCATCTGGGGAGAGACCGGTTTCATGTCTTTAGCCCTTCTCCCTTCCCTCTCCTCCTCTTTTCAGTTNTTGACTTCGGTGATCTGCTGTGAACCGTGTCTTAACGATCAGTCCACTGCGGCACTAGAGAAAAATGGATAAGCTGATTTGTGAGTCTTTTGCGGGAAAATATTTTGTGGCAATCGGAAGCGCGTGAACCGCATGCAGTTAGATAGAAAACTCATTGAAATTATTTATCAGTAAATTTAAGATTGTATTTCTCTTATGCCTTATAATTCGTTTTCAGTATAACCAGCGATCCCTCAAATTATTAGCGATCGCAGCACTCGAATACGCCATCTGGGGAGAGACCGGTTTCATGTCTTTAGCCCTTCTCCCTTCCCTCTCCTCCTCTTTTCAGTTGTACAGGAATGTACTACGATATTTTCCCTTTTCTTAATATTTCTCCTTTTTATTTAATAAAAATATTTTTTAAAATTTCCGTGATACTTTTCTTTAGAACTATGTTTAATATAGTTTTCAGTTCCTCATAGTTTTCCAACTTAAAAGATTTTAATCTATATGAAAATCAAGAGAGAAACTAACGTACTTCCTTCCTCTATGACTTTCCACACGCTAATAGGTATAGAGTCTGCTCTACGCCACCCGCAGCCTATTTCGATCGCCATTAGTTTGCTCGGGAGAAAAACACTTATGACTCTATTCATTGAGTATAGAAATTTCCAAGTACTGCAGATAATTTTATCTTTCTGGTTGCAAGCCTGGGATGTAATTCATTTATTTAGATTAGGTTTTATTTGAATATTGATGACTCCTTACACGACTTTTCACTTATTCCCATAAATGTCATATGGGATCTGGAAAATGACACGGCCTTAGTAAGATGTTATGTGCAAACCATTCCTTCACACGCTTAGAGGTGTGATTCGGATAATTTGCTAACACTTCCTGAGAGGAACAGATTTTGTGGCATTTAGTCTGCATACACTAGAAAATCGTTTTTTTTTTTTTTTTAAATACCAAGACATAGAGAAATCCATATTACAAATATGCAGTAATGTTGTTTCTTTGAAACGAAAGAGACCCCAAACCAAAATATTGCCTTTTCTATGTTTGTCTGTAAGAATTTGACAGTTAACATTATTTCTTTTTCTTGTCGAACATTCATCGCTCACCAGTAAATTGAATTTAATACTCTTCAGACAAACGTATATTTTTACTATTCTCGAAGTCCATTTAAACGTTGTAAGGTAAACTGCAATGTAGTCATCATATTTTCTTTACTAACTAATGATTTAATTCCAGCTATTCATCCATGCAAAAGGTCTTGTGACAATTCTGCGACTAATATTTATACTACTCACGTTGCATAACTCCAGTGCCAATTTGAGCTGCAGTTTTCTTGACATCCTACACATTTTAAACCAAAATCACTTTGATTTATTAATATTTAACCAGATCATTTACAGTTCATTAGCCTTCTTTGGATAATTGTTTTATTTTTTTAACATAACTACAAATGTGATTGACTAATCATAAAAGGTTTGTTAATGCAAACAGAATTATTAATTTTCCAAATTATACTCATTAAAAATTAAGTTTATAAAATTTGAATCATAATCTCGGTGGAGACTTATGAACACAAAAATAAGGCAGTTTACTTTAATTTGAATGTTTATATATCTTTATACATGTAATGATAAATAATGTGCTATTACATGAACTTTGTTATAATAATAAATAAAATAAAAAATTTTGTTTTTCAGCCAGCTCTAAGTTAAAATGTAACTTTTGAAGAAGTTAAAGCATGAATTATGCTAACATCCAGATTTCACGAAACTCAGCTGGTAATCTATTTGGCGAACGTTTATTTATCTATGGGGAAATAAATAACGTACTGTGATGACTTACAAGACTTTAATCATATTCCACACTCAAAGAGTATTGTGAATAATTTCCAAGATTAACACCCAGATTAATGTCAAAGCAAATACTTTTTAAATTATAGTGAGAAACTTCATTGCAATAAGAATTGACCCATCTCACATAGTAACTCTTTTAATCATAAGAACTTATACAACCGTCACTAATTACATGAATAAAGAAAAGGCAAGGTTTTGCACATTTAAAAGAGAGAAACTTCAACATGAGAAACACTCCCTATTTTAGAGCTGTGAGACTTGCAAAGAACTGAATATTTACAGAGAGCATAAGCAAAAAAGGTTAGCTAGTGAGTAAAAACGGTTATTTTTGTTTTGAAAAAATAAAAACAATATGATAGGTTACTTTTTAAATAGGGTACTTAGCATGATAGAGCCAGTTTATAAAGTTCACTTCTGGCAACAGTTGTAAAAGAAAGGTTAAAAAGATACATCTAAAGAAGCAATTTTAAGTTATAATTGTGATTTTTTTTAACAACTTGAACTATAAGAAAAGAATTTTAAAGCAGGTCTGAAATTTATCTCTAAAGCTTTTGAGATAAATTTTTTCTTCTCAAATCAACATTGTTAAAAATATCTACTTGAACAGAAATAAGTATTATAAGTATAAGTATAAAATAAGGAAAATTTAATACTTATATCATACTCATTAAAAATTAAATTTTGATAGCAAAAATGTAATTTTTTGAATTTAACATTGACCAATTTACAGAAAACAAAATTACATAAATTTAATATCTTATTAGCTTCTTTTACTTGGTAGCAATAGTAGTGCCTTCAGTAAGTCTCAGAAGAAAAGAAGAACTACAAATTGTAATACCATTACCATATCATAAATCAAAATTTGTTTACAATCAAAACAGAGAAACAAGATAAAAACTAAGCTCAATCTGGCTCTGTACAACACACATAATCTTGAGTAGTGTGCTTTATTATATATTCCAAATTCGTTTTAAATTTAACACAATACAAAAAAATCTTTCAGTAAAAATACAAGCTTTAGTGAAGGATAAAATAAAAATGTAGGATAATTAAAAAAAAAGACTATGATCATTTAGCAAGTTATTGAACCATGGAGCCAGGACACACATTAAATCTCACATAATAAACATTCACTTGACTGAGGATTTTCTGAATAATCCAGTTAATAGTTTTCTCACCACACCAATTTTTATTTGGTATATATATTTTTTTAATATTTAAAATAATTCCGCATGAAGAAATAAACTCTATTAGCACATTAACATTGCCATAATTAAAAAATAAAATAAAAACTCTTTCCACTTTGGAACCATTTCAACTGCATTTGTTGGTTTACATAAATTGCACTGATCAAATATTTCAGATATAAAAAATTTCAATGATGTTATATTAAAAATACAATCAGTAAAGTGCTATATGGGTTTTCCCGTACAAATAAATTTCTTAGTAGAAGTTTTTTTCAACTCGAAATCATAGATTTTTCTAACCTCTCCTCATTCATTAAAATTAATTTCTTTAAATTTTCATTTAAAGAAATTAAACTTTGACAATTTATTGCACTCCACTGGCTCAGTGTCACAGAACTCACTTCACTCAACATGCGTGGTCAATTCAACGGTAACATAAAATAGACACTACCTCTAGTAGAAATGTAGCATGTAAGGGCAGATGAAGCATGCGACCAATACACAACTTGCATGGCTCCCATGTTTAGGTATCAGAAAAGTATAGTTCTCATTTATACTTCTTCCCTAAGGACAGGAAAAAAGCATTTCACCAACTTTTCTCCGTCATTTTTATTTAAAATTTTAAAAAACACATAATCTGCTTAAAAAAAATTACCTTTAATGTCATGATGAAACTTGTGATTGAATGTTTTAATCTGTAAAAGAATTTCTTTTGATATTACAGGGCTGCCACACAAAAAAAAAAATGAACAAAATAGTTGCTTCTAGTAGCCTTAAGCATAAAAATAGTCACCTAAAATTATGAAAATAGTTGCCTAAATAAGAACAAAAATTTTTCAATACTATAATGACTAAAATTTTATAAAATGACTTCAATGTAATATACCATGATCCATTTAGTCAAGTTGACAATACGATAATTTTTAAATGAATGTTAGTGTTCTAGCACTAAATTTTAATATTAAAAAAATTTGTATATTTGCAGAACATTAAATATTTTTATATGCTAGAATTAATGCAGAAAAATAATTTTTTGTTAAAAAAAACACTATTAATTTTCCCTTTCACATAATTTTGTCCTTTTATCAATAATTGATTTAGCAAATATATATATAGGAAAAGTGATTACTAAAACTCAACCATCATAGAATCATATTAAAAATTGGGTTCGTTAAAATCAGGCAGATTTTCGAACCAATAACTGTTGAAAAGGCAATTGAGAAACAAAATAGATTCACAATGGAATCTGTGCAAATTGAGCGCATGTAAAAGTGATGACTCAAATTTGCAATTCAAATTTTTTTTTTTTATTCTTTATAAAAAAATTTTCATTATGCTCACAAGCTACTGCGGGCCACAAGTTATCAACCCAATTTATGTTTAAAAAAACATTGTTAGGAGCACAGAAAAATCTCCCAATAGTCTCCTTTTCCAGAAAATAGTTGCTTTTATAGACTAACAAAGCAAAAAGAGGAGCCATAGTTGCAAATAGTAGCATTTTAGTCATCTGTGGCAACCCTGATATTATGGCAAATCTATCTAATTCCATAATATGGTTATGTTAATGAAACAGATCGTAAAAGTACTTAAACAAAACACCCCTCAAAAAATAATGTCTGGATTGAAATAACTTTAATCCAATGAGATAGATTAAGAAAGAGAAATACAGGTTAGTTAATAATTGAATTTTAATACTCTCACAAGATATACAGAAAAGGCAAAATAACCAACAAAGAAACATGTCTTACAAACACTGGATGTTCAAAATATGGATTTCCTTTGTTGATCTCTTTGATGCTAAATGGGGGGGTGGCAAAAAATGCAGATCTATTTAATAAGTAGTACTACATTTCATAAATTGAGATTAAAAATGGTCCAGCATTTTCTAGATGATTTCATCCATACAAGTTCCCCAGCTATACAGTGGTTCTCTGTGACTTAGAATCACAAACATTTGAACTTCTACAAGCGAAGTCATGACAAACCTATATAGACCAGATTATATTTTATACCATACGTTTATTTATAAATTAAGAACAGCTTAAAAAAAGTAGCTCACACTGGTATAATGTATACAAAATAAGAACACACACAAACAAAAAATAAAAGTACAATGCTTATTGATGGCAGACAATGCTCTAGTTGCAATTTAAATACATTCAAATGAACTAGAAATGAAATATGATAAAGGAGTTTTATAAAGGTCAACACAACAATCATTCAAAGCAAAATCTGGAGTATACAACATACATTCTGGAAAGTATTTCCAGTGAAAGAAATATATTTTCACATCAACTTGATAAATAAACTTTGGAAAAATTTAAGAAAACAAAAAGAGAATACTTAAAATCATATTTTATTAGGAATTGAGAACTAAAACATAGTGGAGTGAAATTTACAGCTTTAGCATTACTTTGAAGAGGAAATACATTTGTAGATGATTAGTTATTTTAAAGTGAGTTATTGCACACTTTATGGCATTGTCAACATCTGCAATGTATACATTTATGCACGGTTGGGAGCTCTTGTATTTTTTTTTTACTTGAGTGATTGTAACAAAGAAAAGATTAATGATGACTTGAACATCTTTTTAAGATAAAACAAAAAGCCATAATTTCCGCAGCACATCAAACTAAGCTCCTAAAGCTAGAAAGAATAAAAAAGAACATTACAAATTATTCGATCGGACAATCATCTTCGCAATATAAACTTTAATTATATAAAAGATTTACCCATTACCTCCTAAAGCTTCAGATGCAAAATATCTAACATCTATGTCATTGTCATTGTTCAGTTTGTCAAGACAGGGTTTGACTTGACTCTCTAGAGCACTGCAATGAAAATATTTATACATAAACAGAAATAAAATACAATGAAAGTTAGACAATACAGAATATAACTACCCAAAAACCTTAAGAGGACGCTGTATCACAAGAGAAAACTTAATGACAAATTGCTTTACCCTCATCGGAAACTTAAAATATAGAAAAAATGAGTTTAGGTAACAACTTTTTCTATACTTTTAAATGACTAATGTAGGTAAAACAAAAATCGACACTAAGTACTTCGTTCGTGGTATAGCATCTTTTTAAGTAATCAGAACTTTTGGCTAGTATATATAAAATTTCAAACAAAAGATTAAATGGGACATATTTTCCCTCCCTCCTTAAGAGGGGAGGAGGAAGAAATGAAGAGAAAATGAGCAAGTAGGGAAAATAAGAATCAAAAGCATACCATTTAGAAAAATAATAATCTTGTGGAAGATAATGCTGAATGTATGGAACATAATGATTTGATTTATGTTTATTTAAATTGATTATCAGACCAATATTCATAAATTGCAAAGAAAATAAATAAAACAGAAATAAAAAATAATATTCAGATTTCACCATTTTTTAAAGCAGGCACTCTGATTAATTTTTGTTCAAGTCAAGGAAAAGCATTTTTAAAGGAAAATATGTTCATGAAGAAAACCAAGATCTCAAGTATCCAGAATTTTTGTGCACTCCGGATCTTTGCTTAATTAGCATGAAATATAAGGCCATCTTTATACCCATTAAAAAAAAACGTTCGTTCAGTAGCCTCCAAGCTCCAATAAGTATTCTCCCAAGGCATTTTTAGAAGGGCAGCCTTCCCTGCCTGTCCCTTGATTCCCATAAATGCACCTTCTTTGCCCTTTTTGTAAAAACAAGTTACCATAACTTAAAAACACTGCTATTGGCGACAGTCTGGGAAACATCCCGGATCATCCTCCGGGATGTTTCCCAGACCGTCGCCAATAGCCCACTGTGCAGCTCTAGTGTGACGTAAATTAACAACAATAACAACAACTGAACACCTGCCTTTCTCTAAGGTTTTTCGAAAACCTTTTTAATTATTCCCCACAAAAGTATTCCTTTGTATTCCTCCAAGTGTATAGATCTCAAAATAATCACTTGCCACCTGCCAGGTAGCGAGTGACATAAATTAAGTAAACAATCAATCACTTTTTCCCATCATTTTTTTAAAAAATTTATTTTTCTGTTGAACGATAGAAGTGCATCAATGCAGAAAGATACTCTGGAAAATACAATTTTCTTTAAGATTTCAAACGTCTCCATTCAAATTTTTGAACTTTCAGAATCCCTCATTTTGTAATGGGAAGATTCAAATGGAAGGAGAGTCCTTTAACAAGTCACATACTATAAAAGTTTTAATGCACACATTAAATTGTATTTTGATTCCCCAAATATTCTTAAATAAAGCTCTATAGAGTCAGTACGCTTAACTAAATTTTGCCACACATTTATATTATTGCCATTGTCAGGGGTAATTGCGAGCCCAAGTCAAAATTCCGGAAAATTTCCAGAGTTAAAAATAAATAAATAAATAACAGTTTAAATTGAAAAAATTTTAAACAAGGTTTTTCTCCTCCTTTTCTCAATATTTCTTAGTTTACTTAAAATATGTTTAAAATTTTACACATACCCATACCATTAACACATACCTATGATGACCTGGAGAAGTAATTAAAACTTACAAATATATCTTTCTTTTTTGAATTTATGATTATAACAATTATTTACTGATAAAAAATGAATATTAATCATGAATAAAAGCTTATAAAGTATCCCTCTGGATCTGCCTTACAAACAAACAAAATAAACCGTGTTTATAAGTTCCACCTTTGAAAATTTGATTTTCAGAAACTTCTGTGATCAATGATTTTTTTAAACGTCTGGATCTTCGATCTCCGGAAACTTCCGGATCACTGTTATTGAAAAATCCTGAAATCCGGATTTTTTTCGGAGCACAATCAGCCTGGCATTGTTGACTTAACTTTTTATATCCATAGATTATTAATAATATGGATTTTTTTAGAAAATATAATTTAATCAAAGCAATAAAAAGTTTGTAAAAATTGATTACTAAGTTTTTAGAATCTACAGGTCATTGGACATTATCTGAAAATTTAAACTTCCAAGTGCATCCTTTTTTATTTCATTTTATTTGAGAATTTTTAAAAATACATATGAAAGGTGGTAATTTGAGAACACCCCTACTTAATACAATATTTATTCCAGGCATAGTTTGCAAAGAGCCTTGCGGGCGGTTCACCCTGTTTGAGATCTAAAAAAAAATATTCCTTTCCCATTACACTCCCTGATGCGTATAGAATTCTTCAATTATTTCCACATAACTATATTTTAATGGGATGTTAAGGAATGTTATTACCACTCACAGCATTTGAAATACATCAGCGTTTAATTTGGGACAGTTTCATCATAAAATCACATAAATTTTTTTGGGCGGTTATCATATTTTCAATCATTTTTTTAAAATTTTTTCCAAGTTTGAAATTTTACACTTGAGTAATTACTTTTTTTTGCAACCCTTAACACATCTTTCATCATTAATCCACATTGTTTCCTTGTCAATTACATACTGCTTTTTCAAATTCTGAATGCTACATAAAATTCAAATTTATGTGATCACATTTTGAAGCACTCGAAACATGGCAATTTGATTATAAATTTACATAAATTTCCAACAGTTTTATTTAAACTTTTTTTCTCATTTTTGTCAGTCGAGGCTGTTTTTAAACCGAAAAATAAAACAGTTAAAAAATCTAATTATTTTCAACTAATTATATATTTATACAATATATTGAGGCACAGAATGCACGTTCCACACTGTTTTTCATTAAAAAAAAAAGCAAACATTCCTACAAATGACAACTATTCAAAGCAGATAGCACTGACAAGCACTCTCTTTAAAAATAGGTTTTACAAAATTTTAAATACTTTTTCTTAAAGCAAAGCTTTTTATATGTTAAGGCAACTTTTTGATTATTTTAAATTTTTTATCGTCTTTTATTATGCGTAATTTATATAGATATAACTCTATAATAGAAATATTTTCTCAGCATCAATACCTACTATCTTTACTGTTCAGTAATTTTACTTTCACTAGCAAGAAATAATAAAAATTAGTTTAATTTCTTCAAAAAGATTTATTTAAATGTAAAAAATAAAAATCTCAACTCCCTCTCCATCGAAATTTATTTCTACAGTTAACAATGAATGTAATAAAATGTAAAACTTTAGTTACTTTAAAAAGACTGAGTTAAAATTTAGATTTAAAAAAAAAAAGAAAAGAAGAAACTTACGTATTATCTAGTACAGGCCCTATCCTTTGCAAGGTCTTTGCAACATTGAATCGTACATTTGCAACATTGTCATTTGCAAGACCCAAAACAGTTGGAAGCATAAACTTAGCGGTTATTTCTGATCCACATGCTTCAGCTAGTACCTATATGAAAAAAAGGGATCATGAGGAAACAATAACTAAGAATTAAAGCTGCAAATTCCAAGAAAAATTACATTATTGTGAAGAAATTTTACATATTCATTCAATAAGCATAATTTTGACTTTAGCCAGATGCCAATGACTAAGTACATTACACGCAATTTTAGTACTAAAAATTAAGTAATAAAAATCATAAACATACTCAAGTAATAATATAATTTACAAATCTAAATATTACCTCAATTTAAAAAGTGAAATTTTTTCTCTAAAAATTAAAGAGCAACTCACTAATTTTTAAACATTCTGGCTTATCAACTATCTTCACTATTTTGAAGTAGCATAGTTTGAGCCCTTTTTTTAAATATGTTATTTTAGAATAAATTTTTGTTGACAACTTTTTAATCACTGATTGAGATGGTGTTTTTTCCAACATTAGACAATGAATTTTAAAAATTATTTCACAATATTTTCCAACTCCTATGTAAAATTACTCACATACCAAATTAAAAATTCTGAAAAAAAAAAGTCATTGTCACAAAGACATTTTAAGAACTGTGATGAACTGATTTAATATATTTATTAAAATCAGCTCACTTTAGAGAGGTTTAATTCAAACTAATAATATTTAAACACTAGTTCAATACAATATAGCGCAACAATTAGTCATTGTTTCAATGAAAAAATTTGCATTTTAATAAATATTTTGATAAAAGACAATACTTACATTCACACAAAACAAGCAAGTCATGCGATGAAGATAATTTTGATCCTGAGCCATTGTCAATACTTTAGGGATTACTGTGTTAGTGGCCCATTCAGAACCAAATTTTTCTACCAGTTTTTTTAAATTTTGTGTTGCTGCTTCCCGGATAGCAAATACTATAACCAAGTTTTTAATAATTAGTTACATGAGACAAGAAAATGTAGTTAAGTGTGAAATCTGAATTTAAAATTAATGAAAAATACTCACCATGATCCACTAACCAAGTCATGCATAAAGTATTTAATTTTTCATCAAAAAATTCTACTCCCTAAAGAGAAAAAAAATATATATATACATATTAATATACATACATATTGATTGTTGATCCATCACAAAATCAAATGCACGAATAAAAAAAATTTATTTCCTCTTGCTGCCTTTAGGATAGCTAATACTAGGATAATTTAGGATAGGATATACACTATTTTGATGAGAATTCTTAAAAGAAAAGTTTAATTGCGAGCAAATAAAGAAAAACAAACTTTGGTGAGACAAATTAACTATGAATATTGATAAAGCTGAATATTAATTAAGTTCAAGAGAAACACAAAGTTTGTTTTAGTTTAAACTAAAAATGTATCAATACATATACATATATCATTCCAAAGGAATGATCAACTATTCTGATTTAAAGCTTATTTTTTAATGTTATTATGTGAACAGAGTGCATAGCCAAATCATTCAACAAAAAATGTTAGCACATTTTAAGCATTCAAAAAATATTTTAAAGCACTTTAAAAAAATATCATAATTAGGCAGGGTTGGAAAGTTTTTGACAATTGATGGTTTTATCTTGTTTTAACAGTAATGTCAACAAAAAAAAACCTTTGGCATTGTTTTTGACAATTGTCAAAAATCATGAAATTTTGAACGGCGTTTTCATGTGCTATGAACTGACAATACGACGAAATAGATTGGGGTTGAATTAATTGTGAAAACGTTGAATAGAACAATGATGTCTTTTTGCATAATTTGAAGCGAAAATCAACATAGTAAAGGAAAAATCTTATTTTGAAAAAGGGAATATTATGCACTTCTTAAAAACACCCAATAAAAAAAGCACCTTCAAGCACTTTCTAAAAACGCTACACACCCTGGTGAATAACTGCCCTCGTAATTGCTCACATCAAGAAAAGAAAAAAAGAGAACATAAATACTAGATATTGATATTATAATAAATATTACTAATTTATGACTTTTAATTAACTAAATAACTGCAAACCAATAACAAAATTGCTAAATCTCTGACAATTCTGAATACGGCACAAATCACTTTATTATAACAAATGCAAACATTTTCCCCTACTAATAGGTAAATTTAATTCATTTTCGTTTTGTATTGCTGACTATTATGTTTGTTTTATTCAGTACAGATATTTGTTGTCCAACACCACTTTAATATTCAAGCGTTAAGAAAATATCTCAATTAACTTTTAAAACTTAAAAAATTATTACCTATTCATTATAAATGATAATACGATACTCAATAATGTGATGTATTTATATATTAATCAAAAATAAACTAAATTGGAAACAATTTTAAAACAAAAATTCAGTTTAAAAAGTAAGATTTTCTTTCTTTTTTTTCATTTTAATGTATTATAATAAAAATAACATGTTTCTAAAATTAAAAATTTATTCCTCAGCATTATATGTGAGAGCAAAATTTAAAAACTAATTTCAACAGATTTTATAGATGCAGTAGTATCTTCATAAAAAGGGTTAACACTTGTGAATATAAAGTATAAAAAATAAATTATGAATGGAAATACGAACCAATTGACCGGCTAAGAGAGGCATATATTCTATAATTGCTAATCTCACTCTCCATTTACTATCTTCAGCCAATTCCACAATGGCAGGAAGAAGACTTTGTGAGAGCTGTGTAATTCCAATAACCTCATTCACACAATCAAGATTGGATATAATATTGAGTCTCACATCTGGACATTCATCCTTCAGTTGGGACAAGAAAAGAGGGAGCAGGTGTTCAATCGTGCTGCAAAACAATTAAATTATAAATTATTTGTGACTTCCTTTGCTAACAGCTGTTTTAGAAAAATATATTACAAAGCTACTTCTACAAATAAGAAAATATAACTGTTTAAAAAACATGATTGGAACATTAGCAAAACAAACAAGAGCAGCAAAAACAATTAGAAAGAAAAATTTATGTAAAATTAAAAATAAATCAAACAAATGGTATAAATTTTTCAAGATAGTCTTCTTTTAAAAAAAAAATTTTTCTCACAAATGCTGTAAAGTTATATTTTTAAAGAATTAAAAAAAAAAAATTTAAAGTTTTGTTGAGCAGTTGTTATATGTTGTTTTTGAAATAAATAATTGGCATAAGTATGCTTTGAGAAAAATTAATGCAAGTTTTCATCAGAAAACAGCAACATAAAAAAAAAAAAAAAAAAAAAAAAAAAAAAAAAAAAAAAAAAANAAAAAAAAAAAAAAAAACTGGTAAGTTATTTAAGTATCTATAAAAAACTACTCTAAGAAATAAAAAATTAAAATAAAATTCTAAGTTTGATTGAAATTGTCTGTGTTGAAGAAAATGTGAAAACATAAAATGATTCCTCAGATTGCCAGTCTTTGAAGCAACGACCCATTTATTTAACCTTCTAGTAGCATTTCATTAGCTCTTAATTCAAAAATAATAATTTTTTCTTTGCACATGGTTTTGCTACTACAGGGTTCCCACTCTATGATAAGATTGAAATTCAAGGACTTTCCAGGACTTTTCAAGGACCTCAACAAAATTTTCAAGGACCTTAATCTAAGACCAATTTTAAAAATTATTCTCTTCTATTTTACTAGAAGCAACAATGCTTGTTGTGGCAATAATTGATTTCAAATATAATATCTAAATGCTTTGCCTATATAGAGAGAAAAGAGTATATGTATTATGGACTAAAATTTATATTTTTTTAAAAACAACCCTACTGGTTTTACATATTAATTCACAAAATCATTTTCAGCACGATCTATAACTAATGTTAATGAGGTGTTAATGGTGAAATCCTTTAATCCTGTGTATTTCCATGTGAAGGCTGCATGAAAGACAGAGCTAAATCTTAGGTATTCCATATTCCATAATCCCCCCCCCTCCTCTATTAAACATCGTTTCTGAAATTATTCATCCATAATTTACACAACCTTCTCTAAATGTTATGCAGCAACAATTCTTTCTGAAAATAAAAATTAGAAGGAACATATCCCATTTTCACCATGNCAATGTCAATATGTATTGTATTCACATTATATCCTAAAAATCTATTTCAAACATTTATATCGCAATAATTAAAAATGAATGTTATTGCGGTAAATAAAATGTATCAATATTTCAAGATACATCAACAAATTCTACACATTCTTGAATATTGTATTAGTATGTTGCCACTTTTTCTTAAAAAAAAAAAAAGAAAGCTTTTTTTCTGCAGTGAACATTTATGTATTGATTTAATTAACTAGCATACAATTATCACAGGTTTGGATAATAAATTGAACAACTTATTAATATATTCATCCACTGATAAGATGAAATCAGTGCAAAAAATTAGTTACAGTACAATAATATAAAATTATTAGAGTAATTCTTTTTGATGAAATTGAATTAATAAAAAACTTTAAAAATCATAAATTGTAAAAAAAAATAATAATAATTTAAAAACCTATACGCTTTTTAGTGACACAATGGTAAACCATCACCAGTAGGATAAAAGACAGTAAAGGTAAAAATAGAGATGGCTTAATCTGACAGAGGTTAAGTGATATGAAAAGAGATAAATATACAGTTAAAAGATAAAATTAAAAACTGAATTGATTGCTGAACAGAAGGCTGTAGGTGTCTCTTTACCATTATTTTCCATATTTCATGTGTTGACATGGATTTTTGGGAAAGTTTTTACATCAAAAACAAAATCTCTACGGTTAATGACCTAATTGCTATACCATATTCGTCAGATATTTATAAATCATTACTTTTTTAATCTTCTCTCATTCATCATTTTAACCGTATATTCATCTTTTAGTATGATGTAGCAACTGTTGAATAAAATCATTTCTGTCCTTTATCTAATTAATGAAAGTGTACCACCATTGTGCCACCAAAACAGATACAGGTTTTAAATAATTTCTTACTATTTGTGATTTTAAAGGTTTTTAATGAAATTTACAGTATAAGTTAAAGATTAATAAAAGCATAATATTTTAAAAGCCATTACTTCTGTTTCCCTAAAATAGGAGATAGACCCATAATAACAGAGGCTAAAGCAGATTTCACATGTTGATTTGCATCAGCTACTAATTCTTTGATACACGGAAGAATATTATTCATTATTACAGCTTCTTGTATATCAGCAGGCAAATTCTGACAGAAATCTGTAAAGATAAAAAATATTTCTGTTAAATCATTATTACCAAATATTTCAACATAATTAGTATCCAACTAAAAAGAAAAATCAAAATACTCTAAACTTTATTATTAATATAAAGAATTAAGGTATTTCAAAATCTTAAACATGACATAATAATCAATTAGATCCTGATCTTTTAAATTTACCTTGTGTAAAAAAAGAAAAAAAAAAAAACCCAGTTAACAACGTTTTGTCTTAAGTGCCAGTTAAAAAATTTCAAAATATTTCTCAGGTACCAAATTGTGCATATTTGTGGAATTCATTAAACTCTACTTCAAATTCATTAAGCTACAAATTATGAGTTTATCTTGAAAAATTTTTTTTATAAAAACATATGGAAGTATTAGTTTAGCAAATATTAAGTTGATCATTCCCATAATTTATCTCTGAATTATAGTAATAAAATTAGTTTTACTCAAATTGGAATCATGTTAAATTAAAGTAAAGTTTCAAAAAATGAATTTAAGAGAATTTATAAGGATTTTACAAACTGTAGATAAAATATGAATAGATATTTTCCAAATAGCCAATTATCTAAGCAAAGTAAAAAATCATTGAATTTACCTTTAACTTTATGAGCAGCAGCAGCCCGAACTTCAGCTTCACAGTCTTTTAACAGGTTTTGAAATGCAGGTACTAAATCTGTTTTGGTTATTTCAGGTCCAACTGCTTTTTGAATCTATAAATTTACACATTTTTTTTTAAAACAGACATTACAGGAAAAATACAGAAAATAATTCACTTTAAGCAGTTAGAAACTTTAAAATATGAGCCTAGTATAATGCACGTAAAAGTTATAAGCCAACTGATTGCACTTCTTGACTTAGAGAACAGCAAAACCACACTATGGTTACTTAAAATTTAAAAAATTATAAAAAAATGCTTAAAATAAAAATGTGGTGAAATAGGTCAAAATTGCTATCATATCATAAAATATATACATAATAAATCTGCAGGGATACAAATCAATACAATAATGCTTTTTTGTATCAGCAAAGATAGATTTCTAAAAATCGCCTATGATTCTCTGTGATATTATTGAAATGAAACTATTATTATACACACTGAAATTAGGTTTAATATTTATTGTTATATAATTTTATAGTATGACTAACACACACACACAAAAAAAGATTTACAGAAATATTGAATTGTGAGGCTGTAAGTTTCAAGTACAAAACAAAAATAAAAAATCTAACTTAGGAAAAATAAATAAAACTTAACCAAATATCTAATTCAAGGGATATTGAAGCATTCAAAAAGTTTTAAAAGAAAAGTAGCCATTCTTAAAAAAAGGGACTTTTTAGTAGCTTTCAAAAGATTTTCATAATTTTAAAGAAGGAAATGAAATCTTTAAAAAGTGGGATATTTTAAGAAGTTGGGCATTGCTAAATTTATTACTAACTCTAAGGTTTGTACTGATAAGCTAATAATTTTGAAGTAACTAACTGAATCAATAAAACAATTTTTCTTAATAAATCGTACCTCGTTGAATTTATCAGCTACCATATAACGTACTCTCCACGATTTGTCTTCAGCAGCTTGACGAAGAATTGGCATTACAAACTGTTCAATGTCATCTTGAGGTAAAAGTTCAGATATAGAAACACATGCTTCCACAGCTAAGAGGCGTACTGAGTCCTGAAAAATATAATTGAATACATTTAAATGGTTTTTTTCCTTTTCAATACAGGATAAACAGTAAACCCTGAATAATTTGCAAGGAATCCATTCGATGATCATATAGTTAATAATGACCGATTACTGTGCAAGTAAAAAGACATAATGACACTGATTATTATTTAGTGATAAAATAATTAAAAGTTTGACTAAATTATGAAGAAATCATGCATGTAAACAATAAAATGGCATCGTAGATGACTATTTTGCTTGTTTACACCAGCATAAAAAGGATACAATAAAAGATAAGTATTAGATGGCAATTAAGCCGATGTTTTAATAAAAAAAAAATTTTTTAATTAATTGAAAGTCAATGGCAATACCTTCACATTAAATTATAAACTTTCAAAAAGTTAAAATTTGCAAGACCGGTAAAACAAAATACCTGTTCATCTTGTGCAAGATTGGCCCACATCGGTATCAAATCTGACTTGACAAACTCTATTTCAACAACATAAGCAAATTCACCTAATTTATTCGCGGCAGCTCGACGTACCATTGGTGTATCGTCTTGACAAAGATTTCGAAAATGGCTAAAATTAAAAGAATGAAAATTATAAATAAACAGAAGAATCTGACAGTACAATTGAATACTAATAAAAAATTGTGCATAGTATTAGGCTTACTTTGGCTTATATAACTGAATTGGTAATCAAATAAAAAGAATCAGCAATTTTTTTTCGTAGCAAATTTGGTCAGCAAAAAAAAAATAATAATAATAATTTAATGTATAAAATCTCAAATTCCAATGAATACTTGGGAAATAAAATTAATCTAATTAACAATTATGATTATGTAATAGAACAAGCAAATATTTACTTGGTGTTAATAAAGCTTGAGAAAATTAAAACACAATGCCTGACGTTCATTAAAATCATGTTCTAAGGACATAAAATTTTTTTAAGTAGCTGATTTTATAAACCTGCATATCTACACTTTAAAAAAAAGTTTCAAAATAAATACTGAAAATATCATAAAATCTAATTTAATTGTCAAATTCACATTTTATTTTAAATATTTCAATTTGCATTCGACTTCTTAGTTTACATGAGGAGCTACAGTTCTTTATAATTTAAGTGAAAGGCATTTAAAATACTAATGTATTGTTCGATTAGCAGAATTTTTAATTAAAAATCATGAGAGTTTGTAAATGCTTTTGAAAGTTTCAATATTATGACAGAGAAATTTGAATACATTTTGAATATTTGACACTCAAATCTCGCCACTTTGGCAAGTTGCTGGCTAACAAATTTGACTAAAAATTTAAATAAAAATGTAATTTCAATATTTATTTAAAGTTTAATCACAATATAATATGTGGAAGAACTGGTTCAAAATTATTCATATATATTCTGACTTTTTTGGTTGATAAAATAGCAGAATAGATATGGTTGATCTCATTGAATGTGTAGGGTATTTAATCTATTTAGTTTTTTTACATCGGAATTCTATTTTTTACATAGTTGTGGCAGTTTTTTTTTTTTTTCATTCTTAAATGTGCAGGATGACTATTGACACTAGTTTAAAACACAACAAATTAAAACATTACTGGCTTAAATATTATATCTCCAATGACGAAATTTTGAAGGGAAAAAAATGGAAAGTGGACTCTGATTTAATTATACAGAAAAATATAAAGAACAAAAAAAGTTTAACAGAAAAAACATGGACAGAAATCGAAGGCTATAATTGAAATGTGTTTAAAAAAATCTACTTACTTGCGCAACTCAGCTTTAAGTGGTGCAGATAATCTTGAATAGCAAACACCAAACAAACCACATGCTGATGTACGGGAAGTAAACCAGTCACCTAGATCAAATAGAAAAAGTTCTTTAAAATTTCTTAGATAATGATAATAAAAAAATTTTGTTTTATTATTTTAAACAATGTCTAAATAACATGTTAACTTTGATTACTAATTCAATAAGCGAATCAGGACAGAGAAGTGTTTACAGAATTAGTGTACTATGATATTCAAATTATTATAGTTCAACCCTGGAAAGCATTTATAACTGAATAGATCATCTCCATAACATTTAGAAGACATGGTGTTTACCGTTGGGGCAAAAATAAGACAATTTTAAAGTATATTTCAAACTATAGACAACTATGGTAGTGTGCTAAAACAAAGATAATATATATTGTAATACACATGTTATAAATACACAATTTCCACACTATTTGTTTTTTCTTATACTTTGGGTATAAAGGACACAACAAAAGATATTTCCTTTTACTGATATTAAAAGTTATATTCAATCATCAACAATTATGTTATACAAACATATATCCTAATTAAAAGAATGAAGTGCAGACAATGCAGATATTTCTCTTTACTTTTCTCAGTAAGCTTGTTTTAGTTAAGCTTTCAAAAAATTTCTAAATGGAAATTGGTGTAGTCTTAATTGTCAATTTTAGCTTAATTGATATTAGCATTTATGTCAAGGTTTTCCTTTTAAAAGCATTGCATCCTGATGACTGCTTTTTCTGATTTTGAGCCGTTTCATTTCAATTTCATTGAATCTTTTGTAAGTACACACACACATATATAACACATAAGTTTAAAGTACACACTTCTGTACTTCAGTAAGAATACTCCATAAGTTGATCCCTTCATCCTCAATTTACACTTCTATTTTCATATTTTGTAATCTGGCAAATACGAAAACATTTAAATCATTTTTGAAATATGTCTGTAAGTGTAAGTACATTTGAATTCGCTACTCGCTTTACTCGCACATTTCAAGTCTTTTTTTTTTCTATCTTGAGCAGAAAATGTGCTCAATGGGAAATGTTGGTGCAAAGTTCCTATGGCGCATATCATATCAAACTCTCTGATTTTTCTAGATTGCTCAAAAATGCTAATTTCCCTGATTTTTTGGACAAATTCCTAATTACCTGACTTTCCCCAGTTTCCCAGGTAGCGTACTAGCCCTGAGTAAATTTCTGATAAAATTTAAAATAAAAACTGTATAAATAATAAATTACCAGAAGCTAATCTTTTGACCAAAGGTACAAAATGCTGTTCTAAATCAGCAGCGCTATGTTGCTGCGATATGTTGCGCAAAGATTCTACAGCTTTATCTCGAACCACAGTTTCTTCGACGGTAGCCAAGCTTTCAAGTGGCGGCTAAAATGAAAATACAGTATTTTAAAATTTATATAAGCTAAAATTTTATGAAACACTTATATTTAAAAAAACATTTAATTGATTTAAAATTAACATTAAGAGTACATTTTACAACATGTACAGTACAAATGTAAATTAAAAGTCAGATATATATAAAAAATGAATGAATTCAATAACTATAAAACATAATGTTAATTATGGTGATCAATAAATTATAATAATTCTTTAATTACACAAAGTTGGACAAGACTATGCTGTAAGAAACTTCAGGTAAAATAATTTATAGTATGAAAGTACTCAATAAAACAAAATTAAATAATGTTGTAATCTATGTTGCACGTAAAAAGAGAAAGTCAAAATAAAGAATGGTTGTTATGTTAGTGTAATACGAGGAGCTGGATTCTGTGTTTGCATTAAAAAAAATTAATTCTTTGACAGTTATAAACATAATGAAACATAAAAGCTATGCTGAAAAAGTAACTTTAGTCTGGGTTTCACTAATTTGAAACTTATTTTTAAACTGAGAAAAATCATAAAATTGTTAATTCTCACATCCTATTAAAAAGGTTAAATAAATTATGACAAGTTATTCCTAGAGCGACTGAACGGAATAGTGTGGATATAAGACCCTTTATACTGGATAAATTAATTTATTAACCCATTAAATGACACTATATGAAAGAAATTGTATAAATTAGAATTCTTAAATCTTTTTAAGAATTATTAATTTTATTCGAACTTTGGAATATTTTTTTTTTTAAATGTTTCAACATACATCCTTATTCATATCCAAACTAAATTTTAATTTTTCTTGAAGAAATGATAGGGTCTTTGGCTTACAAGAGTACCACTAAAAAAAAAAATTCAAGACAGAACTTATTATTTGATCAATTAACACAGTCTAGTAATATTGAAGAGAATTTTTCAGAAATTCACAGCTCACTTTTTGTGAGTTGTAAATCCGAAAATATATATTATGTTCCATCCTACATACTATACTATATAAATGACTTTGATTATTCTTTCTAAAAAAGCACATTATTTTTCATTTTATCAGTTTCTTTTTTATAGCAAACAAAACAAAAATAACAGCTAACCTCATGTATATTTTTACAACATTATCTTTTTCTTGGAGCCATTTATATCTTTACTTATTTTTCACTTCATCATAATAAAGCTTTTCCTTAGAGCAATAAATTTCATTTTTTAAGGAAGATAATAATAATTTAGCTTTTGCCCAGCAACTCAAAATGTCAGGAAAAATTACAAGCTCAAGCAAATTCAGTTTTAACATTACAAATTTTGGATACGCAATCAGATGCGTAAGTTATTCAATCTCATTCTTTTATTGTAGTGTGACACCATTACTTGATCATTTGTAATAATTATGAAAAATAACAATATTTTTATTAAAAAAAAAGTATTAATTTTTTCAATCTTAACAGTTTTTTTTCTTCTTTTTTTCGTATTTTTATTAAAAAAAATGCAAATTTTACTATTTTTGAAAATTTAAATTGGGAAAAAAAAATTGGAAACAAATGTTAATGGAAGGATGTAATTCAGTCCACTGATTTTTTCTCAAGACTGATTTTAGTCCTCAGGAGCGAAGAAAGAGCGACACCTATGGGCTTATAAACCAACAATTCCGAAGAATGATGGTAATAAGTGTAGATATAATTGCTATAAAAAATAAAATGTAAAATAAATGTTAATGAAAAATAAAATGTAAAATAAATGTTAATGAAAAATAAAATGCATGAACCATAAATTGCTTTTTATCCATTTATGTAGGCTCAGACAGTTACCCTATGAAAGAATGAAAGCCAGTAAAATGGTTCATTCCTAGTTTGCATTTGTAAGTAAAATCCTGCGAATATTACTCATATGAAAGTTTTACATATATTTTTTAAATGATTTAACCAATTTAAATACTATTCTATATCGATTTTTATACACTTCTTTTTTCATTATGGTTCTTATTACTTAAATTTTCCAATCATTATTACTCTTTAAGTATTTTTTCAAATGGCAACACAAACTCAATTAGTCATATTTATTACCAATTATTTTACACAATAAAGCTAAAAGCATCAATATTTTTTCTTCCTAGCAATTATGTTAACTGTTAGATCAGCCAATCTAATTTTAACAAATTTTTTTTTCTTTATATTAGTTTGTTTTCAGCCTTTCTTCTTTCATTTTTAACTCCTTTACTATTCCATCATTTTTTATTTTCTCATTTTCTAATAAGATATCGACACATTATAAAGAACAATTTTTATCTTCGGATAATCATTCTCTATTTTGAAACATCTCTGTCTTAAAGGAATGTGTTCTGATGATAACCTTTAAGTTTTACCATCAAGTTTCTATTGTAATTCTAATATATTTCTGAATACAAATATTGTCATGACAAAGTTGGCAAATTTTCATATCATAATTACATTTAAAGCAGCCAAACTTTAGAAGATTTAAATTACTTTCAGGAAAACAATAGCAAAAAATTGGAAAAATAATCCACAGAAATAGTATCTGCATGAAAACAAACATGTTAATATCTTAAGTGCTTTTTACATTTATTTCAATTTATTAGAAAGTCTTACAGACCAACCTAATAGACAAAAAAAAAAAAAATGGATGGAACTTTGCAATAGGATGACTCAAAGATATGTCTACTTAATTCTTATACTTACTAGAAGACAGTGTACATATTCAGGACCTCCTACAAGAGGAGTAAATGTACCAAGTTGTTCAGCAAGGGCCAAGAGAACTTCATCTTCATCATAAATAGTATCTGAAATATAATTTTTAAGTAATTAATTTTACAAAGAAAAACCACTTTTATTATCAGGCTTCTATTTAAAGAATGTTCATATAAATGAAGATTTAGAAGGAAAAAAACTAAATAAAAAAGCATATTTGTTAGCACGAAATATTTTCAAAATGAAACTTTTCCCTTCTAAAATTTATAAAGATCATTGATAAAACTACCACTTTAATACATAGAGCTAACATCTAGCAAATAAGCATTGCTTTTAACAGCTATTTTACCGTTATTAATGTCGTTCAAAAGATAATTTTTTTTTTTTTAAATATGTCGAGATATAATTCGAACATAAAAAAAAGTAGATAAAACTTCTGATGAAATAATAAGGAACACAGGTTGGATAGATGGATAAATCAAAAACGCAAGGATGCAAACCTGAAAATCCTTGCACACCACAATGTTTAAAGTGAAATAATTATTAAAATAAATGTTAATTTGTTTTATTTCGTCGATACTTCATTACCTGATTTGCTGATCTTATATATTTGACTATATTAATGACATATATTGATTAAAATCAAATAAAACTGTAAATTGTAACATTTACTAATGCCGCTTAAATATTTAAAAAAAAAAAAAACTCTAAACTAAGAAAAATTGACACAAAGACAAATGTAAGATTTACGACAAATCCCAGTAACATCATTCAGAAAATTTAATCAATTCCTAACCAGCTGCAATCAGCGTCGGGATTTTGCTGGTTTGATGTCAAAAACCTGGGCTAGTTTTTTTTTGGTTATTAACAAAAAAAATTTCCATGAGTGAGGTTTGCATATATTATATGGGTATACTGTCAAATGAGGAAAATTTGCAAACCCTGATTGCAATCCATATTTATATAAAAACAATAGTTCAGGTATTTTTTATGTAGTCCACATTTTAAATCATAATGCAAATACAAGATATATGACAATGAGGTAACAACACTCACAAAGACAACATTCACAAAGTGAATTGATTCCAAACCAACAGCGAAGCAATTCCATTTAAAAATAATCTTTCAGCGTTTTCTTTCATAGTCTATATTTTAAATCATAATACAAATATAAGATATATGACAAATCGGGATAAAAACATTCATAAAGTTAAGTGATCCCTAACCAATTGTAATTCAATCTATGAAGGGAAAAAATTCCTAATTGACAGATCTTTTAGGTAATCCATATTTTAAATCATAATGCAAATATAAGACGTGACAAATCCAGGTAACAACAACCATTAAGTTAATTGATTCCAAACCAATTACAATATAAACCAAAGTAAAAACAATCACTGATTTCTCAGGTAGTCCATACTTCAAATCATAAGGAGCAAGATGAAGAAGAAATGATAAGGATTGTGCTACAAATATATTTATATAATGCTAATTTAATAAAATCAAATTTAAAAAAATTGAGAAAATCAAAACAAAGAATTCAGTTTCTTCAGTGAATTAGTAATCAGTCAGTCCAGTTACAAAAGAGAAAGTGCAAATTTTTGACAGGAAATTATAAAGCACATTTCATTGATAAGATAAAAAAGTAAACAAACTGAGGGAGAAATAATTTGGCAATTTAGAACTAAGCAACCAAGATGATAATTGCATAATTTATATGCGAAAAATCTTGAATAAATCTAAAATGTTACCATTTATAACTTAGTAACTAAATTAGAAAAATAAATTTAACTTACCAGTTAAAAAAGGAATTAATTCACTCCTAGTTCGTTCCACTCCGAGTGCTAAGGCTATAGTTGACAACTTCTTAATACTGTTCAGCCGCAACTGTAAATGCATCAAATATTAGATACATCCCACAATTTATAGAATGCGCGATAAAAATTCTTATGCACTGTAAGTATATGAAGTTTTGCACTGCAAACATGAACAGGTGTAAATAGTACAGGTAGTGTGTAAATCGCATTTATTAATAATACACATGATGAAGAAATATAATTATCTTTTGCATAAATAAGATTATATGATTTGCATCCATTGCATAAATAACCACAATTTTAAAATTACAGAAATAGACTCATAGGTGTGGTAGAAGTATATATAATATGATAAAAAGAACATTTAGTGCAGAACATAACAGTATAATAAAATAGATACGTATCCAAGAATCTGTAACAAATTTAAAAAGTTCTTTTTAAATAAAAATCCTGGATAATGAACAATTTAACGAAGCTATTTATAACAACATACTTGAACATCTTCATTTCGCAGTTCATCAATTAAAACAGCAATAGGATACAATGAGTCGTCTGTACTTGAATCGCTGGATGCCATCCTATAATCAAATTGAATTAATAAATTTGTTGATATAATTTCATATAAATAGCACAGTTCATCTTAGATTATTTAGAATACTATGAAAATGTCACTTTCGGTTATTTCTCCAGATCACTGAACCAACTAGGCTTAAGAATAAGCAAAATACAGGCTTCCAAACTGTAGAGGTATTTGATAAACATAATAAACTAAAAAACTTAAAAATAATCTCTATATAACATTGGTACTTACCTCTGGAACTACAATTTTAATTATAAAAACTAATTTTCTCAAAAACAATGCGATGTATTCATGTGTTGATACTAATTTAGAAAAGAAACGGTTCCATTCGTATGTCAAATATATAGTTTAAATAACAAATCATATAAACAGATATGAAAAGTTACAAATTTCGCCGTATGTGGCACTGCAAAAAATAATTTTATTTGTTAAGATTTTTTACTAAATCATTTATAATTACTTTAGAGCATTTAAATGTAACTATAAGTAAAATTGTAAATAATTTTAAATGATAAAAAAGCAGTATTTATCTTTAAAAAGTTCCTATCTTTTTTTTTTTTTACAGATGCGTGGGGCACTTGACATATAAAAGGAGGTACTGGACATCAAATTTAAGCCTTAATGTGTTAAAATTTTACGTCTTACAGTTTTTTAAAAAAAATTCTGGAAAAGTTAAGCTTTTTGTGTACAAATAATATGGTACTGGTCATATTCAGTTGACGCACGACCCCTAAGAGTATGCACATTGAGGAGAGCATCACGTTTGTGCGTCGTATACCTTAGCGTGAACCGGATGGCCTCTTTGCTCTCTCTTCCACGAGGTTCAGACCGAGGTTCGAATTCATCTAAAAAAGATGGGATTAGACTTTCTCCGAATCGTATCCCATGATTTGGGATAAACTCTAAAGCCTTATTTCCCTATAAGGTATAAAAAAAAACTTAAATACTCGATGAATTAACTTAAAATTGCTTGTAAAAACAAGGCATAGTGTAAAACAGTAAACTCTTACCTCGTAGTCAGTCTTATTTTCAACTATTTTAGAGCCATGAAAGTGAAATTTTCATGGCTTCTTCCTAACTTTGGTACTTAAGGAAAAAATAAAAAAATAAATGAAAAATAAATGAAAGAGGGTTGGGGAAATGGGAAAAACGAAAAGCTCGTTACTGTGCGGAAGGCATTTTTCTAATAAGGTTTTAATCCCCATTTTTTTAACTTACTTTTATCATTTGTAATTATATCCTCTGATTTATATAATAAACAGCTCTTTTTTTCTGCTAATTTACTTTGATATTGTTGGGTGACGGGAAATTGAATTTGGATAATGATTTTTTTTTTTTTGCATATAAACACGCCTATAACTTCTCAAGACTGGGATAGCCTGGTTGGTAGGGCATTAGGCCTATGTCGAAAAGTTGGTGGGTTCGATCCCAGCCGGCCGAAGACTCCCCGTGTAGTAAATGGTGACTGATGCACGTTAAATCTGTCGAGTCGCAAAGTCCTCCATGCTCCCATAACAAATCAAAACCTTTGGGGGTACTGATCCAGGAGTTTCCTTGTCTTCTAGATTGGTTCAAAGTTACAAGGATACGGAGTTGAGCATTAGTAGTCGTAAACCCAAAATTCGGTTGGCTGTTCAACGACAGGTATAAAATAAAATATAACTTCTCAAAACAATGCTAATAACCTGGAATGCAATACAGATGCTCATTTACATTTCTCCGGTGCATCCTGCAATGAAGTTTCTTAAAGGGCCAACCAGCCTGTGTAGGAGGCAGGGAACTGTCCTTGCATCAGAAAGGTTCTGGGTTAGAATCCCGTGCAAGGCATGGATGTTTCTTTCTCTCTATCTGTGTTCTATGTCCCTTCTCCTTTGTGTGTGAATGTGACCCACCCTATAAACGGGATGTGGTAGTGCGACGTGGGCGACGCTGCTCCACCGCCATGGCTTCGCCACAGGTGCCCACTAGGTAACGGAAAGAGAGTTAGCAGTTCTGGCACTTTCTGTGTTCCACAATAGTTCCAAGTGGCCGCCATTAAAAAAAAGTTACTTAAAGGTTAATTGCCCCGCTGTGGGTTGATCGTAAAGACACGTTTCCCAGTAGATCACCGAAGTCAAGCATCACTGGCTGCGGTCAGTAAGCGGATGGGTGACCACTTTGATCAGTCTGCGTAGTGATCAAGAGTGTGTGGTATCGATGCTCGTTAAACAATTCTACCTTAAAATGCTCGACTTCGCGAGCAGGTTGTCGGACCAGCAAAGCAGGGAAGCGATCCCTTCTGCAAAGTATCAAAATTGCAATGGCATGTGTTCGGATCATCTTTCCCAGACTATTGCCCGGCATTTAACCACCGGTACACTGGAATCGCAACATGTGAATATGCCATCTGGGGGGAAGACCAGTTCCATGTCTAGAACCTTCTTTCTTCCCTCTCCTCCTCTGTTTAGATATTTGGGAATGTATTGTAATTTGATCCCTCCCATAATATTTTCCGCATTTATGTTGCCAAAAATATATTTTAAAATTTCCACGATGCTTATTACTTTAAGCACTGTGCTTACTGCAGCTTTGAGTAACATATAGTTTCCAAGCTTAAATATTTTAATCGGTTTGAAAATCAAGATAGAAACTAACGAGCTTCCAATTCCTATGACTATCCACACGTTAATGGTAAAAGCATGCTTAATATTTCGATAGGTAAAGAGTTCTGCTATGAGCCACCTGTAGCTTATTTCGATCACCAATAAAGATTTTGGTGACTATACCTACCCAGATAGCTATTCTAAAATGCTTCCTCTTTAAATGAATGCTTAAAATTCCTTTCTTAACGTCCCGCAGTGGACTGATCGTTAAGACACGGTTCCCAGCAGATCACCGAAGTCAAGCATCACTGGCTGCGGTCAGTGTGCGGGTGGGTGACCACTTGGATCAGCCTGCGTAGCGACCAAGGGTGTGCGGTATTGGTCCTCGTTAAACTGTTCTACCGTAAAGTGCTCGACTTCGCGCGCAGGTCGTCGGGCTACCGAAGCGGGGGTGCCATCCCCTCCGCAGAGGATCAAAATTGTGATGGCATGTCTTCGGATCATCCTCAGGGATGTTTCCCAGACCGTCGCCAACAGCCCATTGTGCAGCTCTAGTGCGACGTAAATGAACAACAACAACAGCAACAACAACAATCCTTTCTTAACGATTATTTGTTTATTTATAAAATCATCTTTAGTTTTCATTTACATAGAAAAATTCAAAAATCAGTATAAACTTTCCCTTCAAATATTAAAAAGGGCAGAAATGATCCCTCAACTGGCATTACGCAATGATAGACAGGAAGGGAATTTCAATGCATCCTTCAAAAAATGCGCAGACATGAAGCCGGTTACCAAAATTCGAATGCAGCCCCTCGAAATTTGTCTACAAAATGTCTAAAGGTCGGTTGGGAGGAACTGTGTGTAGCCCGGGTGATTCCTACCACCATTTGCTTATCGTTTTCAAAATATGATAACGTATGCGAGCAAAAGACCATTGTCTTTCTTTCATCACCAATGGAACATTCCCACTGCATCTGATTTCATTTAGGTACCTCCTTGCGTGCACGCGGAAGAAATTTCTTCTACCTCTACACTGCTATCTGATCAACACAAACTCCTTCCACGGTCAGCCAGATGTTTAGTGTTGAAAAAGTTTCCTTTGCTCTCCGCATCTTCATAAGCAATTTTTTTTTCTGAAACTTCCTTGTCTTCTACGTTGAATAGTTAAGGCACATGATGTTTATTGCTTCAAAACATCTACGTGAATTGATGTATTAATATTCAAAATAACATTATACTGTATTATTGTTCTATATTATTTCTAATACCTCAAATATTCAGAACAGTTTGCAAAACTTTGGTGAAAGAAAAATTTGGTATTGTTCACTTTGAATAACTCAAGAGGGCTAAAAATAGCAAAGTTACAGTTTCATATCGTCAAAAGCATCTAGTACTCGCGGACTGGACCGAAATGAACTTTCCTCAAGATAAAACGCCTACTGAAAATGTGACAATTAAGATATTGAGCTATGAAGTTTGCACCACGTATTCTTTACTCCTTGTAAACCCGCTTCATTTAACATAAGCTTTATTAATTGCGATCGTAACCCTCGAATACGCCATCTAGGGAGAAGATCGTCTCCCCCTTTCCCTATCCCCCCGTTCTCAGTTTTATAGCAATGTACCACGATAATTTTCCTTTCCTTAATATTCTTCGTATTGGCGATCGAAATGGGCTACAGGTGGCGTAGAGCAGAACTCTCTTCCTATGGCAACACTTCGCATGCTTTCACCATTAGCGTATGCTTTCACCATTAGTCATAGAAGAAAGAAGTACGTTACTTTCTGTTTTGATTTTCACATAGATTAAAATCTCCTAAATTGGGAAACTATATGGAACTGAAAACTACATTAAACACAGTTCTAAAGAAAAGTATCACGGAAATTTTAAAAAAATATTTTTATTAATTAAAAATGAAAAATATTAAGAAAAGGAAAAAATATCGTAGCACATTCCTATACAACTGAAAAGAGGAGGAGATGGAAGGGTGAAGGGATAAAGGCATGCTACCGATCTTCTCTCCAGATGGGGCATTCGAGCTTTGCGATAGCCTATTTAATTGTCACAAATATTTTTTAAAATTTCCATGACGCTTTCTTTGTTTAATGTAGTTCTCAGTTCCATATAGTTTCTTAAATTAAATTTTTTAAATTTATTTGAAAATCAAGAGAGAAACTGGCGTACTTCATTCTGGTATGACTCTTCACACGCTAGGGGTGTTGCCATAGGTAGAAAGTTTTGTTCTATGCCACCTGTATAGTCCATTTTGATCACCAAAAGTAAATAACAATTTAGAATTTGAGATGCATCGTCTTTAAGAGGATATTTTGAAAAACTTCTACTTAACCGGGTTGTTAATTATAACTATAAATAAACGACATGAACTTTTTCGGAAACTAGATGACTCTTAATAAAATTCTGGAAATGGGATGACGACTTATTACAATAAAAAAAAAATTTATACATTAATGCACCTCAGCGCTTATGCCTATTAAGAGACGAAAATAATCAATATCTAAAGTAATGTGAAGTCAGTTGGAAGAACAAAATGTAATTTCAAAATTATATTAAAAATAAAATTTGCCGAATTTAATTAACAAATTGTTTCTTGTCTTCCAGAATCCGAAAAAAATCACTTTTCTGTAAGAAAAGCTTTCTTGCCAACAAACAGTTACAGTTGTGTGAAATGACGCTTAAAAAAATAAAAATAACTAGTACTTAAAAATTATGTGGCAAATATTTATCAAAAATAGTTATTGGATTAATCAAATTCATTAATAACTGCTGAACTTAGCGAGAAGTCGTAATGAAAACTTTTTTCCAAATAGCGCTATTACATTTGAGAAGAGCATTTTCCTTCATTTGATTTATATTGAATTTCTTTCATTTAGAAATAGTATAACTTAAAATATTGCTAATACTTAGAAATAAGTTGGCTAAAATTAATCATTAGTAATTATTGGGTTCAAATTCCCTAATAACTGCTGAACTTATGGAGAAGTCGTAATGAAAACATAGTTTCCAGATGACGGCATAGCGCAGGGGTCCCCAACCTTTTTGTACCTAAGAGCAAATGCCAGAATATCGGTCGAATGGCGGGCACCATTTATTTCTTCAAGATAAATTCATAGTTGGTAGACATAGGTAATACTACACACTACATATAATGCACATAAAATTTAATTTTAAAAGTTAATTCATTATATGAATATAATTAGTATTAATATTCTTGTGTAAAATAAATAATTACTAAATTGCTTGCAAAACATACAAAGTATAGTCAGTATAGAAGTCAACTATATTTTGCTTTGTGCTTTTATATCTGTGGGGATGCAGGTCGTTTTCCTGGCGATTTCTATTTTGGTTGTGTTTATCATCAATATTGAAAAAGCAAAAAAAAATAAAATAAATAAATAAACAAAAAAATTTATAGCATTTAATGGGAAAATGAAAAACTGAAATATTTTATCATTGGGCACAAGCAGCGGGCGCACTTAGACCGATCGACGGGCGCCATGGTGCCCGCGGGCATAGGGTTGGGGACCCCTGGCATAGCGCATTTGAGAAGGACATTTTCATGTCAATTCAAAATGTGCTGTATCTTTTTTCATTTAAACATATTATTTAATGTATTTGGAAAACGTTACAAAATATAAACGGACGATTTTATCCTAATAAATGAGGTGCAAGAATGTTGCGTAATCACCATACTTAATATATCCTTAAAATCCTAGTAAAAACTGATGTAAAATGTGTACACATAAGTGGTCGTAAAGTAATACCTAAGTAAGAAAAAGTACTGTAAGTTCCATCGAAGTTTAACGAATCACGATCTTGAGTTGTCTGGATGGAACAGAGATAAACACAAAAACCAGTATAGGCCTGTTTACACGGTCCAATTNATTGAATTTTTTTCGCCGCACTTAAATAATCATTTGTGAGCTCTAAAGAACTTATAGTTCTGATTTCATTTTTGACAAGAATTCTAAAAATGTACATTTATAATGGCAATCATTAAGAAGTATTCTTTCCCAAAACTTCAACGTTTTTGTTTTTTTTCTCACTATAATACTAGCGGGGAAGGAAAAAAAATATTTTCTCCCTTTTTATCAAATTTAATGTTTTTCTCTCGCCATCCTTTCTATATATAAATAATTATTTTTGATTAATAACCAATCGATTAATAAATCGTAATTTTAAAGTTTCCAGATATATTTATTAACGATTCAACGCTAAAATTTTCAGGACTGAAAGTGTTTGATGCAAATTAAAGTTTGCAATCTTGATCAAGCTTATTTTTTCTTCTTTTTCTTTTTCTTCTTCTTCTTTTTATAAGGTCCTAAGTGTTTTCTTACCATAGTTCCACGCCAAAAGGCTTGTATCTAAAATTATTGAAGGAAAAAAAAAACGATTGAAAAAGAAAGAAATGAAAAAAAATTAAATTTGAAAAAAAAAAATTATGGAAAGAAAGAAATAGTTAATTCTTTAATTACCGGTTAAAAATGAGGCAATAAACTGCATGAAAAATAGTTTTGGTAATATTTGTTATTTATTTCAAGAAAACACTACTTAGAGACTTGTTGTAAAAAACGCAGATTTTCAAAATCAAATTTAAGAATCTCCACAATAAATCACTGACTTTCATATGAAGCACTTAGTTAAGACGCATTATTAAAGCAAATTTGTGCTAAATGGAATATTTCAAGCCAGCAAAATGCACACGAAAGAATTAATTAGCACTTCTTCAGTGTGGAAAAGAAAAGGAACGAAGGAGTTTCGATATTTTTTTTATTCTACAACATTTTGAGATTCAAGGCTTTTCATTCTAGAACGAAAACGCGCGACTTTTAATTGCTCCAAAATGAAAACATTTTGCTTTTTTACATATTTCAAATAATAGCTGCGGTCAGTGTGTGGGTGGGTGACTACTTTGATCAGCTTACAAAGGGACCGAAGGTATGCTGTATCGGTCCTCGTTAAACTGTTCTACCGTGAAGTGCGCGACTTCGCGCGCAGGTCGTTGGGCTACCGAAGCAGGGGAGCCATCCCATCTGCAGAGGATCAAAACTGTGAAGGCACGTCTTCGGATCATCCTCAGGGATGTTTCCCAGACCGTCGCCCATTGTGCAGCTTTAATGTGACGTAAACAAATAACAACATATTTGAAAACTTTATAAGTATGACGCTCAAGATCAACCATTCTTTATCTGACTATATACATTTTTTTAAAATATGAATACCAAATAATATTGCGACAGGATACGTAGAAGCAGATCCTATACGGGATAAGACACATAGCAATTGTCGATGATATCGCGTAAATATAGTGAGAGAACGAAAATATATTTCCCTAAACCGCAAATCGACATTCGTTATAACAGCTTTAATTCACCTGATTGGATGTGTTAAATCAGAACTGATTTAATTAAAATTTCGCATTTTGTCATTCTTTTTAGCTGGTTAGAAGTACGGTATAGCCAAATACCGCACTAAGGTGGCTATTTGGCAATTCGCACTTTTTAACTGGAAACTGAACTATAACTATAACAGCTATAACTTAATAAACAGAGCTGCGAATCTGTAACTGCCTCTGTAAGTTACACATAGCATTCACTCTAACTTGAGATTACCAAATAAAAATTAGAGAAATGATGCTTTCCCTATGCTTTTAAGTTAAATTATTTCATAAAAATATAGTGAGGATGTTTTTAGAAAAAATTTGTTTTTTAAATATTTGCAAAGACATTAAAATATATTATTATAAAATTGCAAATAATAATAATAATAATGTAACAGCTTAATAGCTTGTTTTATTGGAACAATATTTTGAAAAGTGATTTTATTTAACATTTATCGTAAGAAAAATGAAAAAAAAAAACATTTTTAGTTTACAGATGATCTTGATTTAATCAATCTTAATAAAAGAATAATGCAAATTCTTTTATGAAGATTTTATAAAAAGTTATTAATAACATACTATTTACTATAAAAACAAAAGCTATTTTAAAAATGTTATCTGCCTTTAAAGTAATAATTTCTTACAAACATCGAAATTATTCATATTTTTAAAATTTTAAAGTTATCGGAAGTACATTAGGGTTAAAATAAATATATTTGAAATTGATATAGAATGGGAAAATATGTAAATGAAAGAATTTTTATGAAGGGCTTATGGAATGAAGGACTTATGGCACTAGTTTTAAATTTTAAATGATATTTATCCATCTGAAGTCAAATCTGAATCTACAAAAATATTTGATTTCATATAAGTTAGATCTAATTTTATCTCTTTATCCAAACCTGTATATCATTATGAATTAACTAAAGATCAAATTTCCGAAATATTTCTTTCAGTTTTAGTAATGACATCCGCGAAATTTTTAGGAAGATCCGTTTTTTTTTTTGAAACTGAGAAGAGCTGTATCCATGTTAAACTTGATGAACGATACTTTACCGAAAACGTAAGGAAAATATCAGAGTACAGCTGTTGGGCGATTGTCGAGAGCCCTCCTTCAGCGCCAATTGTATTTGTCGCCAACTCTATCTTATCCGGTGTAGGATCTGCTTTTTCGCCGACAGCGTACCGTAATTCCTGAATATTGATTACAAAGAAAAACTCTTTAAAAAAAATGGATTAATTTTTCAACACTTGTTATACTTTCGTTAACAAATGGCTCAAAATATTTGCAGCTTGATATATAAAAATAATTAATGAATAAACAGCTGATGATTTTCAGTGTTAAATCTGTTAAAATAGGCGTAAAAATCAGCATATCTAACAACACGTTGCCTTTTGATATGATTACTCATCAAGCAGGCCTAACAGATAAAGTCCTAGTTGGCCATCTGTTGCTACGTTTCATCCTATTTTGCCCAAATCTTCAAGTAAATTAGACGCAAGGTTAACTAAATAAAATAAAGAAGAAAGAAATATAAGGAAAAACTTATAATACAATTATAGCAGCTTTAGTTCTTCTTTCTTCTTCCAAGCGCATCTGGCGCTTTATTTCTTTCTCTCTGCGGTCCGTTTCAATAACTTCTTTTCGAATTACAATCTTCAAAATATGAATAAACATTTCATTGCACTTTCAGATTACAAAAAGTAAAAATGGGGTTGACAAATTAATCAAAAAGAAGATAAAATGACTTTTGCCAAGAAAGTTAAGGATTTCGTAGTCACGTTAGGGCTTTCGAAAATCGTAACAGTTTTAGTTGTCATGATTAGGCCGGAAAAAATGACTTGAATCATTGAAGGTCTTGTTATTAAGAAACAACGACACACCATTCAAAAGGACAAAAAACAAGAAAAAAAAAGAAAAAAAAAAGCATCGAAAATCGTAAAAATGCCATCAGTTATAGAGTCATGATAGAAGCGGGAAAAAATTACTTAAATGGATGGTCTTATTATATTGTGAAACAACGAAGAACCCTAAAAAGGACAAAAAGCGAAAGAGGGGGGGGGAATAGTGAAGAATTTTCTTATGAAATTATAAAGTGTGATGGATATTTTTTCATTTAGTAATAATTTACATTTAAAAATAAAAATTTTAAATCATGTTTTCTTTTTTTAACTTGTCACTTTATGGCTGCTTGCTGCCTTTTCGTCATTCATCTAGAAAAATTTAGTCATTATACAATCTTCCTCATTCTAAAAACTTATAAAATTGAAGTAAATTATGTATAATGCTAATAGTAGTATAATGCTAGTATTATATTACTAAGTGTATTACTGCTAAATACTAGTAAATTAGTATATAATAGTAGTAGTATAATGCCAGTAAGAAATCCCTGAGTCGTTATAGCCTCTAGTTGCTAGGGCACTGGGCTCATGCCCACGAGGTTGTGAGTTCGATTCCCGCCGGCCGAAGACTCCCCGCGTAGTAAATAGCGACTAGTGCTCGTTAAATCTGTCGGATCACAAGGTCCTTCAAGTTTCCATAACTAATCATACTTCTGGAGGCACTGAATTGGAGACGGATCGTTCTCTGGTTCAGGTAAAAATTACGATCTGAATGAATGAATCGCCCTATGAAACGATCGTAACGCGTGTGTGGCGCAAGTCGTATTCTTGGCCATAGATGGCACCACTAAAAAAACAAGAAACGCACCCTCTGCCTTAAAATCGCTTGGTTTCACCCAACAGGGTTGCTGGTATCGGCAAATCGCATTACAAACAACACCAACAACAAGAAATCCCTTCTTTAGGATACTACTTTAACGCTTAGAGATTTACCCGCTTAGAGTATCATAGTTACAAACATATTTTCTTTAACAGAATGAATGTAGCGGTGGTGATCAATGCCTTCTCCTGCTTTAATTTCGTCATCACTTTTTAAAATTTTTAAGACTCGTGAAAATGGTTCCCGTGATAGTAGAGATCGTTTGTAGAATCTTGACCAATAGGGTAAAGGGAATCACCGAGGCCGAAATCATTGTGGAATTTTAAACTTAAACTAGATATTTTTTTCAATAAGAGTATTTTGTAGCAATCTGAGTCGTAGAGTTGAGTTTATATTTAAATTGAAAATTAACTATTTTTAATTTTTTATGTATTCGAAAACTTCGAAATTATGCAGGATATCAAATTTTAAATTTATTGTTTTTGCCACTAAATAACGAAGATGTTAATTTTTTTTTAAAGGATTAATGATAAGTCAAATTTTGATAAATGTGTAAAACGGAAACTGTTTTTCCTCTCTCTATTGTTTGTACTTACCTCTTTCGAAACTTTCTCCATTTTTCTCAAATTAAGTTTCCTGTACTTCTTCAAAATAGCTATTTCTCTCTCCGATGTTGAACAGTCGTCGAACGTTTTGCGCAATAACTTGTCTAAATCAGTTGTAATTGCCTGTAAATGAAGGAATTCCTACATTCGTTATGCGATATTTTTCGCGAAATAAAATATAGTTAAACGCACCAACCACTTCGCGAAATTTACGTAGTCTCTGTATAATTCCTAATAATAGCAAAAAGGCAATGTATTGATATTTTAATAAATCAGATTTAAAATAATTTTGTCCACCCTTACAGATAAAAAATTCATTAAAAAGTATCTTTTATTAAAAAAATTTCTGCCTTAAATTTTTACCACAGGAAAAATTATTTCGTTAATATTACAAAAGTTGGAAGGTATAGCTATTTTATTTTATAACCGTCGGTGAACAGCCGACCTAATTTTGAGTTTACGACTATTAATGTTCTACTCCATAGTCTTGAAATTTTGAAATTTCCCTTCGTGGATGACTTTTTGATGGAACTAACCCGTATTTGCCTTATATATGGAGAAAAAACTCCCATGGTTAGCCTGGCGGCAAGGGGACTCCATCTCATGATCCCTCTACCATTGTGGATATTCTAAGTTAGCACTGCTGTCGGTGCGAGCCAGGGGCCGGTTTTATAACAACATTTTGTGATGTTTGTCATGGTGTGATGGCGCTGTCATCAAGGTAGATGTTGTAAATAAAGATATGAAGAGTTCACACGTAGCGGCTTAAAAGTTAAGACGTTCTTTTGGTATATGAGTCTAATTATTGTTTGGACAGTGAGATATCACACTGCATGATATTAAAAAATTTAAGCTTTGTTTGATCTCCTTCTAGAAAAGGTTTATTTTTTCTTTCAGAAGCTAAGGAAGTTCTATTGTCCTTGGGGGAATGAAGGCCACTCAGCTAGCATATAAAATGAAGGCGGCCGATGCGTATTGTTAACCAAATTGCCTCCAAAAAGTCATTTATCGCGGAATCGTAAAGTCTTAACATCTGTGAATTATTTTTCTCTCTGTCACACTAAAAAAAAAATTAAAGATAAAATGCTCTAACCAGATTTTTGTATTTGCATGAAAAGCAATTCATAAAATGCTTTGAATCATAATGATTGATACTGTTAAAGAAAAAAACAAACAAATTCGTTCTTACCATCAGTTTCTTTTTTTTTTTAAGAATATATCTTTTTCTGGTGAGAAAACCTTTTATTAATTTAGATTAAATAACTTTTTGTATTCATTTTTACTCGTATTATATTTCTTATAATGCATATTATCCATCATGCTATTGATGGAAAATATAACAAAATTACTTATATCCCAAGTAGATATTTCTATTATAACCGATGCTTTTATTTTAAAAACAATTAGTTTTGAAACTTCGAATTGAAAAAAAGTATTACGTCAGAAGTTATACATTGGGGAAGTGACGACGAAGAAATAAGTATGCCTGCCTATACATAAAGAGTTATCAGAACAATAAGAAGATAACAATCCCTCGGTAACATTGTTTATCACGTTCGTGACGTAATCGCCTCATTGTGATAAATTTAGCTAAGTCATCCCGAAGACGTGATTCTGATTTAGTGTAGAATTTCATGTTGTACACTGCGGNGGGGGGGAACAAAAAAGAAGAAAAAGAAACAGTCGTAACAACTATTGATGTAATAAACGGATTTTGACAGACTAAGACTGAGCTTTAATGGTCCGAGGAGTTAATCTTAAATGCGTTAATTAATTAGTGCAGACGATATTTGATCATGTCTGATTTCGTAACTTAAAATATCGTCTGCACCAATTAATTAACGTATTTAAGGTTATCGTCTGTACTAATTAATAACAAAAACATACTTTCTCTGAATAAACATACATTTTTTCGTCGAATTCGAATTCTTAACCCTCAATATATGAGGTGCAGCCGCAATTTGAAAAATAAGGGTCCCAATAGTTTGATCAGGTAATTGGGTATAATATAGCCTACGTTAATGTTTACTTATGCGTGTTTCGCCATATGTGGAAAACTTTTTAAACGAATTGAAATATGTTTGGACACAAATATAAAATTCGATTATTTAAAGATAATGCAATGCAAAAAATCATTTTTCTTAATATTTGAATTTTATTTTTCTAACTTTATTTATTATTCCTTTTGTTTTCAAATAAAAAAAATGTCGGGAGGGGTTTGTCATTTAATTATTTCTGCTGAGTTAGGGGCAGGAGAAGTATGAGAAGTGCTTATGTCCGGCCCTAAAGTCCTCTTATTATCAATTTTTCTTAGAAGACAAAAAATAATTAACAAACAATTTTCTGTGATGCAATCTTTTAATTTTTGCTGACAAGAAGGAGGGAGAACCCACAAACGTTATAGTTGAATGGTTCCAAATAGAAGAATATTCAAACAATTAATTACTGTTGAATATGCAAGAATGTCAATTAATGAGAAGAAGGAGAGATAACGCAACAAGTTAAGTTAACGCTGTGCTCTTACTTGAAACTTCAGTAACCAAAAAGATAAATTTTGAAAATCCGTAACAGCCTGTATCTTGATCTCGCTTTCATACCCCTAAAATTTAAGAAATAACAATGGATAATATTTCATTTGGATTCATTATATCTGCGAATTTGTAGTGAAGAAAAAAATTTTGATAGCCTATAATTCTATATATCAATAATTCTAATAAATTAGATTAGATCGGATAATTTTAATAAATTAGAACAATTTTGTTCACCACTACACTACTAAAGGAAAAATCAACCCCTTCGCATGTCAGTAAAACTGCATCATTGAAATTAAATTCGTCGCCACTTACGCGTCACTTTAAATCCCGCGATTATCTTTGAACCTGAACTGAACCTGAACGCCTTGAACTGAAATCAAAATCATTTTGTACGTTCTGTAATTTCACTTTTATTTGTGTTACTGTCGCATGTCAACATATTTATGATATGTAAGGTTGGAAAATTATTTTCCAAAATAGTTACTACCTAATTTTACTAATTCTTTTATGCAGATATTTATCTTAAACCCCTTAAAGCAACAGAGTGAATAAATATATAATCACAGTAAATTTTTTTAAGATAAAACTTGGGTGCATTGTAAGGAAACTGGAGATCAATGGACGGGACATCAAGTATTTCATCACTAATAGGTCAAGCAAAAAACTGCTTGCCGACAAAAATATTTTGAGTTTTCGAATTTAGGAGAGAACATAGATTAATTTTTATCCGTAAAAAAAAAGGCTTTTTTTTTGTTTGTCGAAAATTCAAAAAAAAAAAAAAAAAAAAAAAAAAAAAAAAAAAAAAAAAAAAAAAAANTAATAATAATAATCTGACCGAGAATTGGTTGAAAGTTGGTAGACAGGGTTGCTCGCTCTCGGCAAAATGTTTTTTAAAGTAATACAGAATTCAATACTGAATTAATATTGAAGCAATACTGAATTTTGTTTAATTTTGAAAGCACTTTAATAGCCTTAGGACGAAATAATTGGTTTTCAAGTGGCCTATTACATAAAATATATTTGAATAAAATTTTACGTAAATATTTAAAATATATATGTAAAATGGTGGGCAAAATCAGTTTCTTAAAATTTACTAAATGAAGACTTCTATTTTAACACAATTTTCAGGGCTCGAAAAACAGCCCGTCCGCCCGTCCTCGGCGGTCAAAGATTCCCCGCGGACAACAAGTTTCTCGAATCCAACGTCCGCGTGGACGGCCCTTTTTCCCCATTAATGTTCGTGATCCATTTTCAATTTTTGTTATCTTACATGAGCCTAGAACCTCACTTCTAAAATGACCCTCTAATCTCGAAATACGGCAACATACTGCTCATGGTGGAATTGTTGTTTTCTCTGTCTGGGAGTACTGCAGCGGTTGAAAGGGGCTTTTCAACAATGAACTTGCAAAAAAACACATTACGTACTGGTCATAAACAAGAAGCGTTAATCGCAATTATGAACATCTACCTAAATGGAAAACCTCTTTCAGATTTCTGTGCAGAAACCTCTGTAAATCATTGGCTTGATTGTAGAACTGGCAAACGTCATATTTGATTCATTTAAAAAACGCAGTACCATCGGATAAATGGACATATAACTTGACCTTTGTTATTTATATTATTTCATTAAAGAAATAAATTATTTCATAAAAGAAATACTAGGTTTTACTATTAGTAACCTAGTATTTCTTTCATTATTGTATAATGTAATCCTAGTAACTACTAATTCATTGTGCAATTTATAAGAAGTAATAAATAAGAGAAAATTATATTTTTATTTATTTAGAAGCGACGGGTTAGTTTCAAAGGAGGACGGGTACATTGTTGGGCAAGCCGTCCTCGGGGACGGGTAAAATTTCTGAGTTTTTTCGAGCCCTGACAATTTTCCTACCATTGGAAAACTATTTTTGATTAGTTAGCATTTTACGTTCTGTTAAAAGTTTTATCGAAATTTCGTTTTAAGAAATTTCGGCTTTAGTTCAATGTCATTGGCAAAAAACCTCAGAAGTAGGGGAGAGGTACTCTTCTGCGACTATATATGTATATATATTTTTTTTCTCCAAAAAAGAAAAAATTCCCGCAAACCACAAATGGGTTAAAACAAAAACCCTAATTTAAATTCGAGCTAAAAGATCCTCGCTCTCATTTAACGCTGTTCTTCTTGGTTTTAATTAGATGTTACAGTCGCGTTTTAATTAAATCGATGATAACATAAAAAAAAATGTAATTTTTACTGCTATCTTATCTTTCGCTTTTTGAAAAAGGTGGTTGTAATGAGCTTTTTTTGATTCCAATCTAAAGTCCATCAACTCTTTAACGTATGATAGTTTCGCAGATGAGTCAAAGGTTTGCCGTTTAGGGAGCTCGTAATTTGATTTCTTTACTACGCCACAGACTCCGGCTTGTTGTTTCATACTAAACAAAACATTTTTCACCTCCTCTATTTCATACTTTTTTGTCTCGAGGCTATTTGGAAATAAAAAATAAAAATAAATACTTATAGTGCACTAATAAGAAAGAAAGAAAAAAAAACGGACCACCCTGAATAACTTTTGATTCAATGATTGGATCTTCACGTTCTAAGACTGACCCTTAAAATATAGAGGGTAGCCACAATCTGGGAAATAGGGTTCCGATATTCGATTTTTTAAAAATTTGATATTTCAGGAACTATTTAGCTAATGTCACACAAATTTTGTACTTTGCTATGGTACAAATAAGATAATTTAAAATGGTATAAAAAATTACATTTCGAAATATTTACGTTTATATTGTTAAATAAAATAATACCAAATAAAATAATATCAAGTAATAAATATTTACTAAAATTTATTTTTTGCTTCGAATTATCTTTGGATAAACGAATTTTTTAGTTGTGTGCTAGAATTTTTCAATTCGCTTAAAAAATTCTCGAGACATGACGAAATGCGCAAAAAGTAAAATTAACATTAAGAGGTCAAAACTCTTCTGACCAAACTATTTGTACCCTATTTCTTAGATTACGGCTATGTTTTTGGGAGCTGTAATCTGAATCCGTCGAGAAAGAAACGTATGTTTAAACAGAGAAAGCACGATTTTGGGTCTGATTTCGTAACTTAAAATATCATCTGCACTAAATAATCAGCAAGAAGTCACGCCCTCGAATCAGTAGGATGAGTCCTAGAACGTGAAGGTTCAATCATTAGATCAAAAGTTATTCAGGGTCGACCATTTTTTTACACATTGTACATTGTTTTTTCCTTTTTTTTCAATAAAGGTTAAATTATAAGAGAAAATAAAATATCTAGCTAAATTATTATTTTTTTAAAAATTGAATAGCACAATAATCCTCCCTCCCCTTAAAATTATATAATTTGTGTGTAAAATACTATGATATGCAAGTTTTCACACTGATTTAAGTAAAATTGTGGAGTAGAGGTTTTGTAGGTTAACTTCAGAAAGGAATTATTTGCATTGTTTGCCTTTACTTCTCGTACAGAGGCAGAGGGATGCCACAAGCGACTAAAAAAATAAGATGTGGTAAAAACTCAATTTATAATTTATTTTATTATTCAATTGTAACTACAACGATGACCTGCATTGTCAATTATTCATATTTAAAACAAAACCATTCTCTTTCGATAGTAAACTGAAAAAAAATATGCTGGAAAAAGGTGCGAATTTTAAATTCTTTTAATAGATTTTTCCTTTTTATGAATCACTACTTTTTGCATTTCTAGTCTCCCGTAGTATCTCTGCATACAAGCCGGTTTTCATCCATATGGAAACTGGGTGGGCTTCAAGCCGTCACTGGGGATCAAACCTTTAGTTTTTCTTTGACTAAACCACTGAGCCACGCGCTGTTTTAAGTAAATCATTCATATCCTCAATACGTTCATTCTTAAAATTTTACCTTGTTTTTGTGGTTCGTGTAGTATTTGTAAAAATATGAAAAACATTAGCGATAAACATACACCGTTCTAAAATAAAGGATCACAAAATTTAATGATGATCACCGCATTGACGGTTGCATTAACCGATGGTCATTAAACCGTAAAAAATATTCATGATCTGCAAATTAACTGTAATTTATTTTTCGGAATAACTATATGAATCCTTGTTGCCTTTAACGATTCAAACGTTAATTTCTCAAATCAAATCATAATCGTCATCAGGTTTAATCATAAATTGGATAGAACTATTTATTTTTCTCAGTGGCTATTTTTAAATAAGGAGAGTGTGTTTAGAATTGTTTTTCTTTTATTAATGTTTTCGTTTAGTACAGTATTTCTTAACCTTTTTAGTATAATGGACCCCCTTTTAAAAATTTTTTAAGAAGTCACGGACCCTGTGAAAAAAATAATTGCAAAAAACATCAATTGTTAGAAAACATTTAATTTTATTATTTTAATAGTATACAAAATTTTTAATGTGAAGGTTGCTGCTGCTTTTCCTTAATTAATAATTTGAATTGGGGGATATTTTCCGATAAAGCAACACGCATATCATGTTCAACATTCAATCGATTTCGATGTTTTGTTTTTATAGTCACAAGTGTGGAAATTCCGCTTCGCAAAGATACACTGTAGCTAACGAATTCTAGCTGCCATAGCTTGTTTTACAAGCAATGGGTAAGCTTCCATGCGTTTTAAAAATTAGAAGTAGTCAGCGGACCCCCAAAATATGACTCATGGACCCCTTAGGGGTCCATTAACCGCAGGTTAAGAAACCCTGGTTTAGTAGGTGGTAAGTCATTTAACTTGAAGAAACAATGCATTAGTGCCCTTCCCTACTATGACATCAGCAAATTTCTATTGAAAATTTTAGTCAGATAGGCTAGTAAGACCTTTTAGTTTCACATTTCTAGAGGTTTGTAACATTTGTTGAAGTAGTTGTTTGCCAAATTGGACGCACTACACCGTAAGCGAATTTTCTAATCCAGCTGCCTTTATCGACCCTTGCTTGGACTTTTTTTAAATAATGAAAAACTTGATTATCGACTTATTTTCAATTTAGATAACAAATTTTAAAATAAAAAAAAACTAGCATTCTAATTGAGACCAAGATGAAAATTTCCAAAAACGAAAGCGAGTCATTATAGTCCATTGGATTGTAAATTAGCACACAGTGGAAAGAGTTAAGAATATTTTTTCAGCTGCTGGCTCCGTGGACCAATAAATATGCTGGTGCCCGCCGTGGACCAGTGATCTGGTTCATTAATTGAAGCGGTCAATGGTCAAATCTGCACTTTCGAGAAAAACCAAAAAAACTGTGTCAATTATGGAAAGATTGTTTAAATTGCTTCCAAGTTGTTGGATTTTCGTTTTTAGGAAGTCTAGAAAATTAATCGGTATTTGATAATCAGTGATTGATATTCCAAATCCAACAAAAAACTTATTTTCGTAAAAATTTTACACTGGACGCTTCAATTTGACCTGTCCTGACCGTGGAATGCTTTTTACACACTGCCTACCAATAAGTATTTGGACACTTATGATTATCAAAAAAGGTGGAACATTTTGGTGGGGGACTGGGTGCATTTCTTTCTGGTATGGAACAAAGAGTTGGAACATCGAACAAATTCATGATAAGCTCAAGGCCGATACCTATACTGCATTTATTTCAGTTGTGACAATTCTACGGTTCGTTTCTCGTTACTTCCATGAGGACAACGCTTAAAGTCATGCAATGGCGTGCAGATACCTGGAGCCCCATTGAAAAGAGAATTAAGACCACCATAGAGCAAAAAGTTTATTTTTCTTCATAAAATATTTTGCTTGAGCCGATTCCTGCTGAAAAATTTTACTTAATTAATAAAAATGATAGTAATGGATCTACTTGAAGGGTCTTTAATCGCCAATCGGTTGCATGCCTGGGGTCGTCCCCTCTCTCTACGCGGTACTGAAATCCAACAGGTTATGTAAACAATGGGATTAGTAAGAAGATTACCTACCAGATCTCACCAGATTACCTGCCAGAGCTTACACTTAAACACCATCATGTCAAGAACCTCTATAATTCTTTAAAAATTTCTGATGCAAGACCAGTTTCCTGGACCACTATCTAAAAAGTTATACCAATAATAATTTAGACTCCTGAGAAAGAAAAAAAAAACAAAATTCATTCATATTTATTAGTTTGTAGAGCTCAACTCATGCTTTCATCAGATCCTTACATTACAGCCTTTACTTGGATAAACAAACTAATTGTGGAGGTTCTTGAATTGATGGTGTTTAAGTGAGAGCTCTGGCAGGTAATCTGGTGAGATCTGGTAAGTAATCTTCTTACTAATCTGGTGAGAGGAGTCTTTTTACTAATCTTAGAAATTTTCTGGGTTCGAATCCCGGGCAAGGCACGGATGTTCTTTCATTCTCTGTACTATCTGTCCTTTCTGAGGGAGCAACGTTGGCCCACCTAATCGGGTGACCCTAAAAGAGTGGCCCACAAATCTGCCCTTCAGATGCCTGTATTATGACGAAAGGTCATTCTCCAGGTGGGCATTGAAAAAAAAAACAACTTTATAGATAGTGATAGTTGGTGCACCTCTTACTTTATTGACCCAACTCGTCTTAGACGTTCTCAATCAAATTCGTGCCTGGACTCTAGGCAAGCCATTTCACTCGATGAACCCCATAGTCACCTTACCATTCCATGATGAATATCATACCCCGTTACTTTCAGGACGCCTTTAGCGTTGTAATCCTTATATGCCACATGGGTACAATCGATAAAACTGTCACAACGTAAGAAGCGTCCTGTCACCCAGTATAATTCAGTAGGTGTCGGTGTTGAGCTTACTAAGGACATGGATGGCTGGGATAGCCTGATTAGTAGAGCGTTGGGCCTATGTCCGAATGGTCATTAGTTCGTTTCCCGACGACAGAAAACGTGTAGATAATGGTGACTGGTGCAAGTTAAATCTGTCGGGTCAAAAAGTCCTCCATGTTCCCATAACAAATTATACCTATAGGGAACTGAATTGGGGATTGATCGTTCGTTGGTTCAAGTCAAAATTTCAATCTTTGGATAAATAAATGGATGTCTAAATGAGTCCGTCCTATAAACGGGCTGTGACGTGTGTTTGGCTGAAGTCGTATTCTTGGCCATAGATGACGCCACTGAGAAACAAGAAACGCACCCTTCATTCGCTTAGTTTCACCAAGCAAGCTTACTGATATTGGCAAGTGGTAATAGAAATAAGAATATAATGAATTTGGAATAATACTAGGATTGGTTCATATTAGGAGAAACGCATCTAATTCGCCTCTACAAATATGTTAGGAAGTCGAAATGCTTATTGAAATTATAGAGTTCTGTCTTCCAGTAAATTGAACTTTTTAAGTTGTAATTCAAAGAGAAAAATGTACTTCACCTTTTGCAGCGTTTGTTAAATAAGGCATTCCTATCTTCATATTCTTGAATTATTCTCCTTATGATATCAGTAGTTTTTGATTCATTTAACTCTTGTAGAATTTTAACGACTGTACTTTCAATCTCGGAGCTTATAAAGAAAATCAAAATTTGCGTTAAAATAATTTTAAATGTATTATAGAAGGAAATAAAAAGAAAACAAGGGGAAAAAAATTATTTAAAGAGAAAATGAAAAATTATTAAATAAAATGTTTTTGAAAAATAATTAACGAAAAGCCGAAAACAAAATAAGGAAACTATATAATTTCGTCGTCAGCTCACACGATTATATCCGCAAAAAATAGTATTTTTTAATATTGTATTAACATATCCAAAGCAAAATATAACCAAAGTAAACTATATCAATACAATAGTGTGAGGAGCACCAAAAATTTAAATGAAATTAAAACGTATTGAAGAAACACAAATTAAAAAATATCAAGCAAGAAATAGAAAATATAAATTCATAAAAATGAAAACATAAATCTCATTAAAATATAAATACGGAAATCTCCCATTTTTATTTCTCACTTTGACCAAAAGAAGCGGTTATTATTGATTTCTGGTCAGTATTAACAATAACAGGATTTATTACTTTAACTGTAACATTTACCTACATTTGAAGAAGCAAATCAGTGTTATACTGAAGTCACTGTTCTATTGTGAAACTTAGTTTTAAACTTTCAAACATAATTCACCATTACAATTTGCTTTGAGCAACACTTCATATTAATGTAAAAAATATCATTTGTAAAAGAAGTGGTTGGAAAATCCCCAAAGAACCATGGCCACCAAGACTTATAAACAGTTATAACGTATTTACAGAATTGTTACCTAATCGCTGTTAATTATTCTTGGTTAATCCTGGATATATTAATCCTTCCAAAAACATGAGAGAAATTAAATNCGGGTTGAGTAAAAAGTTTTTCATCAAGGGGAGATACCTCCATGCCAGCAGCAGCCATTCCCGTGGTAGTTAACCTTTTCTGAAACGGGCTTTTGCATTTTAAAACTGAAAGTTGGAACTACACAACTGTGTAATTTGTTTGTCAAAACTTTATCATCTTGTGCACCAAAAAAGTGTTTAAAATGGAGCTATCACGTAGGCAGATCAGAACGATTATGTATTATGAGTTCAGAAATAAACTCAGTGTAACAGAATGCCACAAGAAAATGTGTCAAAGTTTAGGTTTCAATACTGTTTCTTATGATACAGTAAAAGTTTGGTTTCGAATGTTTAATAGGGGGAATTTGAACATTGAAGATGAACCACGTTCTGGCCGCCCTATTGAGGTTGATTATGACCAATTAAAGCAAATTATTGATCAAGACAGAAATATTTCAACACGAACCATTGCGTTAGAGCTTGACGTTTGCCAAAAAACAATAGTAAATGCCTTCAAACGCATAAATCTAACATTTAAGTTTAACTGCTGGGTGCCTCACGAATTGACTGCTGAAGACCAGAGCAAAAGAAAAGCGGCCTGTTTGGTTCTGCTCAGAGATCAAAGAAAAGAGAACATTCTGGACAGAATTGTGACCTGTGATGAAAAATGGGTATACTACAACAATACTAGCCGTAAAGGAGGGTGGTCAGCACCCGGGGAATCAGCAGGTTCGCTTGCAAGACGAACGCTAACTAACAAGAAGGTCCTTCTCTGTATCTGGTGGGATTGTCGTGGAGTTATCCACAAGGAGTAACCTGAAAAGCGGGCAGGCTATCAACAGTACAATATACAGCAATATTCTAATCAAAGTTAGCGATGCCATACGCGAAAAACGAAAAAACGAGTTCAGAAGGAAGGTGGTTTTCTTTCATCAAGATAACGCTCGACCACATGTCAGTGCAGTGACCGGCTGGACCCTCTAAACGCTGGAGTGGGATTTGATGCAACATCCACCATACAGTCCAGACATGGCGCCTTCGGATTACTATTTGTTTTCACATCTGCAGCTGCATCTTGATGGCACAATCTTCCGTTCAAATGACAAGGTCATAAATGAGGTTGATCGCTTTCTGGACTCGCGTACCCCCCAGTTCTTCGCAGAAGGGATTGAAAAGTTGCCAAAACGTTGCCAGACTGCAGACTATTGTTGATTTGAGTGGAGATTACTATCCTCATTAGCTTTGTGATTTTCTATGTATTTATTATTTTACAGGATTGTTTTTTTTTTTTTTCGGCGGAAAACTTTTTACTCAACCCGATATCAATACAATAGTGTGAGGAGCACCAAAAATTCAAATGAAATTAAAACGTATTAAAAAAAAACACAAATTAAAAAACATCAAGCAAAAAATAGGAAATATAAATTCATAAAAATGAAAACATAAATCACATTAAAATATAAATACGGAAATCTCTCATTTTTATTTCTCACTTACCAAAAGAAGCGGTTATTATTAATTTCTGGTCAGTATTAACAATAACCGGATTTATTACTTTAACTGTAACATTTACCTACATTTGAAGAAGCAAATCAGTGTTATACTGAAGTCACTGTTCTATTGTGAAACTTAGTTTTAAACTTTCAAACATAATTCACCATTACAATTTGCTTTGAGCAACACTTTATATTAATGTAAAAAATATCATTTGTAGTAAAAGAAGTGGTTGGAAAATCCCCAAAGAACCATGGCCACCAAGACTTACAAACAGTTATAACGTATTTACAGAATTGTTACCTAATCGCTGTTAATTATTCTTGGTTAATCATGGATATATTAATCCTTCCAAAAACACGAGAGAAATTAAATTGTTTTAGTACCAGTTTTTTCTCTTTCTTGGAGCACAAACAGCCATTTAATTGCCGTTTAAGCAAAGTTAACAATTTTTAATGTGACTGCTATAGTTTAAAAAATAAATAATTCCAAATGCATCATTCTGAATCAAAATCTAACTATATTTATGTTCATAATATATTTTTATGAACAATATTTTGATCAAGTTACTAGTTTTCATCTTTTCATAAAAGTATACGATAGAATACGGCTAATGAGTTAACAAAAACACTGTTAGCCGACCCTTTATTAAAGGTTTGGAATGATGATTACAAACCTTTAAGCAGAACAACTGCTAACAGAATTAATTATTTACTTTCTACTATAAATTGTAATAGTAATTTTTATGAAACGCATATCAGTCATACAGCTATATACAATATTACGATTGCAAAATACAATATGTACTGTAATGATCTCCCCGATTAGATACTTTTTGCATCCTAGTCAAAAATAAAGGAAAATAATTCAGGTGCTACAAATTTTTATATGAGTAAGAAAAAAATGTAAAAGCTGCATAATTATGTCGGATCACTGATGAGGAAGCGGTATTGAAAGCGTCAAAATTTGTATGATTGCCAGGGGAAGCACGTAGAAGATGAAATGTGCCTGCAAGTTTCATTAGGCAACCAAACTGGTTTATAATCGCATTTTTCAATATATTTCGGTATCGTGCTTTTTTGTTCTTCTCTTAAATAGTAATTTTTCGCTACTAATGTTTATACCTTTTTAACATTGTTTCCGAAATGGATTATAAATTATCTATTATAAGGGCTGCCATTACGCAACTCTCTGTATATTGCCCAGAGGACAACCCAAAGCTCAAAAGTTCTCCTTCCTCAGTGTTTGAAGTGTTATCGATAAAAATAATCTTAATTGGTTTAATAGTGTCAGCTTTTAAAAACTTTACTACCCGGGTCTTATATCTATGGTTAACTTGATTGACCGACCGGAGGGAACTGATCTCGCATCAGAAAGGTCATGGGTTCGAATCCCGGAGAAGGCACGGATGCTCTTTCAGTCTCTGTACTATCTGTCCTTACTTTACCCCTGGAAGAGTAGCCAACAAATCTGCCCGCCCAATTGATACCTAAACAAAGAGTGTCAATCGAGAGAGGGACATTGGGGGGGAAAAACTTAACTTAATTGCATATAGTGGTAATGAAAATCATTCCAAATCAAGTTTATTAACTCGAAGATAAAATTTCAAATCGTAAAATTTGTTACCACTTCAAGTATTAAAAATAAATCTCCTTTTCAAATAGAGAGCGTTCGCAACTAGGATACTGCAATTCACAATAAAAGCTATAATTGTTATTCCTTTTACCGAAAATTACTATGACAATTAATAATAGTGATTAACTAATCTATCAGAATTATTGTATTAAGGCGATCTTACAATTATAGTGTTATAGATCAAAGGAAATAGGCGGTCTTAGACCAATGAATTAGAACCGTGGAAACGTTGTTACTAAACACCGTGTATGAGAAAAATAACTGCAAAAAGACCTTGACCCTCTTTTACACAAATATACTAAGATTGATTTTTTTAAATATAAATATTATATATTGTTATGAACTTCACAATTCGTGCACAAATCATACCAATCAATTGCGAATCTTTTCTCTTCATCTGATGTGACGCACTCTTTCTCATCACCAACACTTCGAAGATTGCAAGTGTAGAGCAGTCTTGCAAGCTATTCCATAATGCAAAAGATTTATGTCTTATAAACAATAAAAATAGTACAAAGCTATGCAAGAAAGACTGCACAGAAATACAAACTTTTTTCAGCAGACAACAATATACATTTGTTAAGCGATAAATATATTAAAAGCAAGTTAATTTTCAATTTAATGACATATGCATGATTCTCACCATCGCCCATGTGAAACCTGTACTGCAGTTATCTGTCGCCCATTTGATCATTTTTTAATGAAACTTATACTTATCCCTTTACTTCTGACCCGATCATATCGCCAAAAGATGTTTGAATCGGTAATTTCTATTACCCAGTAAGCTTGTGCGAAATAAAATCTATCGCTATTCAATTGTAGCCAAATAATTAACGGTGAACTTTATAACAATAAAAATGCTATAAGACTACAAAGCATCGGCAGCAATTTGCAAAAGATAAATGGATTCGGGCCATAACTTCCGCTTCGTATATGTATATTCCGATTGTTATTTACCAACCACTAAAAATTTATTTAATTATTATCTCTTAAAATGAAATATATTTTTTATCGGAGGGTAATAGTTTACAATCGGGAGCCCCTCTCATTTTTGGAGATTTGCAAACAAACGAATGTAAATAAACAAAGAATCTATCATACAAAAGTAAACAAAAGTTGCTGTAACCCGGTGACGTCGTTGAAAGCAAAGAACTAAGTATATCATGGTAACCAGAAATAGAATTTCAGCAAAACTGAACGAAAATTATGGCCAAACCAAGCCCCCCCCCCCCCCTCCTNCCCCCCCCCCGATCCTACACTACTAGGGCCTAAATAACCAAATAGTAAGTTAACCAAACAATTTTTTAGTAGTATACTCAACCACCTAGCGTTTTCGTTATTCTGCTTTTTATATTTTCTAAAACAATAGGAATCTTATAATCTAAATATAATTGAACTTAACGGTTGTAAGCGAGAATAAATAAAAATGGATTATCGCCAAATCAGTCGTTAGGATGAACAATGTTGTTTCAGTTATGGTAACTCACACAGAAACCTCAATATAAGGTAAGTCGATATTTCGCTTTTTACTGCGCGTATTATACAACACGCATTTTCTTTTTTTTTATTTTAATATAAATGCATTTTATTCAGATTATTTTTTTATGTTTTGTTTGAGCGGCACTATTTTGTTTGGCGTGTAAACTCAAATGGTGTAAAAAAAGAAAAAAAATGCCAATTTTCGCCCAGGGATATCTTAAATTATATTTTTTACCGAGTTCATGCTTGGAAAGTGTGGAGCGTTAAGAGTAACACTTACATTTTCTTGATCATCTCCATTTGCTGACTTCAGTAAAAAAGAGAGTCGATTTCGTAAGCGCAGTAATATGTCGGAAACTATTCTTACTTCATTTGGATTCATATCTTTTCTCGCATCTTTGGCAAGCAATTAATAAACACACTTCAAGATAGTATGTATAAAAATGTTTCAAAACTGAACTTCCACTGAAGGTTTATTTCTTGAGATATTAATTAGTAATTTGCTAATAACAACCTATAAATTTAGGTTTTGTGTTGAAATAGTATGAATGATAGGGGCTGAGAAGCATTCAACGGTGTTTCAGGGAAATTTCGTCAAAAATAAATCTAACCAAGAAGTAAAATTTATAAATAAAATATTAGTAACAGAGAAAAAAAAATCTGAACATTGAAACTGTACCTAACTTTTCACAACTTAATAGCGATGAACGAAAAGTCCCATGGAAAAAAAAATCCCCTGAATAAAGCTTATTCAGAGATTTTTCCCCCAAATTTCTTGATTTGCTTCTCTCAATGAATTTTAACCAGAATTTAAACATTGAAATGAGAAGCACATAAAAAGTTCTTTTTCCTTTGAACTTTTTTACTAAGTTTTTTTTTTCTAAGTCTCTGTTTTGTATTGGAGAGGGTGAATTATTGCAATCGGAATTTTGATCATTTTGAAACTTAGCTTAAAACTTTCGTCGAACACAAAGGCTGATAAAAATGTAAGTGTCAATCGTTTTTTAACACTGCGAGCAAAATGTATATGCAAAATTGTCTATTAATTAAAATTTTGTCACTTATTGACCAATTAAAAAGCTCGAATCTGAGCTCCGCGCGGGATAATAACCGTTTAAAGAAACCGATAAGTCATAAACTTGAACAATCAGTCATCTAGAAAATCCAGTCATTTTAGACCAAATGCTATCTAAACCGTACGCATTTTTTATTTATTTATTTTTTGAGCATCGTGAGTTATGGAACTCCAGCTATGACCATCAACCATATCTCAGTAAAGAAGTTTAGAAATATTAAACACAAGCGTGCAATTTTTTAAAAACAATTTTCCATGAAAATAAAAATAGTCTCAAAAAATAAAGAAAATCAGAAATGGTTTTTAAAAGTTGAATTATTAGATAGTAATAAAGTACTAACTTACTTGTTGTAGTATGTAACTCTGTAATTACTGTAACATGTAACTAAATTACATGTTGAAACACATATATAATTAATTCATGGGCATCTGTTACTTATTTATAATTTTTACCCAGGTTTGCTATAAATTGTAGCTAACAAAATTTTAAAAATGTTGATTTTTTTTCTTCAAAACTATCATAAAGATATTTCATTTCTACTCAGATCAACTGAATGGGATCACTTTAGAATATGAAGGAATTCAGATTTTGGAGAAACACCACTATAAAATCCACTGAATATCTTGAACATCTCTATGGAACTCTTCTAAAGAATGAAAGTTGGGAACTTTATGAGTCAATTGCCTTATCTATCTTATGTTTGCTAAAAACCTATATTGGTTACCCTTGAACAAAGTCACAGATGCATGTATATTGTAATAAATTTTTATGTAAAGAAAATTTTAATAAAATATTTACAAGACAAAAATTGTTAACAGAATGATAATATTTTATTTTATATAATAGATGGACAATTCTTTGTACTTGTGACTTTATTACGATGGCTTATTTACAAATGACTAGCATGAAAAAATAAAAACAAACAATAACACCAAGAACAATAGAATTTTAAACATACCTTTCCAAGCAAAACAGAAACAATGGTCGATTGAACAATGTAATTATGTTATATGTTTTATAGAAAGAAGTTATATGTTGTTTTATGTTAGTAAATATTTTAACCCATACATTTACATTAATTTGGTGGAGGACAAAATTTACATAAAAATTACAGTCAATTTGTGTTACTAGCAGAGTTAGTTTATAATTCTAAACAGAAGGTAAAAATATGAATTTTGAAAACATAAATTGCTAATAATAATAATCTCAAAAATATGATAATTTATACATTCATTAGTACAGATCTTTTTGTAACTAAAATTAATGTAATAAACAAGAATATTATGCAATGCAATATTAAAAAAAGCTCAATAGAAAATTTTAGTATGTATCAATTTAAAAAATAATCACACTATTTAAATGTAGTTCAAATAATGAATTTAAACCCTCATTTAATTTAGAAGCTAATTTAAAATATAAAAATACTTAGTATCAGAAAAATTTATGAGTAGATTTTGTATAAGTAAATATCATTATACCTCACCTAATATGCCACCATTTCACAAATTAACAATTAGAAAATCCAATTTATTTTTTAAAAAAATTTATAGCTATAATCCTAATAATCTACTAACATAGTTCTTTATAAGATAAAAAATTTTTAATAATAAATTTTTAAATATCATTTAATAGAATATTAAAAAGGAAACTTAATAGAAAACCTATCAGCATTAGAATTTGTATAAAAAAATTATTCACTTTTGAATTTTTATAATAAAAATTATCATTATGACAGGCTGGAATTTAACAACCTTGAAGTTAAGGCACACTGAATAATAAAAATATTAATGTGAATTCCATAAAGCTATATATAATAACAACAAATCAGACCTTATTACTTAATAGTTAAAAATACAAATAAAATAAAAATATGGCACAATACACATAAATACAGTACACCATTTAAGTAAAAGACTAATTTAGACAGAATTATAATGATTTAACTAATTATGAATAGCAATTTTATAATTGAAATAGGCTGCATGTTTATAAAGATTAACCACCAGCTTGTCAATTAATGAGAAAATTTTCATTGTAAATCAGATAAACTTGCATAATTCGGTTGCTTTAAAGAGAAACATTTAAACAAAACTTTTTTTAAAAAATATTGTAAGAAATGCATAAGGCAAATTTAAGATAATAAATTTATAAAAAATGAAGTTCAAAAAATTGTTTATAAAGTGAAGGCTGTTTAGTATTTGCATGAAAAGATTGCATAGTAAACATACAACAAAATTTAAACTCTAAAATGTAGCAAAACAATATTTCAGAACATACAAACAAAATGGTTTTCAAGTAAATGATATCAGTGTTTTAAATCAAAGATCTCAATCAACAAAGGCTCAACATCTTTAGGATTTACATCTAAATAAACTCTCACGTGATTTTCATTTAAAATGTGAAGTTCCTCAATTTTATGTATGAGTTTCAAATATATTGTTTTTGATTCACAAGAGCCGTATATTGAATTGAGGTATCGATGCAGAAGGTAATAATAGGTGTCCTGCTCGACTTTAATCGACTCTTTGTGAACGGTATTACGACGTTCAGGCGTGAAAAGGGCAATGCCACACAATATTAACATAATGTTCTCATCAGCACGCCACTGAGGATGGAATGAGGTTATGAATCGTTTGTGTTCTTCATAGAGGTTACCTTTCGCTTCTTTCAAGACCTCTACCTTAATAGACATGACCTTTGGGCCTTTCGGTCCCTGCCAACACTCCCTTTCTGGGTCGTAAGACATAACAGATCTTAAAATCATCAATTCAGTGCAACCCCCTTTGAGCAATGCAATCTGATCTTCTTGGCACAAGTTTTTAAAACAAGACAGTTTCTTGGACATTTTGATCAGCCTTCGGATGGCGTGGTCTGTCATGTTCACGACATCCAGGAGACTCGGATCGCTGACTTCACACACCAAAGGCATCTTTAACACCTCATTGGCGTACACCAACTCCTCGAGTTTACTTTTCTCTAATGTATTAAGCTCCTTGCAATTTAGAAGAGTAGTTCTGATGGGGAGCTCAGTGAATTGAATCTCAATGGCTTTGGCATAAGCAGATTGACTGATATGATCCAAAGACGATAATACATCGTGCATTTTCCCTTTTGGCACCTCCAAATGTGCCATTTGATCTTCAGATGATCCAGATGCAGATTCATTAGCAGTTTTCTTGCCGATTTCAGCCACGGCACATTCCGTTTCCGACTCGGCATTCGTGTCGTACGCGTCGCTCGTGCTCGAACCGTCGTGCTGAGAACAGACGTCGGAGAGTTTTCCGTCTTGCATGGAATTTGAGGCACTTTCTAACATTAATACTTTCGAAGGAGGGCTGTATTCACAATCTGAGGGGGTGAGTGGCTGGTGAGTGAAAACAGATGTCTTGGGGAGATCCGCTGTTATCCCTACACTTCCAGGCGTTTGTGGAGTGAGGGGTGACATTGAGGATAACGGACTTAAGACAGTTTGAGTATCATCTATTGGCTCAGTCTTTATATAAGTCAATTCTTGCACCTGCATTTGAACTTGCTGTGTACCTTTCCTTTTGCGATTCTTTTCTATTTTCTCCCTTTTGGCCTTCTTTTCTTCTTCAGACATGATCCATTCCTTTTTCATGCCGATAGAGAAGCATTTCTTTAACCGGCATTTCTGGCAAAACCTTCGGGTGATCACCTCAATTTTACAGTTATTTTCAAAGGGACATTTAAATTCCTAAATAGAGAAAAAGAAAAGAAAATTTTTTTTATTGAATCATACATTTTATAGAAAGTAGTACAAGCAAAATTTTTTGTTGATTATTTCAAATGCCAAACATTTAAATATTAAAATAGAGAGAAGAAATTGCTATTGGAATATACTGCACATTTTGAATGGACAAATAAAATATTGCGAAGTTTTTCGGCATATATTTCAAATAGTCTAGATTAAAATTCTTAAGAAATGAGAAAAAAGTTTTATTGCAATGTTTCTTCTTTTTCAGTGGCACGTCTGGGTGGGCCCTGGCCTTCTCAAGAATTTTCCTCCAGGCCCCTCTATTTTTGGTCAGGGTCTTCCAATTAATCACACTTAAAATGGCAAAATTCCTTTCTGAGCAGTAAAATCCATCTGAGGTTGGGTTTAATTTACTTCATAAAAAAGTAATGCTTAGATAAAGGTACCAATTTAAAAATCATACAATACATAAACTCTATTGTACTTCTAAAAAACTAAAACTAAATTGATTACCAAATTGACTTCTGTAAAACTAAATTGATTGCTTAAAATCAATCAATATTCTAATTCTTAGTTAAATTAGGACTAGCCCTTAATGCCTTTCAAGCATTCTGCATTTGAATCACTATAAACTTTTTGCTCACAGCATTTCAAATTTAAATTCTTTTGTTTTTCTAAAAGGAGAGAAAATAAAGTTTCGGAGTAGCCTGTTGGAAAGGGGGGAATGATGAGATTATTAAAAACATCACCACATGACGTTCTTTGCCTTTTTTTTAAATTTCTTATTTCTATCAACATGTTTTTGTTCATTATTTTTAGAATTATTTAAAGAGTAGAAAAAATCAACACAGATAAGTTGCAAACAAAAATAAAAAAAATAAGAATTTCATAACTCTTGGTAGTAAAAAAAACCCTATTTTAAACAGATTATTTAGGAAATTTTCAAAATCCGTAATTTTCATTACTCATTACTGTAAGACAATGAAATTGTAATAATTATGGATAAATCATAATTGTTGGAACCTCTGCTAAAATAATAAATGCTACTTCTTCGTGTGTAACATAATAAATAAGGAGAGCCAAAATGTATGGAAACGGCCAAATATCTTGGAATTTAAACTTAATGTATGACTTTTTTAAAAATATACTAAACTTCTTTTTCGAATCTTTTATTATATAAACACATCACTACATTATTCTTTTACATAATTAACGTTTTCTCTTTTTTACAATTTTATTTATCTATGCATGCATATCTTCAAATCATATTTTGTATAAATTGAACTAAATTTTTTTATTGAAAAAAATGTGGTAGATTGCATGTGACAAAGTATCGTTTTTTATTTTCTAACATCTCCATTTTATTCTTTCTCATTGCTATTTCTCTTTAAAAATATGATATAGATTTTGATCGCACATGCATGTAGATATACTTCATACAGTGAAACAAATATCTTTTTGAATAGGAACCATGAATTTATAATAGCATTCCAAAAATAAAAAAATTTAATCGGAAAAAGAAAACAAAAACCATAACAACAAAAACCATAGCAACAAAAACCATAGCATATATCATAAGTGAACTTTTTATTCCAAACACAAATCAAAATGCATGTTTAAAAAATGGACGAAACTCAAAATGAGCCTTTTAATTGTTCAACTCAAAATTAACAACTAAATGACGAACTTCAGGCTTGCGTTTCCTTACTTTTTTAGACACTAAGCATAATCATTACAGGACTAAGTTCCAAACTTTGGGATCAAAGTGGCTGGGTAGATTACATGTGTCACTTTTCAGGCATACCTCCATATTTAGAACACTAAACAATAAGTTGGTTTTGAAAAAATTTAAATTCAAAAAATGTAAATTTAATACCACTATTCTAAGTTTATAGGACCTATGTTAACCTTGCAAAAGGGACTACTGACTTTTAATATCTTTTCAAAACAACTAATTTAAAAAATTGTGCTGGAAAATGGATGATATCACATCATGAACTTATTTAGATCCATTAGTTTATTCTCCTTTTTTTTTTAAAAAAAAGGAAGAAAAAAAAGATCAATTTTTATAAGAGAAGTTTTAAAAAAGGTTTCAAATGCTAGATCTAATTTACTAAACATGAATTTCTGAGCTGTGTTCAATTTCTTAAACATGCATTTCGAGCTGTATCCATTTACTTACACATGCATTCTGAGCTTTATTCAAAATAAAAACTTCACTGACAATATTGATAGTTTCTATACATTAACATGTCTGGTTCAACAATTGCAAACATTATATCATTAAACGTGAACAGCAAAAAATAATATATATATGAAAAATCTGGCTCACAATGATTGTCGTTGGTATTTTGTGATGATGTAGTCTCGTAGGAAAAGTCTTTATTAATTTTTAATTCAGCCTGATATTTTTATGCTTATCACAATCAGACTACATGACTGAAAACTAATAAGCAAATGTGTGAAGAATTAATATATTATAATAAATTTTCTTTGGCTTATTGCAATCAAACTTTATAATAAGGCTTTTTACAATATGCTTTCACTATTCTGGGAAAATTGGAAACTGCATGAAAAAATTAGACTAATTAAACAATTAATGACATACTTTTAAAAATTTTTATGAATGACGTAGTCGAAAGCCACGAAGGCCTTTACATAATAAAGTGCAGAAAGCTTAAAATGCATCAGCCTTATAATAAAATACTGAAGAATTTTTCAATTATATTCTCCCATTGCATATTAATAGTGGCTGTTGGCAGATTTTTCCATTAGTATAAGACATAATGGTATAATAATAAATATTAGTATATATATTATTATGCCATTACAGAATAAAATCTTTGCAAATTAATTTAAAAAATAGGAAACAATAACACAGCATTTAAATGAAATAGAAATCAAGCGAAAGATAGATTAATACAATATACGACATATTCTGGGGACAACCAGACTGCATTTATATCAGAGTTTTTATGTCTGAATAATTGTTTAACAAAACATAAGTCTTATGTGTGTCCCAAAGCCCCATACGCAAAAATACATGAAATTAAAATTATAAATACAAATGTAGCTTACTTTTGTTTTCAAAGCATTCCTGCGAAAAAAAGCTTTACAAGATTCACAGGTGATAGCATTAAAATTACTGCCCAATGCATTATCTCCGCAAACACCACACTTCTTCAGATCTTTCTTTTTTATTTTCTCATTCATCTTAGCAGTTGCTTAAAATGCATAAGCCCTGAAATGTTGAAGAGAGAAAGAACTTTAATTTAAAAAGCATTTAATAAAAAAAATATAATATGAAAAAGAAAATCCAGTTTGAATGCTGTAATAGCTAAAAACATACAGCACAAAAATCTTACACTTTACTTTAAAAAAAGTTCAATTTACAAAAATAATAAAATAAAATAATGATATAGTACATGCATATGAAATGTAAATATTTTTTTCAAGCTGTCTGCATTTGTGATAATATTAAAACATACATAAAAATTAATTTCCATATCTTATAGAAATATTGTGGGTGAAAAAATAAGAATATTTGAAAAATCTTCCTCTTTAAATTATTTCATTAAATTTGAGAGAAAAATAAAGAAAATTCTACTTAATAGTACTTTATAAGTATATTAAATTTTTTGTAAATAACAAAATGTTTTTTTTTTCATATGTGTAGTAAAAAAAATTTAAAGAACAACAACAAAACAAATACATGGATTTCAAACTGCTTTTAAAAATTTAATTAAAAATCAGAATGCCAGAAGCATTTTATATTATGCCTTAAATAAAATTGTTAAATGATTGCATAGCTTGATTGTATCATGGATGTGCATCTACAAGCACTATATTATATAACCACCATTCAATTTTAATAAAAAAAATCAGTTATCCCATTTTTTTTCATATTATTTTATATAAAAAAACCAAAAATTATTAAATTATTATCAAATTAATAGATCCTTGTTTAACAGAACCCTTGTCACAAATAAAAATTCATCATATAAGCTTTTTAATTTTCAGACAGACATAAATATGTAAGAACATACCTCTATTATGAAATGATTTAAAGGAAATAATATATAATGAATTAAGAGCTTCAATAAAATCAGATCAGTTATAATTAACATGCGATTGATTCATGTTAAAATATGAGTGCCATGAATCTACTCTTCTTACAGATGAGCTGTCAAAAAAAAAGGTCTATTTAAGCTGACATTTAAACACTCTTCTCTTCAGCTAACACATCAATGATAAAGAAACTGCTGATAAAGGTAAAGTCTACTTAAAAAAATAAAATAATAATAAAAATGCACAAAAAAAATTAAAATGATTCACATATCTTTAAGCAGTAGTAACTCTAAATGCAATAGGTATTAAAGGTCATTTTCATTCAGAGTAACAAAGTCACTGTTATCTTCATTAAGTAAGATAAACATTGTAACTGATGAAATGGGAAAAATAAATAGAAGCAGAACATAAGCAAGCAAAGCTGAAAAATTTTGATAAATTTGGTTGGTATTATGTTTCTAAATTAAATTTTCAATTTTTTGAATTAAAAAAATGCATCATAAATTATAAATATTTAATAATATAATATTTAATACTATAAATATTTAATAATATACATAATAAAATTTTAAATCTGTTCTTTATTGATTCATAAATTTTATTTGATAGAATTTTCATTTATTTATTTTTATTTTATTGCTTTCATTCAAACAAAGTAAAAGCACTGGAATAGGTCTTTTAAATATATATCTGTTTATATTTTCAGAAACAATTTCTAGCATAAACAATAGCTACCTCAAAAAATTAACCAAAAATAAGAAATTTTAAAATCTAAGTACAAAAAATAAAAATACCAGCCAAAGAAGTATTAATTTCTCAACTTGTATTTATAAGTAGAATGTGAAAATATCTGTTTCAAATATCTATAATACAACAAATATCTAGACATAATAAATCTAATATATCTATATTTATAATATATCTATAATATAATAAATATAATATAACATTTGTATTAGGGCAGCAAATTTTTTTATCTTATCACAGAAAGGGCAAAAAAACAGGAAATCGATATTGCGTTTTCTGTTATGAATGAGATAATTATTAACATAATTACACGAAGTTCAGCTTAAATGACTAAATCTTTTTTCTTTTCTTTTTTTAACTAAGATCTTAAACAATCTGATTTCTTATTTATTTTACTTTTAAAAAAAATTCTACACTTGGAATAATTTTTGTAAGAAATAAATTAAAATAAAAACCTTAAAAATAAACAGATTTTTCATTTTAGACTTAAATTAAAATATGCTAAGAAAAATGAACTGAAATGAAGAGTTGAGGAAAAAAGCTAAACTGAAATAAATAAAACAGGTAACTATAAAACAAGTAAAAGTACTCGAGTAACATATTAGTGAAATTGACAAACCTGGCTTAAGAATATATATGAATAAATCAGTAGCTGTTGGCATAAAAAACCATTTGAAATATTTTATTTTAAGACTTGGATAAATAAATTAATATGCTATACTTTCAGATGATCATAATGCAATTCTAAATATTGATATATGATTAGTTTCAAAATGTTATTCAAGATAATCTTCAAGAACACTCTTCAATTATAATAATTAAAAAAAATTATTAATATAATGACAAAAATAACTGAGAGTTCCAAGTGATATATGAAAAGTTAAAGAAAAAATCCAAGAACAAACACAAACAAATCATATACACCTTAATAGAAAATGTCTAATTTATCGAAGATTCAGTATAATTTAAAAAAATAATTATTCTCAATCAATTTAAAGCATAGTTAGGATGTATAAAAACATGATTGAAATAGGCTTAGGATAATTTCAGACAAAAATGTCCAGTTATGAAGCAAATATGGAGCAGCAACTTCATCATTAAAATTAATAACATTTTATCTATTTTTGGAATAAATGTCCTAAAGAGAAAGTAAAATTAATGTCATATTTTACTTATAATGTTTTATAGAATGGTTTTTAATAAAATTAATTTAAATATGTGTAAGTTAATTTTGAAAAAAATATTAAAAAGATAAAGAATAGTTTTTTAAATAAAAACCAGTCTTTCGAATAAAAAAGAAGTTATCCTGGTCGTTTTTAGAAAAGATCGGCCATTTTGCAATCCTGATAAATAGCACTGTAAACTGAGAAAAAATAGGAAAAAAAATATTTCAAAATTAACAACATTTGTATCTTTATAAAAAAAATATATTAGTTTCCAAAATGGGACACAGTACACCACACGTTTCTAATTTTTGCCACTTTGCTTTCATTAATTTTTCAAAACGTGAGACATTTTTGAGATTCCTGATGTGAGAAAATATTTTATATTTTTTTGAAATATAATATTATGAAATTTCAACTAAACATACTTACCAAAATGATAATGAACTCATAAAAAATGATCTTAACTGCATGTTATTTAACAATGAAACATCCAGAGCGTTGAGTGGAAAATGAGCTTGACATGTTAGATATTAACGTCAAAAAACGTGATAACCAAGAATAGTTCTTTGAAAGCCCCATCATTTTAGAGTCAAATGTCACCTAAAATAAATTAAATTAAATTTCACATTGCTAGAAATACTTACATTAAAATCAAAAAGATTAATCAAGCTAAAAAGGTATTTATATAACATTAATAAGTGTGTTTTGGTTTAAAGAAAAAGCAATATTCATGAGAGCATGTGTTTCATTCAAAATATATCAATAATTTTTAAACTAATAATTTTAAGTTTAATAAAAGCACAATGTCATTCAAACTTGTTAGTGTTTAAGTACGCGGCCTAAAAGAAAAAACTGAGTTTAAAAATTATTGATCTAATTTATTTTAATATCATAATTAATAAATATTAGAATATATTTTTTTCTCTAAAAAAACAAGAAAATAATGTGTCAAAACATTTAATAAAAAGACTAAGCCTTTTAACACTTAACCTTTAACATCATTTTGAGCCTGACGGGATATATATGTCCCATCAAATGTTTTAAGTAGATTGTTGGACTAAATAGATTACATTTTTAACATTAGATTTGCACATGACAGTCTTTTGAACTTCCCTCCTTCTCCCTGGACGTTTGGCAGCATTTGTAAAACTGTCATGACAGCACAACTTTGAAATATCATATGCTTTTAAAGATTTATGTATCATTTCATAAGGAAAATAACTGAAATAGAGCTAAGAAAAAGTGAATGTCATAGTATAAATATTGTTTTTTAATTTTATCATCACCCATTAACGCAAGATACTGGTGGGACAACATACATTCCACTCAAAAAGACTAATAGGATATCTATATCTCAGGGCCTAACTGAAAGAAGTGAGTCCAGATTTGTATCAGATTATCAATTGTAAAAAAAAAAGCAATCCTGACCTAGCTGCTAAGAGCGGAAGTTTTTAACATCAATAAAATTTATAATTATCAAGACTGTTTGAAATGGTGCTACTCTAGTCTAAATGTTATTCTAACAGATATCAGTTAATCTAAAACCCTATCATAATTATAATAAAACAGGATTGTAAACTAGAATTATAATAAAACCTATTTCTTCAAGGATGTTGGGAAAAACTGAAAAAATGGAATAAATTGGATGGTTAGTGTATGATATGTTAATTTAGCATCATTTATAAAAATTTATTATGTCCTTTTAACAGTTCTTTGTTATAAAATTAAGTTCTTCTCTGCTACAGTATGTTAAATTTCATAAAAATTAATAAAAGTTACTTTTTTTCTTCATTGCTGCTTTTTAGTTTAAAAATATATTAGTTTGGTAGTAAGTTAATGGACAAGTTAAACAGGATTGCAAATTGTTTAAAAAATTAGTTGTATTAATAATTGATATTTCTTTCTGAAAAAGAGTTTCTTCTACTAGGGGTTAGAAGAAAACCATTTCTGCTGGGTTCATTGTTTTTCCTACTGTTGAAGAAACTTTCTATCATTATAATAAGCTGATAGAGTTTTGTTATGTTCTACATAAAATCGTGGAAAGGTAAATCTATATACCACAATCAACTGACAGTGGAGGAAGAAATAGTGTTGGTAAAATGGTTCAGTCAATGAAACAGAAATTCTTAACAGTTCTAATTAAAAGATAGAATATTTAACAGCTTTTTTTGCTAATAAAAAAATTAACTTGAAGCCTTTTATAACACTATTAGTTCTAACTTAGTAATGAGGAAAAAAAATTATCATTTTGTTTTGAAGTAGATAATAAGAGAAATCATCACTTAAAGACATTAATTCTAGGTATTTTTAAAATTCTAGTTTATTTCCTATATGTTTAAAATTAGATTTCACATTATGTAAGATAAGTTTTCATTTATTTACAGCTAGCAACATATTTTTTTTTAAAGTTATTAAAAAAATTAGAACCACAATATTTTTTTTTTTATTATCTACATCTTGGCATTTTATAGAAATGTCTCGTGAGGTGAAATAAGCACGTTTCTGCCTTTCCCGAAACACTTGACATCTAAAAGATAAGAAAAGTCATGACCTTTATGCTATCTTTGATGATAAAGTCATGCATGTGCAACACAGAAGATTGGGCAAAAATCAAGAGTTTTTTTTTCTGGTTTCAAAATAACTGGAAGAAATAAAAAATAATTGCTGATGAACTATCTAAAAGCAAACTTTATATCATTATCATGAAACAGCAATATAAACAGATAGGTTAAAATTAATATGTTTGAAATTCAAACTGTATTAATAAAATTCTAAAAATTTTGAAAAATAAGAGTGTTGAATAGATAAATTCAGCAATAGATAATAACAAAACAACAAAATCTGAAAATGTTTGTTAAGAAAAATTTAAACTTTAATAGAAGATTCTGTGAAAATTATTGAGCTTGAAAAAACGTCCCTTCCCAAAATTTTAAATTGTTCAAATGATCCTCTTACAAAACTCAACTACTTTTCAAATTTGGACAGGTTATAAATATTTTGTTTTGTTTGTATTGTACAACTGAAAAGGCAGATTTCAAACATATGTGAAAGTGTGAATTACTGACAACAAAAAAAAACTTAACTCAATTTGACAAACATTTTAATTCTGTTTCATTAAGTATTTTTTCTAAGTCAAAAATGCTTATTCCTTTAATTTTCTCTATAAAAAAGTCTACATTTTCTAAAAAATACCTACAATTTTTTATAAAATTATATATTTAAATAAAATATATATAATTTGTAAAACTATGTATACATTACAGAAATAGAACCTTAGTTTTCAATAAAAATATTTTTCACTAAATTCCAAAAACAGAACCATGTCAGGGAGTTCTGGATTGACTTTTTAAGAATTAAAATTGAAATAATTCAGTATTTCAAATGTATAAGTGTTAGTTCAAGAATTTAAAAAACAAATTGAGATTAGTGAAAATACTTAATGAACAGAAAAAAATATGTGGAAATGAAATGCAACAGAAATATGTCATGAACACACATTTTTAATGCTCAAGAATTTTTCGTTGTTTAAAGAATAGTTGATACTTGTAGTTTTATGGATTAAATGATTACTGTATTTTGCTTTCATTTAGCATTTACTTTTGCTTCCAAGAACACAAATCAAAATATTAATATATTTGCATTAATACAAACTTAATGCATATATAAAATTAGTTAATGTAATAAAGCATGCATAATTAACATATTTAATGTATGCTAGGAAGTTATTTTTTTTACATTGAAATTATTATGAAATCTACATTCCACTTTCTTTTTAAAAGTTTAAAATTTACGTAATTGCCTGCTATGCTAATTTATAAATATTTAAAAAAAATATGTCTCAATTCAAATTAGAATTTTATTAATAAGTTAAAAAAATATACATTAAGTTATAAATTGAGAAGATTTTCAAATAATATTAACTTTATTTATCTTGTGTAAATTTCCACATTAATTTAACCATCTTTAAATAGGTATGTAAAGTAACATCATTAGATTATAATTAGCTCTGTTTAATGTATGCTTTGTGATGAAGCTAATAGTATAAAGGTCATTGTAAGATTTTTTTATTTTAAATTTTTAAGCAACTATGCTAACTATTTATACACTGTGCAACTAGCTGTTAATAATTATTTAGCGGAAAGAATTATAAATATTTATTAATAAAAATGCATAAAATAAAAAATTAATTTAAAAATAATGTTAATTCCTTTCTTTTAAAAAAAATAAATCATGCACTAAATAAAAAATAAGTCAAGTTTTTGCTTTTATTCTTATGATTATTCCTAGCCATGGTAAATTTGGTATTTTGAGCATTTTCCAAACTGCGCTTTACTACACTATTTTTCACAGGCACATAAAATTTAATTATTGATTTCAATAGTACACAGAATTTAAAAATTAAATATTAAGTTCTACTTATAAAAATATATCAGGGATAATTTATTGCCAAACATAATTATTAAGAAACAAAAGGTATTACTTAAGTATACTTAATATAAATTTCGAAAAATTTAAAATCAATGAAAAAAAGAATTAATAATAGATGAAACTAAGCATCAAAAAACAAAAATCTTAAATTTTATGACACAAAATATGAAACAAAACTTAAAATAAAAACAAAACAATTAAAATTTAACAATCATACTTAAAATGCTAATGAAATAAAATGGAATTTATAACATCAATAAAACTTAAAATATGGACCAAGAAATATAATTAATGAAAACTAAGCATTTAAAATAACGATCTTAAATTTTATGATATAAAATCCAAAAAAAAACTTATAATATAAATAAAATCATACACATACACACTGTTAAAATGGATAATGTAAATAAGTTTACTTCTGTTGCCATAAATGGATTCATCACGGCTATAAAAATATACAGGAAGAGTAATCCAAGTACACATAGACCAATGTCTTAAAAATAACATTACATGCAACTGTCAACTTCACCATCTCAAAGTAGAGTACAAATGGCGGCTCTCAAACTTCTAAACTCTAAGAACATGTGCACTTAAAATGGTTGATAATAGATGCTGTTCTTTGGCAAAATACTGATAAAAGATTACAACCAATCAAATGAAATGATGTATTAAACCCACATCCATAAACAAAATTCATAAAAAAATTTTGCAAAATATGTTTTACTTCCTAGATATAAAAGAGATATTGAAAAGTTGTTTTCTATACAAAGATTCTAAATGTAAGGAAAATTTGATTAAATATAATTTTCTTTTTAATTGCATAAATTTTATGAAACTTTTTATCATTTATAATGAAAATTTTAATTAAACAAGTAAATATTTTAGATATGCTAGGAAATTACAATACTTATTAGATACACTATATTACTAACAAACAATATCAAAATCTGCCAAATCATTAGTGAAGAAATGGAAACATCAAAATCAAACTGCTAAACATCATAACTTAAATAGTTTAAACAAAGGAAGAAAGAATTGCAAAAAAAAGCGATAAAAAATCACTTTGATTTAAGATGAAATCCTCACAAATAGATTGCACCAAAGAGTGATTATTTAAATGGGCGATCTGAAACTCGCGTGTCGTAATAATTTTGTTAAAAAAAATTCGGGATTCTCGAAATCACATTACAATGCGGAAATAACTGTTTAAGAAAATAATTTTTATTTACAATAAATTTGGCTTAAAGGAAGAGTGCTAAACATACATTTGAATCTGTTAAAATTGATTGTGTCAAAACGTTATGACTCAAAAGCGTGATAAATTTTTTTTTTTAATTTTATATTGTGCTAAGAAGCTCTTGCGGGCCCCACTTCAGTAATCAGTGGGTCGCATATGGCTCGGAGGCAGCAGGTTGTGCACCCCTAAATTATAACTTTATAAGATTTGATTTTCAAAAGAACCTTTTCAAATTTTCAAAAGAACCTACTTATCACACAAGCACATTTGATTGCCTAGTTTCTGAAATATAACAAAATAAAAAATTGAATTTTATATGAGTATGCAATTAATGAATTAACAAATTATAAACTTTGTTTTGATTGATTGAGAAAAAGAAATTTTTTAAGATGTAAAAAATAATAACATTAAATCTCAAGTGAAAAATACGTGTATTGGAACTTTCATAACACATTTTAAAATAAAAGTTCTTAACTTGATCAATCAGAAGTCTAATGTTTCTCTGAAGGAACTTAACTTCTTCAGAATAGTTGCCAAACAGAACCTGAGTTATGATCCTCCGGTTCAATTCATTAATCAAATAAATTTTATACAAAAAATAAATAATAATAGCTCAAAATATGCAACACATTTTGGCTTAATTTTTTTTTTATTTAGCATAAGAAAATTCCTTTGCTTACTTTAAAAGACTAAATTTCAGATGCAACTAAAAAAGAACATAACTGGTAGCCTGTCCAAAAATATACAAATTTGACAAAATACAAAAAAAATATATATATATATAAAAATGAAGGATTTTATGAACAAATGAGGAATAATGTATAATTTAAGGCTAATTGTTAAGGGCTATTCCCAATATAAAAGGACAATGACTAATGCACAGATCTCTGAGAAAATATTTCAGCTGCTATTTTGCAGACTTTTGAACAGCTTGTCTTTGAGATCTAGGTTTATTTCAAAATTCGGGATACTTAGAGGGTTTACTGGTTTAATTATTTCCTGTGCATTAACTGGAAGATTCACCTGACTAACTAATTAAATTCACCTGACTGTCCGCTCTGCAACTTGGCAGAGCCCATGAATAGGACCCACCTCCGCCGCTGTGCTGCATTGCATTCCGGCTCTGAATCGTCGCTTTATTGGCAAGCCAGAGAACTTTTAGGGCAATGACTTCAGTCATTCTGTTTAGTTTATTTATTCACCTGTTTTGTCTTTGCATTTGTTTTCTGTGCTATTTCTTGTTTATACCCTGCCATTGGAAAAAAATTTTTTGTGCTGACTTTAGACAATTATCTCACTTAACAGGTACGGTTCAATTGTAATGCTATTGAACCAATTTCAGGGGTCAGTATGACAGTGGTAGAGTTATTCAACCAGTATGAATTGTGCAGTTAACCTTAATCAATCACTCTTAAAAACACACCTGCATAGAGTATGCCTGGCAATCACAATTAACCCTAAATCACATTAAATATACTGGGCAAAAGTATAATAGCACTCAACCTTAAAAAAAGAAAGAAATAGAGTATCTTCAGTGAGAGATAACTCCTTCTAATTTCTCATAAGATGAAAAATATGATCCTACAGCAATTGTTGCAACTATGATAATCAAAACTAAAATATAAATAGGAAAAATCATGCAAACAGATAACACTTTGTAATGGGTCGAAATTTGTTTTAGCATACCATCGAAATGAATCAGTGTAATAGACATTTTAATACAAAAAATTTAAGAAATATATTTTTATTTATTTACAGTTATAGCTAGGAAAAAGAACTCAAAATCTTTTTATATCAGTGATACCTAAATAATGATAATATTAAATGTGATAAAAAATCCTTAATAAAATCATATTAATTATGTGAAAGATAATTGTTAGATTAAAAAGTCATTAATCATGAAGATTGGTAATATAAATTGCCTCTTCAAGTTTTATAACAAAAAATTTACAATTTTGGCAGTAAATAATGTTAAGAATTATTCTTAATTATAATTTATCTTTCTAGCAAAACTTCGTTCAAACGAAATCATTGCATACCTCAAAATAAAGAAATTCACAGGATAATAAGTTTTGACTTAAAACTTAAAATAAAACATTTACATTTAATTGAAATAAAAGTAAGAATTTATAATTTATTTCAATGGAGCGATTGCTGAAAATTTAGCAAACCACAAATGTTTTTTTTTTTTTTCATAATATGGTTTTAATAGTTTTAAGTGTATTAATATATAGATTTCCTCATTTTATTCAGTTTTATAAAAGTGGTATGTCAGGTTCAGGACTTAGAAGTAACTTTAGTAAAACAAATTAAAAGCCTATTGTTTAAAACATGGCTTCACTGGGTTAAAGTGTATTGATACATTGATTTTCACATTTTATTCACTTTTAAATGAGTGAGTTCCACTTTTTAGCATTGTAGCTTAAGAGTTTATATGCATTTTGCATAAACTCATATTTTTAGACAACATTGGAAACCTGCAGATAGCATTTTTTAAAGACTGCATTTCACCTGCAGTAGCACATAGTATAAGTTTCCTAAAAGTCAAATTTCTTATTTAGCTTGCATCTTTTGTTCAATCAAATGTGCACAAATTAAAAATTAGGAATCATAGCCTGGAGGACAATAATAAAACTACAAAATCATGAAAAATATTATAAAATATAAAATTGAAGTATTTATTTCGATATCAAAACCCAGAGAAGCTAATATGCGATTGACAAGTAATTGTTGTTGGAATAAATTAGTATATGGGTTTCTCAGAAGAAGCTACAAATTAAAAACATTGAAATTGCCCCAATCTGTTTCATTACACACATGCAATTGCTTGTTTCTTACCATCCTCAACATTTCCCCACAGGTATTAATACCGAAATTTTCTTACATGAAATTTATAAAATCTTTTTAACGCTTTCAAAAACCATTAATAAAAATCAAAAGGAAAGATTTTATTTTTAATAAAATTAAAATCTTTAAGTTCCATAATATAATGCAAATAAAATGAATTGTTAAGTATAAATAACTTATGCAAACAAAGAAATTTACAAAATTAATTTCCAGTAACAAAAAGAAATGTATAAATGTATGGAAAGTATCTTTATAACTAACCTTTCATGAAAAAATTGGGCATAGAAGTATAATTTTTTTGAAGAAAAAATAGCACTAAACAGAAACTGGAGGGAAAAAGAAAAAACATTACTAAATAAAGATTAATGGGACAATTTTTCTAAATGAAACATATTACAAACATGTAAAAAATTAAAAATATTTGTAGAGTAAGGATTTCCTTTGTGAATTAATTTCAAATAAAATGTAAAAATTTGATGTTTCGAAGTATTGATCAGTATAAATAACTGGTTTTGACAGTAAACAAACTATTGCGTCACAGATACGTCAAAGTCTTGAATGAAAGAAAACTACAACTATTTGATACTTATTCAAAACAATTTTTGTTTCTAATAAGAAGTATGACAAAAGAATTATTAAAATAAGCAAATAAAAACATCAATAAGAAAATTTATGGATAAAAAATTAATTTTTCATTGGCCCCTCCCTAAACAGGTCACAGTAAGGGAAATGAGAAAAGAAATTCCATAAAAAATTCTTTAAAAAAAATAATACAAGTTTAAATTTAATTTCATACTTATTTGTGAAATTTGAAATTATCAAATACGAAAATAATCGCCATAATTAAAGTCCAAAACAAGCACAGTAAATAAACATAAACATAATCACGAGACCAAACATAACATTATAATCGTTGCCATCTTATAATTTTAAATACTGAATATGATCCAATATAGTTCAAAACGCTTTAAACTGTCTATTTTTGTTCTACCTATGACTACTTTTGAATTGTTTAACATCTCATTTTAGAGCTTAAGAGCGTCCTCTTCTGGCGGTACAAGAATACAGCTGGTAAGGTAAAATTATAGTTTGTGACTGTACTAAAACAGATGGCGCTTTTTTACGTGCTGAGAAAATCCATAAAAATCATACATCTTTGATATACTAGTTACCAATCTTAAAGTTTTTAAAAGTGATGTTCATAAAATAAAAAAATCGAAACAAATCTTTGTATTACCAGTTTCCAATTTTAAGGCGATATCTTGACAGCAAAACTGGACTTAGATTCTGCTAACAGCAAATAGAAAATAAATTGCTAATTTTTATCCCTTTTTTCACTACCACTTTAAATATTCCAAAAAGAAAAGAAAAAAACATTCCTGAATCAGAATAATATAGAGTAATATCACCTTGCTTACTTAGTACTGTGAGCCTTTCCAAGTTGCAATACACTTAAGGAAAAAATATGTATTTAATATGAATATTATATCTAATTTTTTTCTAATATCTAATTCTCTATCTAGTTCTATCGAATATCTAATTTTCATGTCTTTTATAAATATTATTTGAATGTACTACAGCTGTTTGCCAGTCTTGGCTGTCAGTC